TATAATCTTATATGTCGTTTTAATTTTTTTAATCCTATTCAATCTACTTCTCCGGATCTATGTGATAAACTCTTAACCTTTTTAAGTTACCTTATAACTGCACAAATTTCTTAGCACCATAAATTATGTGGAAATAGAAAATAAAATAAATATTGACTAACTGTATGTTTTTATTTTTATAAAATTTCTATTAAACATTCATTAAACGAAAGAAATCACGAGTCAAACAGAAAATCTCCCCCAATGGATTACGAAACGTCACAAATAACCACTTGAATGTCACGTGTCGTAAAATACGTCGTTATGCTTAGACAAGTCAAATGGACGCAATAAAGATTGAGTCTTTACCTAATTAAATATTTATAACATGAAAACCCATGCATCTTCTATAATTATTTGATTACTAACACCAACTGCGTTTTTTTGGATTTTATGGCCTGGTATAGACCTTTAAGCCAAAACGTTGATTTATTTTATTTTTCACCATTTACTAGATTATGTTAAACATAGATCGTAGACCAATCAAAAATTTATTATCTGCCATTACATACGCCACATTTACTAAGACTTTTCAGACAGGGAAGAGGGCTTGTGAGTATGTAAATATATCACTCGCACTGCCACTGCTCATACAGCCGCAAATGCCATTGTTACGTGTTCGGTGAAATAATAAAGAGCTGAGTGTTTACACTCATGGGCGACGATATAGCAACAAGAAGGTTTCAGGGAATTGATATTCTGACGGCGGTAGAGGCACGGTATTAAATAAAGCCTCTGGACATCATTATTACATATGACAATTTGAAATTCTGTAGCTTTGCGCATATAAAAATCTGGTTTTAACAATAGTGAACAACTGAACAGCTCTTCCAACATTAGTGCCAATTTATCAAATTTTGATCTTCACCGTAAAATTCATTGATATAGTTTCTTAGCCCCTAAACCTGGGTATTTAATAAAATGAAAGCTTAATATTGACGTAATTAATTCCATGACCATGGCATTGACAGCCGCCTACCACCTAGTTACTCGCAAGCATTAAGCCTACAAAAAATTTAATATAAAAATTCTGTGGTTGCCTGTTCTGGGCGTCCACCGGGAATACATTGAGTGAGACCTACTTTACATTCCCTATTTCTACCATTCATTCGCCCCTCTGTAAATGCTCGCCTGTTTATTGCGACGCGTGTTGCTTTCTCACCACACTGCGAACACTGGTGTACCTACTGTCGTAACTGACCAGCTCCAATAAAGATTTTCGATGTTTCTATTTATTACTCTAATTCAAGACGGCAATCTCTGCTATGCTGTTGGCATTTAAATGTTTAATTACTGACTTAAATAAAATTATAAGTCAATTCTTATTAGAATTAACTTCTAATTTATTGAATTGAATTAGTAGTCCAACTCACTTTATGGTTCAGAATTAAACTGAACTTAAAAGAAAACCTAACTAGGATTAACCCTTTACTTGTTTACTGTACTGTACCATTATCATGATTTCGAATGAATACATCTAAGAACATAATTTTATCATCTCATGCAATTGTTTTTATGCAAGCCCTAGATTTGAACCTCAGTCAAACCAGTCTCGTCCTATCAGCACTGAAACACCATATTAAACAGCCAAGCTGCTCCATTGATGGGTTATGTGTTGCAGTTGCATATCGAATAACAATGTTTTTAAGTAACTATCACAACCATGTCAATAATTTAATACATAATGACATGCATAGGAATTATCCACATATTATTAATTTATATATATTGAGATTATTTACTAGCCTCTATAGCTATGAGTATTATACTTATTTGTATTCACTTTGAATTTTACACAAAGTTTTGTTATTGTCTTGATGTCATACTCGAACAGAAACAATTTAATATTAATGCTGTTAAGCCGAGATAGACTGGATTTATTAGTTTAACATCATTTAGATTATCAGTTAATTAAATGATAATCAAAACAATTCAATTACCTCAAGTGACGAGATACAAACAACATGTTTTATATTGGCATAACAAATTATTGTCTTTGTGTTATTCTGGGTAAGAAATATTAATTATTATATGGGGCAAACGGGCTGGAGGCTGATTGAGTGATAAATGACAGTGGTGTGACTCAAACTGCTAAAATTGTTGCAAGTGTGTTGTCTGCCTTTTTGTATGTGGAGAATTATTGTGAACGATTAATTTATCATTTATACAAAACCAGTCTACCAATTCTGAAGGATTCATTGTCATAGGTAGGTAGTTCATATGTATACAGATGTTATTAATTTAATTGTAAAGGGCAAATTTTTAATGGAGGACAATGCATTTCCATTTTAAGTTATTTACTTAAAAATTGTGTATTTATTTTTGACTGATCTTAAGTCTGCAATTAATCCTTGATATAATGGTTTAAAATATTTATTTAAATAATTTCGTATCGCAAGCAAATGTTATTATTGTATGATAGTCTGCAAGAGTGGAGCAGCCTCGTGGAGCCCATGGCCTAAACTATAAGACAGCTATAATAAAATTTGAGATACCTATAAAAACTAAAAATTTGTCTTTTAATTTAATTAAAAAAAAATTAATCATTATATTAATAAATTATAATAGCAAAGAAATATAACTAAAATACTTTTTTTATTTATATTTCTTTTATTCATTCATTTTATTAATTCATTCATTCATTCACTAGAGGTGAGGTGGGGTTAATTTAATTAATATAAACACATTTATAAAAAAAAATTTATTATGACACTGTTGACGAATTTATACAAAATATTTGTGTATTTAATAATTAGACCTATTAAGTACTCATTTTAGGGTAATTCTTTGTACGATCATATGACGAAAACTCGCGAAATACCGTTCTACTTATGACATAATCGTAATGTTTTCAAATAAATAAAGATTCTTCTATAAGTAATATTTAAAGAAGTAGCTGTACATTAGCATGTAACCTGGTGCTGAGTTTGACACCCGGCGAATCAATATTTATTGCGTGTTCGCATAGAATACTTTTAAAAAATATCACTGTTCACGCAACCTTGTCTACCGAATGGCCCAGTGGCCTACAGAATGTGGTACAACAAAAAATATTTAACAAAATAAGTGAAGCTCCATACAATTAACGACGATATAATAGAAATTAAAAATGCTTCCTTGCCAGAATATTTTCAAATTGTGACTGGTAAACCCTAGTCTTCTTTTCTTTTGTCAATCTTCGCAATCTCCTACACATTCTTTTATGCCGATCTGTCTTCCGTTTCTGGAAAACTTTTTATAAAACCTAGCTGATTTCCTGAATATTAATTGTTTGCTTAAAATATATTAGAAGAATGTATGATATATCTATTTATTTGAAACTTTGTTTGGGTGTTTATTTAAGAGCCGCTAAACAACGAAGGTTTCATAACGCCATCAAAACAAACTTGGTAGGTGGAAAATATCTGTTATTACGAACTCGATCGATGAATAGAAACAAGTTACAGTTGAATAGCATTACAATATACTACTTACAACAAAAAAATACAAATAGTAAGTAAGAAATAATAAATTAACATTGTTTTGCGCGACCAATAACCAATAACCTCTTATACGAATCTAGTAAGATTTTATAGGATTGATGGGGGATTTCTAGATGATGACTTACCAGGTGTAAAACGGTGTTCACCACTTCACGGTTGGTCACCTGGCCAACTTCTATCAGCCCGATAAGAACTGCAAATTTCAGGCTATCGTTTGTCGTCATTCGAACGACTTCCTCAGGTCTTTTTATATCACTAAACGGCGGTGATTTTATATCCACCATGGTTTTTTATGTCACAATGCACTAATTCACAAATTACAATTTCACTCGCGACTGTAAAACTCAAAAAAACATTATTTCATCGGCTCACATGATAACGCGCTGATATCACTTGCTGCCATTTTGGTTTCTAACGATGTTGCCATGTCATGGTTAATGGTGTTTAAATTTCCCTAAATGTTATTTTCGTTATAATTATATTTTAAAATGTTTTGGGATTAATCATCATTTATTGTATGTAGCTTGTAATATTTGGTTAAATACTACGAATACTTAAATATTTACTTAATGTCTTGTTTACCTTAATTCAAGCTAAAAGTCAGATAAATTTTCGAATAGTTTCGAGTTAATAAAGTTTTGAATAGAATATAATACTTTAACTTAACATTCATGGGGCGAACCATACCAGTAAGGGCTAACTTTTAAAAATAAGTTATTTACTGTACTCGTCATTTTTGAGTTTGACTTTGAGAACACCAGCGTCTATACAAAAAGACAATAATATAATTTATTTTACTAATAAACTTTATCAAGTTACAATTACAATCATGTTTTCTAATAAATAGTATGAAGTAATTTTTTTTAACTTCACACACAGCACATGCATTTGTTATTATCAAAAACATAATGTTTATGTTTGTGTAAGTTTATATTCCGATCTAAGCCGTTTCAATAAAAGATTTTCTACATATACAATTAATTCCATTCGAAGCTGGCTTATCGTTAATACCACCCCAATGTATAGTGGAAATCATCTGGACATGGCAATATTCGAAAATTAAATATACTTTTAAATTAGTAAAATCTTGAAAATAATCTCGCAGTGCTAGGAACTTTTATTTATTCAATGCACTTTAAATTATTCTTTATTTATTTTACCTACAAATATTTCGAGGATTTGATAGGGTTACGCCGTTATCATTTGGGTAAACGAATGTTTCTAAAATTTGTTGTATTTATAACATAACACGAATTGATTTTTGATTTTATTAACTTTGCGTTGCCCAACTTGACTGTTGAAGATAGGTGCGGAACGGAATTGTCATTGTCATATGTCAAGTAATGGACGACATTTTTTTTTGACAGTTAAATACTTTCCTATTTCCTAAATACTACATAGTACATAGTTGATAGTACACTGTACATACTACATTCAGTCGTTAGTCAGACCGCAGACGTGAACCTGTACACTTGTAAAATGGCTGCGATAGACGTTGAGCCTATGCCTATAAAAGTGAGTAAATAATTTATTTGTCTTCTATAGAGATTCACGGTGTCATGCGTAGAAAGAGAGTGGATTGTTTATTCACAGTTATATCAATTAAACTTTAATTGTTTCTATTTAAGAAATTAGGGTGAGAACTGAGAGTCACAGCTTGGGCGTTCTCCATTCGTATTGCTGTTTACTATAGGATATAGACATTCAGATTTCATTTATGACGCACTAATAAAAACAAAACATAACGGCTATATTGTTTAAAAACAAATAAATTAATCGACATATTTCATGGATGAGTCAATGAACATGTATATAAGTATAGTGATGATAATAATAAGATTTTATTTAAGGTGGAGACTGCAATGCGTACGTTAAAGTTGTCGGGGCATGTCGGTTTCGACAGCCTGCCTGACCAACTCGTAAACAAGAGTGTGCAGAATGGATTTGTGTTCAACATTCTATGTATTGGTAAGTGATTCATTGTATACGCGTTTAATCAACTGTACTCGATAGATAAAAGTTTGCTTGACGTAACTACTTATATTATTGACTTGTTGATAATGCCTGTGACCCTTATGTTTGCATTCATTAAATTTGTAATTGTATAATAGACTTCGTTTGACTAGGGTTCGAATTGGCCTTGTATGTTGCACTCATAATTGTTCATAATTGAAAGTCTCTAAATTAATGTTCAATCTCCACGGCAAGCTCATTAAACAAACCAATGTTTCTAAGGTATGGTGGTTTATTATAGACACTTTCAAAGTGCCTTGAATGCCAGTATGTGATGCTTTTTGTACTTTTTAACTACAATCATTGTTTCATAGTGAATTAAAACAAGAACACATTTACCAAGCATAATTCAATAGAGCTGTAGAAGTGTTGTGCTACAACTTATTATGGATTAATGTTGTTACATCACACATGTAATCAAGTATCAAATAACTTAATCAAACTGGATATGTTAACAGGTGAAACTGGCTTAGGCAAATCTACACTTATGGACTCTTTGTTTAACACCAATTTCGAGTCTTCTCCTAGTCCACACAACCTGCCAACTGTTAAATTGAAAGCACATACCTATGAACTGCAGGAAAGCAGTGTACGGCTTAAGGTAGGTGAATTAATGTATATGCTTCAATATTTTTAATTTATATTAAATTGTTGCTATTCCTTCAGCTAACTAATATAATTTTAGTTTGCTGTAGGAATAGATCATGTTATGATTAGTCCTTATACATGTTATAGTTATAAATGTTTAAATTGAATTATTATTATCAGTTTTTTCTATTGGTCATGGATAGGGAAATTTTAATTCTTAATATATATATTTCTTCTGTGCGTGTGTATGTGACTGAATCCTCTCAAACGACTAGACCGATTTTGATGAAATTTTTGTGTGTGTTCAAGGGGATCTGGGAATGGTTTAGATTCACAAATCAGCCCGGCAGATGGCACTGCAGTCGGTACTTTCATACTTTGCTTAATATCCTAATCGCTTTAAATATCATGCAGGACAACGTCTGTGGGGTCCACTAGTTATATATATAACAGGAGTTATTTAATGAGTCATTGAAAAATCATGTGTGGTGTCACCAATAAATTACATTGTATAATCTATCGCTTTGTGAGAGCTGTTTTAATTCTTGGGTTATAACACATTGACATTGAAAGCAATCACTCAAAAAAACTTGCAAATCTTTTTACAAATCTAGTTCATGTTACTATTCTAAATGAGGGGATTAAAATATAATTTGTAAGCTTATTTCCTAGAGTTTTTAATAGTTATCATTATTTAATGACCCCTCATTTAATATGTTTACAGTTTCATAATACATTCTAATTAATTCTAAGATATTATTTAAAGTGTACATAAAGTTAAATACTCTAATTTATAGAAACTTTAATAGGCCATCTTTGGTCTATTTTTGTCAAATTGTGTTCTCACTATGATGAAAAGACATTATGTGTGCTTTAGTTAAATATTGCAATTAAACTGATTTATTTTTAGGATTATGGGTCATAATATAAAACTTTACTATTAAATCTATCTTAAAGTGATTAAAACATAATATTCCTGTTTGAGCAGTGTTGGCCTAGTGGCTTCAGCGTTCGACTCTCATCCCTGAGGTTGTAGGTTCGATCCCCGGCTGTGCACCATTGGACTTTCTATGTGCGCAATTAACATTCGCTCGAACGGTGAAGGAAAACATCGTGAGGAAACCGACATGTCTTAGACCCAAAAAGTCGACGGCGTGTGTCAGGCACAGTAGGCTGATCACCTCCTTTACTATTAGATTGAAAAATGAATGCCTATAGAAGTCCTATTAGAATCTTATATTTTTTCTCGTAGCTAGTTTCGTCACGTTAACTGTTAATTTCACTACATTTCTGATCAAGAATAAAAAATTTACATGACCATTACTACAAAAAAAGTTCAAAAGGCGTCAAATTTAACAGATATTTTTCATACCTAACGGCGCATGTGCCAAAGCCGCGTTGCCAGTGCGTTCATAAAATGTATAAATTTATATTAAAAACAAAAATATATAATAACGATAACAATGATAGTAATCATTATATTACAATTAATGAAATTCTGTAATAATCTTAGTAGTAATAAGGTAGAATGAAATAATTGTATTATTTGTATTCTATTTATATATTCTATTCTATCTATATCTATGATAATAAAAGCCTTTTTTTAAACTTTATCTAAGTTAACTTTATTTAACCAATTTCTGTAAAGTTGCATATAGTAGATCATTTTTCGTAAAATAAGGTCATAAAGAAGTTTCACTTCTTACGTGTGTACACTAGTACACGCATACATTAAAAAAAAATATAGGTATAAAAACTTTAGAGGTGTCAAGGGACACCCGGATGGAACGAAATTCCTTTCGATTAATTTATATGTTAATTGGTATCATAACAGTATGATAGATTTTCTCGACACCAATCTTACGACGAAAAAAAAAGCCAACATCACGAGGTGTTCCCAGGCGGTCACCCATCCAAGTACTGACCTCGCCCGACGTTGCTTAACTTCGGTGATCGGACGAGAACCGGTGTATTACAATAGCAAATAGCAAAAAAGTGTCGTGACAACTTTTCGTAAGAATTTTTTCCGTCTAGCCCCCTTTCACAACGCGCGATAAGGAACTTCGTTCCAATAAAAATATGTACTATTTCAGTTGACACTCTGCGACACTGTGGGATATGGTGACCAGGTCAATAAGGACGATAGTTTCAAAGCCGTAGTGGACTACATTGATGCACAGTTTGAGGCGTATTTGCAAGAGGAGCTTAAAATAAAGCGCTCCCTGCCGACCTACCATGATAGCCGCTTGCATGTTTGTCTTTACTTCATTTGTCCGACTGGTGAGTTTCGGTTTATATAAAAACTCTTTTGATTGTCTATTGCTAAAGAAAAATACTGGACGGAATTTAAATTTTTTTATCATTATAATGCTCTGTTCAAGTTTTACGTAAGCACTATGGGGGGGGGGTCTTTGATTTTCTTATTTGGTGATTACGTCATCAGTAATTATTTACTTTTTAACACATATTATCCACACATTGTCTATGCTTGAAAACGAAATGCATTTTCGAGGATTCCTAGAAAAAATTGATAAGTTTATGTACTATTCATGAGAGCTTTGCTTACTTTTGCTGACAAGAGGAGGGGGGGGGAATAAATGGTAGTAAATCTGCTTTCGTAATACTTGCCCCCTAATCTAATAACGGCCCCTTATCCCTGTATAATATAGGCTATATATATATATATACATAATATTAACATTTAATTAATAATAACTGTGCATCTAGAATCTTTGTATGTAAGCAGCGGGTTATGTTTTATTACTTGACATTTGTCACTGGCCTAATAATATGGTAGAAGTGTGTGTGAAACACAACATACACGAAGAAAGAACAGAAGAACACGAATTTTATGATAATTTCGTTTATTTACTAAGTAAGCGTTCAAGTATTACGTCACGCAATTTTTGGAGTTTATTGACCCCCCCCCCCATGTATCGCGCCGTAACGTTTTTCTGTACCCAATAGTAAAACGTGTCGTGACCTTTATACCTAAAAGTTACCATTATGTGGTGTAAAGTACTGGAAAGTCGAAAATAATATTAACAATAACGCGTAAATCAATTCCCGCCCCGCATCGTAACGTTTTACAAAAAGATACCCCCCCAAATTCGTTACGTAATACTTGAACGATCCCTAATTTAATGTAATAGATAATTTCAGTTTTTGACAGCTTGAACAAAAATAATGTACAAATTTCTTTACAATCTGCCGTAGTACTAAATACATTTTTAAACAAGTTTTCATTATACAAATGTATTGTTACGTTCTATATTACGCGTAAATACTTGGTTTTACGTATTATTCGTGCCAAGGCGTCCATTCTGCGTACGTCGGAAACGAAAGATTAAAATTGTATTAATTTTCATAAATAAATTGCGTACCCGACAGATGTTGTCAAGTTTGATATTTCACTTGATTAAAATATTAAATAAAGTAGAAAGTACCGAATGCAGCGCCATCTGCCGGGCTGATTTGTGAATCTAAACCATTCAAGGCTCCACCCAAACGTATACAAATAAAATCATTCAAATCGGTCCAGCCTTTTAAGAGGAGTTCAGTGACATACACACGTACAGTAGAATTATATATATGTAAACTATCCTATCTTTTAAGTTAGATCAAACTGCACGCGGTGTGCAAATTTGATTGAAATCGGTTAAGTAGTTTAGGAGTCCATAGCGGACAAACAACGTGATGCGTAATTTATATACATTAAGGGTCTGTTTCACAATGTACGGATAAGTTCCAAATTAGCTATTTATTACTTATTGGTAGGATTAACACTATTTTTGCGTTTCACGAATGTCAGATAGCGCTATGCGTCCATCATCATAAAGTCCATCATAAGCTATGAGTCCGATGAAGTGTCAAATAGCATAATTTATCTTCCAAATAATTTATGTGTTGCATAACTATTTGGTACTTTATCCATACATTGTGAAACAGACCCTAAGATTAACATTTTGTCCAAAATCATTTAGTATTGGTAAACATACAAGATTGATCACTGGACCGTGGCGTTGTAACACTCGCAAAATAGTTTGCCCCATATCCCAATAGGGAATTAGGGACAAACTAGTGATTTTATTTGATTAATTTAAAGAAGCAATAGCGCATTGCGGGTCAATTATATAAGGTACCAGGACGACATGAGTGACCTGGTGACCAATACATTAGTGTCCTTGACATTGAATTATTCAGTGCACGTCTGACACAATAGTAGAAAAAATAACGGTACCAACTTTTACTTACCGTCAATTTAGCGCAGACCTTGTTTGTATGGAGTATAAATGCAAATAAAGAATAACACTTATAATAGACATATCATTCATTACAAACAAAAACGCAAAATAACAAGAATCAAAGAAAAAAAATTAAATAAAGCGTGTGGCACTCGGGGACTGCCGCGGTAAAGCTATTGCATAATTTTTTTTCAACTTATGCAATTATAATTATTTATTTATGCAGTATTTTTTTTCTTTGATATTAATTCAAGTTTTTTCTTTGATAAATTAATTCAATCTACCAGACTAACTCGCCTATATAGTCTGTCTCACTCTAATGCGCACGGGCTGCACAGATCTCGTCAGAGAAATGTGAATTCGCAGTATGCGTTCTGTCCCGCTCTAACGCGTACGGGTTTTTTCGTTACGGAATTTCTGGATTCGGTCTCCACGCTCGAGGCCCGCAATAGCTTAAAAAATGAGAGAAAAGTATATAAAAACAATATGTTTTTTTTCCTTTTCCTATTCGGTTCGTTTCAAGTGTGTAATGGGTGTGTGCTATGGCTGTAATTGGCCCTGGATCAGCATCATGCTGAAGAGCAGACTGTTCCACAGCGCTGGTCATTCTGCCAAAGACACTTTTCCAAAAAAAAAAGAGAAAATGTAATAATACTTAGTAGAAAATAATAATAATAAGTAGAAGTAAGTAATGAAGTTTTGTGTAATGGTGTAAAGTAAATAAAATAATTTAATAAAACACTATTTTGACCGGATTGAAGTTATGTATTATTATAAATTTACAACTATTTAAAATTATGTTAAATAGTTGTAAATTTATAATAATACATAACTTCAATCCGGTCAAAATAGTGTTTTATTAAATGAATAAAAGTTATGTTAATCAAAGACAATACTATGATAAAATAATTCTTAAGAAGTAGATATTTTTTTTTTTTTAGGTGGATTAAAAACTAGATTTCGTGGGATTTTTCTTGAGTCAGTAGATGAATCTAATAGCTCTATACGAATAGAATTGGTTGGAGATAGAGAGGTTTTTGCGGATACTGGCTTGGTTATAATAATATAATAACCTAGTTGCTACAATTTTAAATTTCTTGTGTTTAGAGAACATATTTTATAAGGGGCAAATGGCCACGAGGCTCACCGCTCACGTGATGTTAAGCGATACCCATGAACACCCTCAATGTCGGAGGGCTCGCGAGTGCGTTGCCGGCCTTTGGAATATGTCAGCCTATAATATTTTTGGCAAATGAAATTGAAGTCATACAATTTAACTTCCATAAAACTATACAATTAACGATATTCGAGATTTTTATCAGTATACAGGAAAATCGAAAAGGTCTAATTATTGTAGGAAATAGTTATAAATAAATAAACTTAAAGAAAAAACTGTTTGACCGGATTGAAGTTATGTATTATTATAAATTTACAACTATTTAACATAATTTTAAATTTATCCGACGTTTCGCGTGCTTTACAGCGTGCGTGGTCACGGTGACTGAAGACAAAAGATGTTGGATGTCAAAAAGTATCACAGCTGTAGAGGAAGTTGCCTTATCTGTATTTATTACCCCGGAGTTGGTATCGACTAAGAGATGGAGGGTTAGGGAACCCTAGATAGACCCGGATAAATTTAAAATTATGTTAAATAGTTGTAAATTTATAATAATACATAACTTCAATCCGGTCAAACAGTTTTTTCTTTAAATGTGTAAAGGTTATGTAAATCAAAGACAAATAAATAAACTTTTTGTCCAGGAAGACTGTGGGCTAACCTATATTACCAAATTAAAAAAATCATTAATATAAAATATAATTTTGTTTTTTATGTTTAAGAAGCTATTGCATAGATTTTTATCGCGGGCTTTGATCGCGGCGACCGAATCACGAAATTCCGTAACTAAAATAAAAACCTAACACAATGATGTAATATAGGTGGGGTCAATACGCGTTAGAGCGGGACAGATCACAGAACGCATACTGCGTATTCACATCGCTCTGACGAGATTGGTGACGTAGCGTAAGCGCGGCCGGTGCGCGTTAGAGTGAGACAGACTATAGATTAGATAGATTGAATTAATATCAAAGAGAAAAAAATACTGCAAAAATAGTAAATAAATAATTATAATTGCATAAGTTGATAAAAAATTCTTCCGCTGTAGTCCCCGAGTGCCACACATTCTTTTTATTTTATTTTAATAATATGTATTAAGAACGTCAAACAATTGTTTTGATGTTCGTAATTCAAATACTTAAGGGCTCCCACACAAAACTGCGAATTCGCATCGCATCGCAAATATCTGCGAATTCGCACGAACGCACCGCAAGAAGTTCCGATCTGCTTCGCATCGCACCTTCTTGCGATATTACGTCATCCTTGGTGACGCCACTTTAGTCCGCTCTGAGACAGCTTTAGAAAGACGCGCAGCGCCTCCACCGCCTTCTTTGTTTATAAAAAATTGCGGAATATGATATGGATTTTTTAATATTTTTAATTGAGGAGCGTCCCGTCTTTTGGGACCCAAGTGATGAACATTATAAAAATAAATTTACTAAGCAAGATGCGTGGAAGAGCGTCTGTGAAAGTTTGCATCAGAGTTCATAATCGTAATAAATGGATGAACCCAGAATCTTCTTTTTCTTTTATATCTATTTAACAATAACAGCAGTGCAATAATCTTTTGCGATCCATCTTACGCTTCCTAAAAACACGTCCAGTACGGCTGACTACGAAGGAATGGTCGCCCTACTAAACGGTTTGCCGCACTAAATCGTATCGCAGAAATTCGCATCGCAAATTCCTGCGATGCGAATTCGCATTGCATCGCATCGCAGTTTTGTGTGGGAGTCCTAAGAGATTATAGATTATACTGACCCTTGTCTCAAGTTTTCTGTTGATTTTAAACTAGAAAATACCTTTCTATAATTGGTACAAATACAGAAAGATCCGACGCAAATAAACTAACACAGTACATGCGCATACACACCCATTCACACACTCACTCATTCACTTCATTTGTAACACTAAATTTATAAGTAGTATAATTATTATTATTATTATTTTAACTAATTTAAACATGTACCACGTAATAATTGATTTCTAGTTACCCACAACACAGGGCCTCCCTAGTGTGGGGACTACCGATATATGAATGTCACAAACCCTTTTGTCATAAATAAAGTTTTTATTATATTTATTTTATTATTAAATAACATTTTTTATTGATATTACAGGACATGGTCTCAAATCGATTGATCTTGTTTGTATGAAGAAATTGGACACTAAAGTGAATATTATTCCCATCATTGCGAAGGCCGATACCATCTCTAAGACTGAACTGCAGAAGTTTAAGGTAATTTTTTGCTTTAGACTTAAAGGCCACAAAAGTTATCAAATTATCTTTTCTATTTGACCTTTGACGTATTTGAAAGTGCTCAAGCGAAAATGACTTCTATTATTACTCACTGATTTAGGAAGTTGGTTGGTAAGAGATAATCTTGCTGAAACATAAAATTAGTACTGGCCATTATAATGTTGTTACTTTAAGTAAGGGAGCGTTCAAGTATTACGTAACGCAATTTTTGGAGATTATTGACACCCCCCCCCCAAGTATCTCGCCGTAACGTTTTTCAGTACTCTAGTACAGTACTGTTCTCAATTATAGTAAAACGTTTCGTGACTACCTAGTGACTCTTTAGTTACTATTATGTGGTGTAAGTAGAAAATAATATTAACAATAACGCGTAATTCAATCCCCGCCCCGCATCGTAACGTTTTATAAAAGGAACCCCCCCTCTCCCAAAACGCGTTACGTAATACTTGAACGCTCCCTAAGAACATATTTAAAAGAGTAAAGTAATTTTTTGCTTTAGACAAAGGCTACAAAAGTTCAAAGCGCTGTCAAATTATCTTTACTATTTGATCTTTGGCATATTTGACAGTGCTCAAGCGAAGATGACTTCTATTATTACTTGAGATTACGGGCCTGAAAGTACTCACTGATTTAGGAAGTTGGTGGATAAGAGATAATCTTGCTGAAACATAAAATTAGTACTGACCATTATAATGTTGTTACTATAAGTAAGAAAGTTTTTTAATACTGAAATTGTTCAGTTACAAATTCCCTAAACAACATTCTTCCAAACCGAGTAGTGTCTGACTGGAATTTGTTATTTACCCCTGCTGGATTGCTCCTGTTCGGTTTGCTTTCTTTTGGCGCACAGTCAGGAAGCGAACCTAGCACTTCAGGGTTGCCAATGCTGCTTTTACAGTGGAATTGTGCATTTTAAAGTCAGTTAAAATCAGACTGAATAATAATGTAAAACTATGTATTATTTAATTTAAAATTAAATTTATTATTTATATGTTTTCGCTTTTCAGTCCAAAATTATGCAAGAACTCCAATCAAACGGTGTGGAAATATACCAGTTTCCAACAGATGACGAATCTGTCTCCGAAGTGAACACCTCAATGAACAGTCATATTCCATTTGCTGTGGTTGGCAGTACTGATTTTGTCAAAATTGGGAATAAGACTGTGAGAGCCAGGCAGTATCCTTGGGGGACTGTGCAAGGTAATTCATTTAATTTGTAGTGGTTACAGTACAGTGTAAATTCTTTATAACGTTAATGAGAGTCATTCCTTATAACGATTAACCCTCTATGACATAAAATACATACAATACAAAAATGCTCGTTCCCTTGAAATTCGTTATAAAGCGGTTACACTGTATGTGAAAAATCTTTGCTATAAATTTGATAAATAAGGGGGCGTTCAAGTATTATTTAAGCAGATTTACTAGTAATTTTATTGAAGTGAAACTTCTTTATCGGGGTTGGAAAAAAATTTAGTGTAACATTTTTGCGTTACGCGTCACATTTTTCCGTTACGCGCCATGTTGCTTTTTTAAGTCAAACTTCTTTATTGGCGTTAAAATATGACATATAGTATGTTTTTGACTTTGAAGTTTGACAATGGATTACATTTTCGAAGTCAAACTTCTTTATCGGCGTTAAAATATGACATATAGTATGTTTTTGACTTTGAAGTTTGACAACGGATTACATTTTTGACTTGAAATTTGCTAATCGCAATTTGCAGCAATTAATTTGTAAATTGTATGCTAGGCAGTGTATCAAAATTTACTGTGTTTAAAGAAATAGTTTCTAATAAGGTCATAAAGAAGTTTCACTTCTTACGTGTGTACACCTAGTACACGCACACATTTTTTTTATACTCCGCTTCCTCGTGTGAGCAAAAGTAAGAAAAAGTAAGCACAGCTCTCAAAAATAATAGTACATAAACATATTAATTTTTTGTAGGAATCCTCGAATTTCGTTTTCAAGCATAGACAAAGTAAATAATTACTGTTGACCTAATCAAAAAATAAGAAAATCAAACCCCCTCCCCCCCTATAGTGCTTACGTAATACTTGAACGGCTCCTAGACAAAGATATTTACTTAAGGGCGTGGCTTTTTACGCCGGTCACGTGACTATTCCCATACACATGCGTTTGTAGTCAGTGGGCCACGACGTATCATAGAATATTTTTGAAGTTATACTTTTGGCGCGTTACGGAAAAATGGTGATAGTAAATTTTTACGATGCGCGCGCACACCGTCACCCTGAAAATCTGTTAATGCGTCGGTAAAACAGTCTGGGCCGCTAAGCTTTATCGACAAGTTGCATTGTCTGTCATGGCGTAGTGTTTTTTAGAGTCGCCTTTATTTAAACCGAAATAATGATTATACGAGAAAACCCGTTCCCGTTAAAAAATCATGATTAGTACATATTATATCGTTTCGATTGGAAGTGACCATTAAAATGGACAGGAAAAATGCAATTCAAAGAGGGAAACCCTCTTAAAGTGCTCGAAGAAAGTTATTACGCCAAAGAAGTATAACTTCTAACGCGTGTACATAAGTACACACACGTTTTTTGAAGTGAAACTTCTTTATCGAGGTTGGAAAAAAATTTAGTGTAACATTTTTTCGTTACGCGTCACATTTTTCGGTTACGCGCCATGTTGCATTTTGAAGTCAAACTTCTTTATCGGCGTTGGAATGAAACTTCTTTATCGACGTATGGGAGAAACTTTGTAGCAAATCGTCACGTTTTTCAATGATAGTAATAATTCTATTACAATTAATGAAATTCTATAATAATCTCCGTAGTAATAAGGTAAAATGAAATATTTGTATTCATGTCTATGATAATAAAAGCCTTTTGTTAAACTTTATCTAATTTAACGAATTTCTGTAAAGTTGCATATAGTAGATCATTTTTCGAAAAATAAGATCATAAAGAAGTTTCACTTCTTACGTGTGTACACCTAGTACACGCACAATTTATTTTTCTCATACCTTTTACATTTTTGTAGGTTTTAACGTTATATTACTTAATTTGTGTTACAATTTTAAAGTATTTCAAAATTATAATCGACTACACAATTGATTGTTAATAAACGAAATAAAATAATATAATATCGGTTTTATTTTTTAAATTCTTCCTAGTCTCTTAATAATGAAACGAAGCTACTATGAAAATTATAATATTGTTAAATAAACTGTTTAGAAAGCGTTACATTAAGGCTCGATGATTCGACTTTCCAATACATTTTATTTTATTTTATCATTAAATATTTCCAGTTGAAAATGAGTCCCATTGCGACTTTGTGAAGCTGCGTGAGATGTTAATTCGTACCAACATGGAGGATATGCGAGAGAAGACTCACGCGCGCCACTACGAGTTGTATCGTCGTCGAAGACTCGCTCAAATGGGATTTAGCGACGTTGACGCTCACAACAAACCGGTAAGAGAGCGTTCAAGTATTAAGTATTATTGACCCCCTCCCCCTCCCCCATGTAACGCGCCGTAACGTTTTTCTGTAGCCAAGTATAGTAAAACGTTTCGTGACCACCTAGTGACTCTTTATACCTAAAAGTTACCATTACGTGGTGTAAAGTACTGGAAAGTCGAAAATAATATTAACAATAACGCGTTATTCAATCCCCGCTTCGCATCTTCGTAACATCGTAACGTTTTACAAAAGAAACTTATTGAACGTCACGAAAATGTGCAGCGTTTTTGTCGATTTTTTTTCATTAACAAAGATGTGCTTTTTTGCTAAGACCCAGTTGGCTATTTTAGAAAATGTGGACATAAGTTAGCAATTATGATAATAATGAATTTGTTCTATTATCTGGTAATTGTTACCATATTCATGGTGGTATTTACACAATAATAACAACAACTAATTTTAGTTATGGTTTTTAACTAGCCTTAGTATCATTCATTAATATAGAAAGACTGGCAAAGTTAAATTATGGGATTTGGGCAGCTTAATTACTCAATAATCATGTATAATCATATATAATAATATATATGTTTCACTTCTGACATGTGTACTTTGTACGCGCGTACTTTTATTTAATTTATTGGAAAGTAGCTGATCAGCCTGTATCTGAAATACTAAGATTTTTGGGTTTCAAGCCGACTTTGCGATGTTTTACATCACCATACGAGCTCGTGTTAAATTCTCACATGGATTGGTGATGATGGTATTCGACTTTAGGAATGAGAGAATCTATCTGATACATTAAGATAGAAAAAAACAAATGAATATTTTTTAAATCTTAATTAGACTAGAGCAGTGTTGGCCTAGTGGCTTCAGCGTGCGACTCTCATCCGTGAGGTCGTAGGTTCGATCCCCGGCTGTGCACCAATGGACTTTCTTTCTATGTGCGCATTTAACATTTGCTCGAACGGTGAAGGAAAACATCGTGATTAAACCGACATGTCTTAGACCCAAAAACTCGACGGCGTGTGTCAGACACTGGAGGCCGATCACCTACTTCCCTATAAGATTTAAAAATGATCATGAAACAGATTCAGAAATCTGAGGCCAAGATCTAGAGGTTGTGGCGCCACTGATTTAATTAGACTAAAACTGTTTTAATTAAAAGGTAACGTGTAGAACACGAACATTTAAGTTCATACTTATGATATCATTTTAGGTTTCTTTTCAACAAACATTTGAGCAGAAGCGATCAGCTCATCTGGCTGAGTTGCAGCTGAAAGAAGATGAGATGCGTCAGATGTTTGTTCAACGCGTTAAGGAGAAGGAGGCTGAACTTAAGGAAGCTGAAAAAGAGGTGAGATCAGTTCACCATGCCTCCTGCTGATAGAGGACAAATATTTGTTTTTAATTTATTTTAGTATTCTTTATTGCTTAAGATGTCATGTGGAACATGGTGTAATGGTTGCAGCTCTTTACAAACGTTGTGTAAAACAAAAAACTTGGCGATTAAAAAGAGTGGCGGAGAGTTTATTGCCAGTTCTTCTCTCCCGTTCTACGCCCTTGATTTGAGAACTGGCAGTAAATGTAAAATTAGAAGCAATTAATATCTATTTATTTTTTGGCGTTCATAAGTGTACATTGTGTTACCTACATGAATAAATGATTTTTGACTTTTACTTCAGTATACCAACATCGAAATTAAGGTCAAAGGTTCTTCTAGTTCAGAGGTTTTTAAAATTATGGTTTGAAGTGATAGTGCACGAAGGTGGGTGTATGTTTGGATGTGTATACACACCCAAACATATCACGCACACTTATTTATCAAATATTTTGATTTACTGTTCATATGATTTTTTTTTTTTTTTTTTTAATACTAAGTTTTTAGTTGTTTTATTAACATAACTTTTTCATTGAATAACTATTTTGACAGAATGGAGTTGTGTTATATAATACAACCCCAGATTGAAGTTATGTTTTTTTTACTATTTAACATAATTTATCAAATCATTTCGTGATTTACAGCGTGCGTGTTCACACGTACGGAACGATTTTTAATTGAATAGTATAATATTAACCGTTTAAGTACTAAGTTTTTGTGCTTTTATTTTACCTCGGAAGAGTGGTTCACCAACAACACAAGAATGTAGGGACCAGAATCTGTACAAAAATGCAACAATAGAATAAGGTTTAATAAAAAAAAATATATTTATTAAATTATATTCTACATTACTTTTGTTTTAATAAAATCTTATAAGTATTTTCTTATTAACATACTTTTCTATTGAAAATCTTTAAATATATTCAATAATTATTCCAGCTCCATGCGAAATTCGACAAGCTAAAGAAAGACCATACAGAAGAGAAGAAGCGTCTCGAAGAGCTTCGTAAGAAGATAGAAGATGACACAATTGAATTCAACCGTCGCAAACAACAGACCCAACACTCACACCACACTCTTACTCTTGGCAAGAGCAAGAAGAAGTGAGAACACACCTCCTCTCTTAGCAGGTCCTTCCGGTAAGATCATAGACAAAAACTTTGACTGGGAATATGACTACCGCAAATTTCTCGATTATTAGAACTGTGAATACTTGGATATTTTGTTTACTCTGTGCAAAAACATATTACTAACATGATGCCGCCGTATGTTTCTTTCGGGAGTGAAGTAATTTATTGAAAAAAAAAACATGAAGTCTAGACAGGTTTCCGGCAAACAAAATTTATGTAAAAAAAAAAAGAAATAAAGCCTCGGCCAAGTACTGTCTCTGTCTTTAGCAAAACCTTGATTAATGTTTGGTTAATCGGTAAAGTTTGTAATCGGCAAATGTTTTTTTTAATAATCAAAAAAATTCAAGTCACGTCGACTGGTACCATTGGCTTCCAAACGTACAAGTTTCGAGAAAACTATCGCGTTTCGCTATTGGTTTGATTATTTTTTTTAATAGTCTGTTAAGGCAAATGAATTAAAATAATGCTTTATAGCGAACCCTTATAAAGGTTTCAGAGATAAGCGAAAATGTTCGTTTCACCGAAACTTGTACAGATAACCACTGTCTGGTCTAATGTCAACATTTTCCGTAGATCTAGAAATCTTGTTGTGGACTTTGTTTGCTTTCTCAGATTGGTAGTGCCTTTAGTCCAAGTTAATTCTTTGCATTTCCAGAACGTTTTTGTTAATTCCTTAAATTTTAAAACATTGTGCTAATGGTATAATGATATGAGATTGTATAATGGTATAGTAATTCTTTTGTAAACTTTTACGTTACATGATTTTAATTTGATATGGATTATGTAGGCCATACACACTACGGTCTACCGGAGAGGTCCACCTGTGCAGGTATGCCTGCGCAGGTAGACCGGAATGTGTGTGGGAATAGACCTGTGCAGGTCTACACATATACACGGTACACATAGCCTGCATAATGCTGATGTGAAATTTTTGAGTGACTTAGATCTTTTTGCCATAAGGAAAACATAGATTCAATATTCAAGTTTGTAAGCACATGTCATTTCGAGCTTATACACAGATTTACTCACTAAAACTTGTATTAGCACATCTAAATTGCATTCACATCAAATTTGTTATCAGTGAAGCTATTTTATCTCAAGTTTTAAGTATGAACATATTTTAGTAATAGCAGTGTGTACTTTATAATTAAGTAGTGGAAAGTTCTAGAGATTGGTAACACTGATCGCGTACTTGTCATTTGTCACATTTTGTGTTAAGCGTCATGTGATCTGTACATTACACTTTCTCATTGATACTTTGTTTTACAATGTGGAATACATTTCATACGTATACGTGGGGCCTGAAATAAAAAAATAAATTTGTACGTGGTCACGTGACCACTCTCATACAAATACGTTTGGCGTTGGGTCATGCCTGTCCCAAAGACTGTGTTTTGACCAAATCTCAACGAATGTTACTAACCATAGACTGTCAAATTTGTAACACCGCCCAAAATGACGCAGTTACCGAAATCTAGAAGTTTCGCTGGCAGAATTTGTTTCATTACATTCTAAGATACATTCCGGATATAACGATAGATCAGTAGACATATCCACTGCTTCCAATACAATTTGCTAATTAAATATCTCGTCCAAATGGACTGCCAATTTACTTGCACCTAGCCATATACTGACATTTTATACCAAATTTTATTTATCTCTAGAATAAGTTAGTTATAAGAATAATTTTCGTCAAGTATTATTGGAGAATCGATCTTGTAATTAATTTGATTTAAAGAATGAATTAGTGTTTATTAATATTTGTATTAAAATTACAACAAACAATTTATTACAAGTTTGTGATTTTTTTGATGAACGCATACCTGAAGATATACTTAACAAGAAACATTGCTTGCATAGTCGTTCAAAGTTTAATTTAAATTAGTAATTCCTAATGAGATTAAATGCTGAACGCAAACATATGTATTATATGATGTAATGTTAATAAATTTCTCGATTGCCAAGTAGATATTAACCAATTTAGTAATGCACTAAGCATATAAAGCTTTTGATTTCTAATGCTTGATCTGTGTGTAATTCAAAAATTTGTGTCCATGCAAAACGTCAGAACATTCATAATTAAAAATGTTAGGGAACATACAATAAATAGTATTCGAATAAAGAGTTCAGAAATTCATTCTAACTGCACTCATATATAAAAATTTAAATAACTTTAAGTGTGTTGACTGATTTGGTTTAAAATTGTATGAAAGTTGTGTTTAAAATAGATTAAACTTGGCTTCACTAGTTGTATTATGAATTTTAATATACACATGTATGAGCTCTCTTATTTAATCTGCATTTATTCATTCCCTTATAGTATTACAGTTTTGTATTTTATAGGTAATAAATTATATTGATATGAAATTGTTTTATTTCTATGGTGTACTTTGACAGGACGGATTCGCTGCAAACATCACCTGTCAGGTGATATGGCGCGTATTTAAACAACTAAGCGTCGCCTTTCCGAATGTACACGTATCTTTTAAAATAAGGGTCTGATGAAAATAGATATATTATAATTAGTTATTTATTTTCATTACAAATTGAGCGTGTTAGCGTCAATTTATACTACCGTAGTGTCGAAGCGTCAAATCTCTAATGTGACATTCTGCATAAAAAATCGATTTTTTATTAATCGATAATTTTTTAGCATGAAAAATCGATTATTTCCAAATTTTTGAATTCATTTCAAAATAAACTCCCTAAATATTTTATTTTTGATGGTTTTTTTAATTAAAAATAAACAATAGAAATAATAAACACAAATTAACGTTTAAGAATAATCAAAATCGAAATAACTTAATCTCGTTTTGATAGATTTTAGGTGAAATTTGATAAATGCTGATTGTATGCCTTTTCAGTAGCAAATTTCAGTATTTTTGTTGTCTTTTTAATTGTATGTAATCTTGTGCTGCTGCATACATTTATTTTATTTTTAAATTATAGTGTTCCATTCAAACTTGAGTTTTTGTAAAATTAACTGGTTTTATCATCCTTTCGATGTTTTACAAAAAAAACAATGCATCGAGTATATCAATACATCTTCAAAGAATCGGATTCAATGCATCGCATTGTAAACATCCATGTATATCGAATATCCCTAATAGTTCGAGGTCCGGGTTATAAAAGACCAGACATAATGTCGGGAGGTGGCAGATGAAAAATCTACTATTATTGATTTTCAATTATAAAAATAATCGATTATTTTAAATATAAAAATCGCGTAAAAAAATCGATTGTTTTTTCACATCCCTACGTCAAATTGTTCACATCTAAAGCGAAGCCGCACGAATGCGCGCGCACCAATCAGCATTGGTCACGCTCGAAATCCGAAGAATGCGCGCGTCTTTTTGAAATCTCAAAAGTAATGTGTGCGTTACACTGTGGAGTTAAGGTTGAATTTGTTATGTTCAGTTTGGATAAACGCTTTGATGTGCTTCGACTCTGCGGTAGTATAAATTTACCCTTATTTTCACCTTGTGTGAGTTCAGCTGTAAATGATTCTTCTGTATGTATGCATTTTGCCTAACTCTAACCCTCGTACGTTTAACGAAAAGACCGTCACTTAGTAGCGCATAAATGAAACAAGCAGAAATCCGTGCTAATATTACGCTTATTATTACTCTTTTTATTTTGGTCAAATAAAACCTCAATTAATTAATACTAAGCGGTAAGAGGAAACCAATCAAAATCTAAATATTGGAAATAATTTCCAATACAATCTATATTCAAGTCATTTATCAATACAGATTTTTCAAGCCAATCTTGTCATCAGTGTATCATAATGTAATCACTTTGACATCAAACATGTCGAAATAAAATTATTGTACGATGTAAACATTAAAGAACTTGCAGACTTTTTAATAATCCCGCATATTTTCAATATTATTTTATATTCGGGTGTCTGTCTACCCGTTATGGAAGAAATCCTGCGTGACTCCAGTTCCTTAAGTAAATTACCGAAAATTATTTGCATCTGGATTTGGATGAATTGCTTCATTGCAGAGTATTAAATAAACTCATGGCACTCATGGTTTTGTCCAGTCTCCGCTTGGTCTCGCAGCTAATAACCAGCGTCGAGTCTTCACTGGGCAGCGACCTATTTGTAAAGCGTATAGAGGATTTAAATACGTACTTAGAAATGTATATATTAGACTAATGTATATATCTATATATTTTATGGTATTTGTATAAAAATCACATTTAACTGTAATATTCTATAATATAATAATAGTAGTTTTTTTTTATGGCTCTGGCACGATTTGTGCATTAGCCAGCGTCAAGACGTATAGAATTTATTATAATTCGTGCTTGTCTTTTTAGAAATTCGACCGTGTCCTCCATGTACGGTTTAGGCACTCGCCTGGTACCGCACAACCCTCCCAAAGGCCGATACAATTTAAATTAAATTAAAACTTGCCCTCGAACCGGGAATCGAACCCGGTACCCCTCACCTAGCTGCTACTTAATAAGACCGCTAGGCTATGAGGCCCCCATAATAGTAGTTGTATGCTGCAAATAAATAAGAGTATTATCTATAGTCATTTAACTGTGTCAACTTAGACGATACATCGGACGGTAGTCTGTGCTACCTTGTATCTTTATAGTTTATATTTTGAAAATGTTATTGGATGTATTTCTAATTTAAAAAAATTAGATGTGAATACTAGGCGTAAGCTTGTTTAAATTTTATGTAATAATTTAAAATACGACTTCAAGAGCTATATACTGGGGGTCAGAAAAATTTTCTACCTAAGATTTATTACTAGAACATAAGTCATAACCTGACAGACTGGCCCGGACACCGGTGGCATCTGAATCTATTTTTAAAAACCCTCTAGTAAGGTGAAACCTACTGCTTAGGAGAGCTAGTCTAGGAAAACGTATTCTACAATAAATGGTAACCAAATTATAGAAGATGGGACAAAATAGCGTTCAGATAAGATATCAAGACATCAAAAAAATGTTTACATGGACATATGTGAAGAAAATAATAGTAGATCCTGCTCATTTATCGTTTATTGCGTTCTGTATTTTGGTTGCAGAGTTGGTTCTAAATGTACTGATTGTAGAAAAAGTGCCTTATACAGAAATAGATTGGAAAGCATATATGCAAGAGTGCGAAGGATTCTTAAATGGTACCTTTGATTACAGCAAGCTCCGTGGCGATACAGGGCCTCTGGTTTATCCTGCTGGTTTTGTGTATATTTATTCATTTTTATACTTTATTACTAGTCATGGTGAAAATATTAAGCTGGCGCAGTATATTTTTATCAGTGTTTATTTAATATTACTTATTTTCATTTTAAGAATTTATCTTAAAACAAAAAAAGTACCACCATATGCCCTTGCTATCACAATTTTAACCTCATATAGAATTCACTCTATTCATGTTTTAAGAATGTTTAATGATCCAATTGCTGTATTACTGTTATATGCATCACTTAATTTATTTTTAGATTCAAGGTGGTATTTAGCTAGCTTTATATACAGCTTAGCAGTTTCTGTAAAGATGAATATTTTGTTATATGCGCCAGCCCTGTTTTTCTTTTATTTGGTTAATTTAGGATTTAAAGATACATTTAAACAATTATTTGTTTGTGGTCTGACACAATTGATTTTAGGCCTTCCATTTTTGTTAAGTAACCCAGTTGCTTATATTCGAGGAAGTTTTGATGTTGGCAGAGTTTTTAATCATACTTGGACTGTTAATTATAGATTTATGGATGTGAAAGTATTTGAAAGTGCATGGTTTCATTTAATTTTGTTAGGAATACATATCATGTTGTTATTATTGTTTTTACCTATGTGTATACAATATTTTAGAAGTTATTGCCGTTTAAAGTATGTTCAAAAGCAAGTACAGCCTCAAATCGATGCCAAAAATTTAGAGGATAAGAAAAAAGTGAAAGCTAAGAAAAGCATGAAAAGCAAATTGGAAAAGGATGAAGATCTTACCAAAGAACAGGAACAATTATTAAAATCATTTGAAAATATGCTTAAAAAGTCAGCGCCAAAGGGAAGTAAGGGGAACAATGAAGTAAAATCCAAAAGCTCTGAAAGTGAAACTAAGCATTATAGTATCAATTTTGATATTCTTTCACAATTGTTTATTTTACCTATGTTTTTGGTTAACTTTATTGGTGTAGTTTGTGCTAGAAGCCTGCATTATCAGTTTTATTCTTGGTATTTCCATACACTACCATACCTGTTGTGGTCAACTAATTTTAGTTTAGTTGTTAGATTTTTAATTTTGGCCTTAATTGAACTTTGTTGGAATACATATCCAAGTACCGATGCAACTAGTGTCTTATTACATGCGTGTCATATAAGCATTTTGTATGGTATTTATAGTAAAATGTCAAGAGAATTTAATTTTGTATCACAAAGTAATAAAGCTTTGTAGTATTAATTGACTTGTTTTATTTGCCTTAATAATATTTTATGAATTTACAATTTCAAGCTGGCTAAGTATTTTTAATTATGTCTAATAACTATTGCAAGCTTCCAAAGATTTGGTGATTTTATTAATTATTAATTGTAAGCAAATTAACTACTATTTATTAACACAAATATAGAGTATTGAAAAAATATTCTAAACCTACTTATTAAAAATTAAGAATGGATAAATAGAAAACGAAAATAAATTAAAAGTTTGTTCCCTGTGGCAGTGTACCTTTAATTGCAGCATTTCTTCGCTGCTCCATGCCACAGGACTTATGAGGACTACATATGAGAACTCCTAAGCGAAGGCTGATGGCAATTCATTAGACATATGTCAGAGCAATGCCACTGGTATCAGCTGCTATTTTGCCATAAAATTATGATAATCATTATTAATAATAACTATAGAAAGAGAGTAATTATTATTATCGACCATTGAATAGTTGTTAATTTAAAGATCTAGCAACATTGACAAATTAAATAAACCATTTGTTTAAAGAAAAAACTGTTTAACCGGATTGAAGTTATGTTTTATTATAAATTTACAACTATTTATAATATCCAAATTAAAATCTCAAGAAAAACAATCCGCGAAAATAGAGGACACCGTGAGCCATTTTTGCCAAAACCCTCCATCTTTTAGTCGATACCAACTCCGGGGTAATAAATACAGATAAGGCAACTTTCTCTACAGCTGTGATACTTTTTGACATCCAACATCTTTTGTCTTCAGTCACCGTGACCACGCACGCTGTAAAGCACGCGAAACGTCGGATAAATTTAAAATTGTTAAATAGTTGTAAATTTATAATAATACATAACTTCAATCCGGTTAAACAGTTTTTTCTTTAAATGTGTAAAGGTTATGTAAATCAAAGACAAAACCATTTGTTTATTCCTTTGATGCTATTAAATAATGAAAATAGTAGCCAATACCAGCACCATTGTTCCGACATACAATATGGAAATAAAACAACACTATAAGCATTTTAGGAAGTATTTATTAAGAACCTTAACTAATCAAAATGAAAACTATTATAACCTTAAATTTATAGATAGAGGCGCATACTTCCTCCGTTATCACATGAATCATAGTTATTGGAATTCGCCGTCTATCTGAACCCAATAAAATAGTACCCATTGTAATCTAAGATCTTTATTAACAAAGCTTTTCTATTCGCATATAAATTATTGAAAACGCAGTTGACCTAAGTACAACAGGTACAATAGATAAAAGTGACATTTTGATTTATATATAAACCTTTAGAAAAAGAAATCCAATGCAACCATCGGGTGATATTCAGAAAACTATACTTCACCAGAAACGTATTGACCGGTTTAAGTATTGTGCGAGCCAATCCAATGTCACATGAATTCAGCATAAATAATACAACTGTATGCATAGCATTCAATTATATATAATGCAAAGAGATTTAAATATAGCAAACATAAAACTTATTATAATAGCTTATGAGATGACTATGTTAAAATATGTGATTTGAGAAATCAAAAGTTGCTTTAAAGACATCATCGTGAAGTGCCATTTGAGTCAATTTACATAGTAGCGAGACTATTCAGATAGTACACATGTACCAACGCCAACTATAAAAAAATCGGTATTTTACAGGGTAGGCTTGCTTGCAATGAAATATATATAATTATGTAAAAGATATATGTAATTTTACATACAATTAAAATATTTAAATCTCTTTGATATCGATAAATGAGTCGTACTAAAACTATTCTAGACGAAGCCAAAGTTTTTAGTTTTAATAGCGAGTAATAGTTTATGTTTGAGAACGTGTCGCGAGGAATACAGAGGTATGTAGAGTCGGGAGATGCAGGTGTTGGCCGTGGGCAGGTGGGCGTCGTCGGCTGGTCTGATTGTCACTGAAGGCATCGGCTGGAAGCCTTCCTCTGATGCTGGCAGAGCTGGCGATCCGGTCCAAAAGTATACCTGATTAACACAATTAATGATTAATTTTGATTGGCTAATCAAGCAGGTACGTACGCACGCACGTAGTTGAATACGTTCCGCAACCTTGCTCTGTCTCAAAGCAATTTGCCCTATTCAAATTAATTGAAATACCATAATCCGCTTCAGCACCCAAAACACCACCTCACTTGTTTTTGAATAAGAAAATTGTTTCACGCTTTAATTCAATAGAAATCATCTTTTTCGGACCCATGGTTATAAAAATAAATGTGATAATGTTTTGTAAATGTACAAATATGTGAACCTAATTAAAAAATGCTTCTAAAACGAGGGAAACAAGCAGTCAGACTGAGGTGGGAAAAAAGGTGGTGTGTAGTGTGCGGTTCCTCGTATCTCAAATATTGTTAATTATATCTTGATATTGACTTAAGACTTAGAACCCTTGTGACCCTTAACCAGGGAATATAAAGAGAGGTCCCTTGCACGGTGGGCTGACGAGTTTAAAGAAGTTGGTGGGGATTGGGAGGAAAATAGAGAGCGACGGAGCCACTTGAAGGAAGCCTATACTCTATAAGTCCTTGGAAAAAAAAAAAATTAATTAATTTTGTCTGTTTTAGGAAACTGGTAATTTGCGGTACGCTAACAGTTCGTCGGAGACTGATTTTGAACGGAAAATAATGTGTATTTATGTAATTTAAGAATGACAATTAACACGTAAAAAAGTTGACGTTTGTTTACTTGTTTACAAGCATGGTACGTCATATGGACTGGAACTATATTTCGCAGCGAGAATTTATTTAAAATATGATTGTATGTGTAAATGGAATTAATTTCAGATTATCATTACGTTTCGAAAATTACGGGGACTGATTTTGGTTAATGGAAAATAATAATGTCCTAGTAATTTTTTCTAAAATCTATCATATAAGTTTCTTTAGTCAACAATAAAAAAATTTAATATTAAAAATTTATATATGTTACATTGGGGACATTTTAGAAAGGCTAAGATGGGAAACCACTTGTGATTTGACTGGAACTAATAATGATTCCGCACGAAGTGGTTTCTTAAAATCTTGACATTAATGTTAATTTTTAAGGAACATTACTAAATCCAATATGAATAAAAAAGCTCACCAAATCCTGCCTTTCCAAATGCGTCATCTTATCAACTATAGCCCAGAGCCAGCGTTTGAATCTGGCGAGTCGTTCCGGGGGTTCCCCGCTCTCGTCATTGAAGCCCGTGTACGACACGAGCGCTGCCACGTTGATGTCGCCAACACCGTTCAGCAACAGCCTTAAGTCCTCCGCGGTTAGGCCTTCTAGGGCCGATTCGGGGAGGACATCCAGGACTCCCACTCGCATAGCCTGAAATTTGGGATTTTATCAAATACTAGCTGTTCCCTGCCACGTTGAGAATGAGAAACAAAACAAAGAATACATTTCATATAAGTTTTATATGAAATGTATTCAAAAACAAACAAAAATTACATTTATTATGTATACTATATATTATATTACATATAACATGATTATATTATTTTGAAATGGCTTCCCTGTAAAGTTTACTATTTGTCAGATCCGTCACTATTCTACGACTATGACGAATTTATTACAAAATGAACAACAAATTTTGAAAGTAAAAAAATAAATAAACAATGACAATAAAAATGAATATTTTAGATTAATTTTGTTAATGTGTGTAATGTGTGATGCATAATTCTGTGCATTAAGTGTCGGAGTGATTTTCAACAAATAATTCTAAATTTATTAACATGTGTGTGTGTAATGTATATTAAAGTAATTTTATTTAAATGCATTTAATCATATTTTGCCGTAAATAAAAATATTACCTCTAAAGCCTTCTCCTGAGATATGACCATGCGATGTTGCGCGTACTTCCGCACGTAGTCGTATACGTTCAACGCGGTCACTTCGATCTCTCGTCCACCGGGCAATAATTCTACGCAGCCACCGCCCTCTTCTTCGCACATTTCAAGGCTGAAAAATATTCAATGATTTACTTATTTTAAATTATACATATAGCGTTATAGCGTTCAAGTATTACGTAACAAATTTGGGGGGGATCTTTTGTAAAACGTTACGATGCGGGGCGGGGATTGAATTACGCGTTATTGTTAATATTATTTTCTACTTACACCACATAATAGTGACTAAAGAGTCACTAGGTGGCCACGCAACGTTTTTCTAGGACTTGGATACAGTACTGTACTTGGGTACTGAAAAACGTTACGGCGAGTTTATTGGGGGGGGGTCGCGAGGGTCAATAATATCCGGTTATATTGACCAAAATCAAAGGTCCCGGCTGAATTCTATTGTATTAGGTTCTTAATAACAACGTCATCGGCAGTAGTCCTTTCGATGTCGTTATAACAGATTTTGAAGTGTCTATCTAACCAAGGGTCATATGTAAAACGTTAATCAAACTTAAATCTAGTTTTAAGACTGTAACCAATGTTTCTGTATGAAGTTTGACCTTTTTGACAGTGCTCAAGACCAGATTGTGACTAGACATACGAATGGGGCCAAGTTTAGAGACTTGGTACGTAGACTTCAAAAAAAATTATACGTTATGATATACGAAAATCGTACTTAGCAGCAAGGCTCTACTCTGAATCTTACGCTGGCCATAGACGGACCGCATGTTGCATTCGAGAGCGACTGCTGTAGAGCGGTCGCGTTGAAGTCGTACACGACTGCAACACGACCGCATAATGCAGTCTATCTAGATGGCTACGACTGCTTGGAGCAGTTGTGTTCGACAGTAAAATAAAACTGATACGAGTTCATTTATAAGATGGATTTCGATGAAGAAACACTACTACTTGTACTACTATTACGCAAGCGTAGGCGTAGAAGACACCTTAGTATGTGGGTGCGTCCAATACTACAATCAAGAGAACAGCATGGAATATTTAATACTTTGTATCACCAGCTGAGAGAAGACACTAAAATGTTTTTCAACTACTTTAGAAGGTCCGTGGTTTCATTTGATGAATTAGTTAGTATTTGATTTCATTTGAGGGAGAGCCGCGTCGGCAGCAACCGCTTGTAGCGGTCCGTGTATGTTGGGTCCGGTAGCTTTAAGCAGTCGACCGCACGGCGAAACTCGACCGCAGAGCGACTGCTCCGACCGCTCAGAAATTGGTCCTGCTCCGTTAGCAAATTTAGTATGGAAACTGCAGTTCGCCGTGCGGCGACCGCTTAGAGCAGTCGGTCTTGACTGCAACATGCGGTCCGTCTATGGCCAGCGTACCCCTTACACTTAGACTGACTAAGAATTACATAAGATTGATCACCTATTTACCTTAAAAAATCATTTATTAAACTATCACAAAAAGCTTGTCAAAATTCCATCAAACTCGAAACTAACAGCATATTTTAATGTTATGTATAATAACTAAACATTATATACAAATAATTAATCGATGCAACGTGTAAACGATTACAATATCTATATAAAGAGTTAAGCACACGGCTATCCAACCATAAGTCACAGATTATATACGCGCACGCAGCAGAGCACGAGACCACTTTTGTGTTTGTGCGTGTCAAGTCTTAATAAAATTAAATTTGAAATGTTTTATTTTCAGATATTAATATTAGAAATGAATAAATAATATATAAAAAACTAGCTGTTTCCCGCCCGCTTCGCTGGACGAAAATAGGAAATAAATAAAATTTTATGTTTCATTATTATTATTTTTTCATATTTTTATTATTCTTCTTTTTAACTTACCCGCTAAGAAAATTGAAAATTTTCGAAAATCGAGTTTTTAACAGATGTTGACGTTTTGAGGTTCTAGGAAGCCTCTTCGAATGTTTCCGCGGTGAAGTCCGTATGGATAAATTTTCATAAAAGTAAAACAGCAATAAAAAAATGAAGGAACGTTGGAATTTAAAAAATAAACCATCTAGGAAAAAAATCGCATCGAATGGCAGTAGTTTCATGTCGATACGATCAGTGGTTTAGGCGTGAAGGAGCCTCTAACGAAGACCATTTTTCTTATATATATATCAAAGAAACATCTACAGGCTCTAGTACCAGATCATAATTATAACTCACCTAAAATTGAGATCAAGCGCTGCAAAAAGCGTGTGAGAGTCGCCAGTTTCCGCGTCCACCACGAGCTGCCTCAAGCTCTCGTAGACCACTGGATCGAAGAAGGCCAGATCGTGGAAGCGAATCTTCCTACCCAGGATATATTTCAGTACGTGACGGTTCAGGAACATTGGACATAGCTCGTTTTGCAGGAGGCATAGGCCTATTATTCTGTAACCAAAAAATTTGAATAAATTTTCTATAAAACCATCTATATAATCTCATTCGGTAATATTCCAATTATGAAATGAAATAACGACTTTTATTGGCATATTTTATTTTTATACTTCTTTAAGAAAATTAAAAAATTAAATTAAAGCATTATTCTCCTAACAAAACAATGCTTTAAAATATTTTTTTAATTATTACAGTACAATGTGTCCCGACCAAGGAGGTTTCAATTCAATTTAAGTACACATAATCTGTGGTGAGCGCTGGTTCCGAGCCAATAGACCAATAACAGACTTTTGTTTCTTTCAAATTGCATTTTATTTAATGTACCTATAGCCATGAGATTAAATAAAGTAGTGTATGTAACTGCATATAATTAGGTATTAAAACACTCGTGCAATCTTATTTTGACTGCACTTATGTTTAAATACCCTCTATTATAATATGACAGTTGCATAAACTACTATTTTAATACGTCTGCATAAAACAGTTATGATGATAAATTCAATTACGATATAAAATATTTTTTTTTTTCAGGCTCTTTTAGCTGCAATTTGTTTTATTTGATGGCATATTGTAATTAAAAAAAATATTGAAATATCGCAAAATGTGTTAATGCCAATTTAAGTATGTATATTGTTTCAGGACTAAAATAAAATCAAAATATTCGGTATACTTCGGGAAGCTATCCCTTTATTCAGTGCCTTTAAATACAAAAGTACTAGTTCTTACGACTAGAGTCTTTATTCAATTAATGATTATTTACGTGAGACGCTGTAGTTGATATAAATTTAATTAAGTATCATATGTATGATACAAATAATATAAAAATTGACCAATTCGTATGACTAATAATGTAAAATGTAAAATTCGTTTAAAGACAAATTTGCGCGCCATTGTGTGTGGCAGAATATGCGAACTTACGATTGTACCACCTTACACATTTTGGTACCATATTCTTGTAATAAATTATTATTATTAAAAAATACATCTTAAAATAAAAGTATTCTATATTAAGCATGTCCCCTCCAGAAATCCGTGGATATCTTAAAAACTACTGAACAGGTTATGATGAAACTAGGACTGTTCCTAAAGAATACATCGTCATCGTCTCAATATGACTGAATTGATGATGATTTTTATTTCTGAAAAAAAAAAATTATTTTATGAACTCAGTTAAAAATAGATTACCTTCCAACATTTCTAAAAGCGTTAATTCTCTCTGGAGTAGCTCTACCCTGGCGAGGGGAATAATACCCTCTCTTGCCAGGGGAGTAGAACAGCGGAGCTGCGTCGTCAGGGGCCGAGACGGCGCTCGTAGGGTTTAGGGCTGCGCCCCCGCCACGCTCCGATAGAGAGAATACATCGAGATCTGTTAACAAATATATAATATATAATAAAACTTATCACATCATTCGATTGTTCGTATAGTTAATAATACAAATAGGCTATTTGACAGTACGAAAAAACAATTTAATTAAGTAAAATAACTTGTAAGTAATATTTCTTCGTCTGTATGTTTTTTTATAAAACAGGGAGCAAACGAACTCACCTGATATTAAGATTTTTTTAATTTCTTTATTTTACAAAATAATATAATATAATCACAATATGGTACATTAGAAAACCGCTGTGGTTTGTATTAATGTAACCATAGCAGTCTTGTTTAGGAGCGCGACAAATGCATATAAAAGTAGTTTTTTAATTTACTGCTTATTTTGGTTAGTGTTGGGCATTCTAATATCATTGGGTAGACCATTTAGTAGCCGCGGTAGCAAATACCTCAACGTTCTGCCGTATACGTTGTTTGTTCTCGATATACAGAGCCGAACTTGCGTTACCGCTCGAGTCTGTACGTCATGCTTCACTCGTTTTTTTTATGTCATCCCGAAAAAAGTGATCGACCAGAAGACATTTATTTACTTTTTCTGTTATGGGCAGTATTTTGCAGTGTTTAAAAATTCCTCTTTCCATATTTTTATATAAGTGAAACTCTCAATGCCAGAGGGCTCGCGAGTGCGTTGCCGGCCTTTTAACAATTGATACGCTCTTTTCTTGAAGGACCCTGAGTCGAATTGTGGACAGCTGGTTCCAGTGATGGTGCGGGGCAAAAACTGCCTTAAAAAACGCTCAGTTGTGAAACGACGGACGTCGAGGCAGAATACGAAATTCCACCCGTATCACCTCGACGTCCAATGATGAAACTCAGCTGCAGGTATTAATCCGAACAAGTCCTCTGAACACTCTTCATGTTAAATGCGAAAGAAGATGCAGAGTGACCCCACATCTCTACGCAACGCCAAAGGATCAAGCCGCTTGGAGAGGGATTGGGAAATGTAATTCCTAATACATTCTTGAAGTTGAATACAAATTGTAGAGTGAGAATTTACATGTAAAAACGTTTGTTTACGGATGGATATGAAGTTTAAGACTACAACTTGCCTAGAGAAGCGTTTTGGCGGAGTTCCTAAACTTATAATTTTTTTTGCAATTTTTTTTGTAGTCACTAATAAAAATAATCTGAAATGGATTTTTACCTTGTCAAATATTTAATTCGATGAAAATTGTATGAGTTCAAACTGCTCTAGAAACCGACATATTAAAATTACAATAATTGAAAAAAGATGACGCCGACTTATAATATTGAGCACTAGCCGTTTCGCGCCCGCTTTGCTGGACGAATTAAAATAAATTTTATGTTTCATTATTTTATTTTTTTTCATATTTTTATTATTCTTCTTTTTAACTTCCCGCTAAGAAAATTGAAATATATCGAAAATCGAGTTTTTAACAGATATTGACGTTTAGAGGTTCTAGGAAGCCTCCCCGAATGTTTCCGCGGTGAAGTCCGTATGGATAAATTTTCATAAAAGTAAAACAGCAATAAAAAAATGAAGGAACGTTGGAATTTAATAAATAAATTTCGCATCGAATGGCAGTAGTTTCATGTCGATACGATCAGTGGTTTAGGCGTGAAGGAGCCTCAAACGAAGACCATTTTTCTTTTATATATAGATATATAGATAAAATATTTTTTAATAAAATCAAGACCTAAAAACCACAATTCATTCACACACATATCACACATTAAATTAATTGCAAATAAATGATTTGTTTATTTAAATTACTTATAAAATAATATACTGTCAAATTGGTTTAATAGGGGCCAACTTTCAGCCAAAAAAAATGGCCATTCTAACAATAATAAATCTAAATTTGATTCTGTTGGGTAATAGGTCAAATAAGAAATGATTTCTGTATGTAATTACATACTAGCTGAGCCCCGCGGTTTTATCCGTGTTAATTCGGTCATAGAGTCATATATATAGACTATACATTGACGACTCATTGGTCTAGTGGTTAGTACCTCTGACTGCGAATCCATGGGTCCCGGGTTCGATCCCCGGCTGAGACGAACATCGATGTGATGAGCATTTGGTGTTGTGCTTAGGTCTTGGGTGTTTAAATATGTATTTATATGTCTATCTATAATAGATAAACTGATTGAATATTTACCGAGTATCGCCTCTGATGGGTGCATAACGATGAGATCCATGGCCTCCCGAACCTTTTGCCTGAGCGCGTCTTCACTTGCGAGCAACACGAGCAACTGAGCAGGAGTCAGCTCTAACAGCATCCCCGTAATCTTGCCCGCGAACGTTGGGTGTAGGGAATGAACCTAAAAATGTGTTTATATAAAATTAGTATGACACTCTTATGGGAGCGTTCAAGTATTACGTAACGTATTTTGGGAGGGGGGGTCCTTTTGTAAAACGTTACGATGCGGGGCGGGGATTACTTAATTACGCGTTATTATTAACAATATTTTCGACTTACACCACATAATAGTAACTAAAGAGTCACTAGGTGGTTACGAAACGTTTTACTATAGGTACTTGGGGGGCAAAAATCGCGAACAACAAAACAAAATTGCGTTACGTAATACTTGAACGCTCCCTTGTCGGCAAAAGTAAGCAAAGCTCTCAAAAGTAATAGTACATAACGTATTAATTTTGTGTTTATTATTTTTGTGTGTTATAGAAATCGAATGTGTGTGTAATATGTATAAAAAAGTAAATAATTACTGTTGACGTAATCACCAAATAAGAAGATCGAAGACCCCTCCCTCCCCACTATTACGTTATACTTGAACGGCCCCTTGTCAATCAAACAAAAATGATCAAAGAAACGGATGCAAACTGGTATCTTTTATAGTAATTAAATATGTATATTAGAGCAAAACCTTACCTTTGGATACAGTCTCTCGCCTAACTGAGCCTGATGTACGGTGAGGTGTTCGTTGTGTCCGCTAGATCTTTCGCCGCTGTAGCCCGCGCTCTCACCACCAGGAGCACCCTGAAATACATTAGTCATAACCAACTTCTTTTACACATTGTGGTCCTTCGAGCCGGATTATTTAAGAGATTTAACATTTTCACATTTAACAAACAATAAAAGCGCATACGATATATATTCGATAATAACATAATAGGGTATGGGGCAGACATTACTGTAATGGATATTTTTGAAGGAAAACTTCTTTAGGCGCATGAGGGTAAATTTTTTTCGGATGAAACGCAATAATAATATTAGCGTCACGAAGATGTGCAGCGGTTTTGTCGAAGAAAAGGGAGAGAGCGATTGAGACCGATCGAGAGAGAGTGAGAAGGGCGAATTACATTATAAAAATTAAATTTTTAAAATTAAAATTTCGTTAAGAGAATTTATGTAATATTAGTACTTTATATTTTATGCAAAATAATTTATTGAAATCCCAAATTAAAACGAATTGTAAATTAAAATGCCACATGTTATTATCATCGAAGAAATAAATTTAAAAAAATAATTTTATTATTTGTATTAATTTTTGACATTTTTAATATTTTAATGACAATTAAATTCTTATCATATCTTCCTTTTTCCCTCCCTCTAAGTGTGAGAAATCAAAATTTTTGATTTGTATAAATATGAAAAAGACTTAAAAATTAGTTTGCCAAAGAAGTTTCACTTCTCACATGTGTACTTTATACGCACGCACTTTTTTGAACAATGATTGCTTTATTAAAAATCAAATCTATTATAAGCCCTAAATCACAAAGCCGTGATGACGTCATAACTGTTAAATACCTGTGGCGAATAAGGCCGTGCATCAACGCTGAGCACCCTCCTTGGTTCTCGTGATGAAGGCCTGGAAGCTGGTCTGGCTGCTCCACGCCTGGCCGTGTCTTTCGTCCGTGCACGACTTGCACCACTACTACTGCTGGAGAGTTAAAATAAGGTTTGATTAGAATTTTTCCCTATATATTATTAATAATAATTATATATATATGTACTAGCTGACACTGAGATGTTTGTTTTGACAAGTATATTATTTGTAGGAAACATTTTTTTAGTTCAATAAAAATAACTATCTACAATAATAGAAAATAGGGGTTGGTGATAGAGGGGTGAAAATTTAGGGTTGTATGTATTTTTTAATGGCACATTATAAAAAAATTAAAAATTAAAATTTCGTCCAAAAAATAAAAATAAAATGTTAGGGGTGGACAACCCTTATCACTTAGGGGTATGAAAAATAGATAGTAGCCGATTCTCAGACTTACTGAATATGCATATAAAATTTGATAAAAATCGGTCAAACCGTTTCGGAGGAGTATGGTAACTAACATTGTGACATGAGAATTTTTATAAAGATGTATTAACAATTCAGATCATTAATCCATATTTTACAAAATTAGTAAATAAAACAAAAATACAACTTAATTACTTACAAATACTAAACTAATTTACTTAGTCGATTTATTTACAATTTTAAAAATCAGGCGCTACGACCTTTTTAGGTCTGGGCCTCAAATTTCTGAATCTGTTTCAGGATAATTTGTCAATCTAATAGAAAATAGATGCCAGTGCCTGACACACGTCATCACGATAACGCAAGTCGGTTTCCTCACGATGTTTTCCTTCACCGCTCCGAATGTTAAATGCGCACATAGAAAGAAAGTCCATTGGTGCACAGCCGGGGATCGAACCTACGAACTCAGATATGAGAGTCGCACGCTGAAGTCACTAGGCCAACACACAGATTTACAGATTCTCTCAAGTTATTTAAAATAAAATTCACTGAAGTAAAATTGATTTTATTCACTAATATCGCTGTAAATCACGAATCATGTCATTGTTGATAAAAAAAAAAATCATAACTCTTATCAAAACATTTCTATTTATAACAAAATAACTTACCGAGCTCCACTATTAGTGCTAGCCCCACTAGCAGCGCCACCCGCGGAACCAGAAGTTCCGTTCGCAGCGCTGTTATTGGTTACATTGCCTGCTTTGGGCTCAAATGGCGGTAGCTTCTCATTTGCTAGAAGAGCCTATAAAACAGTTATAATAAATTAGAAAAATGTGTTTATTCATTTGTTTAAGATTTGGGAACCCTTTTAAGTAAAGACATACCTTTGCCAGAGTTCCATAAAAATACAAACAAACTCATTTCTATATAACAAACTTAATAGTAAATTCTTTAAAAATATATAATTTAACTAGTGGACCCCACAGACGTTGTCCTGCATGATATTTAAAGCGATTAGGATATTAAGCAAAGTATGAAAGTACCGACTGCAGTGCCATCTGCCGGGCTGATTTGTGAATCTAAACCATTCCCAGATCCCCTTGAACACACACAAAAAATTTCATCAAAATCGGTCCAGTCGTTTGAGAGGAGTTCAGTCACATACACACGCACAGAAGAAATATATATATTAAGATAACATATTTTTAAATAGATAGACAAATAAACTGAAATACAGATTAAAAATATTTTTAATGTTGCCAAAAGTACAAAATTACTAATAAAAGCCAAGAGTTTGAGGCTAGTATTTTAACAGCTAAGTTTAAGGTTATCCTTATTATAAGGTACACTTACTGTCGGAAAATGGAAGCTTTTTTAACCGACATAAAAATTTGAGTATTGATGTTGCAAGCATGAGTGCTAAATATTATAATATTTTTTTAATTAACCACGCATTTGTGATTACATGTTTTTTTTTACTTAAAACTTAACTCACCTCAGCTACACTCGTGTAGAAAGACCTGGCAACACCACTGCCTTCCCCAGGTTCATCTCTAAACGTGACCTTGACTCTATTAACCGTGAGTTGCGGTAAAGCGCCGAGAGCCCGACGATTCTGTCCCGCAAACGCACTATTTAGTTCCGCGAACGTTTGTTGAAGTAATTTCGTACGTTCGCGTTCCATCTAAAAGACAAAAAAGATACTTAAAACACAACAATTATGGGCCCTTATTGCGTTTTTATGTACAATACTAGACTGTCAAGCTCTTAAAACTAGACTAAAATCTTGATTATATTTTATTTATTTATTTACACTTCGTTACCATAATATACAATATCATACATATAAAAAACAAAGAAAGCAGATTACATAAGTTATTAGGCAACGGGCGGCCTTATCGCTAACACGCGATTTCTTCCAGGCAACCCTAATATGGAACAATATAAAAAGAAACACCTACAGCGGTCAAAGTACAAGAAGTGCATAATTAATTAACAAAAAAAAAACTTAAAAAACATGTAACTATAACAAAAATAAAATAAAGTAAAATCTAAAGAAGAAATATAAATAATAATATGTATAAACAATAATGTAAAAGCTAATCCAAACGTTAATTAAGCCACAATTAATATATATATATATATATAAGTAATAGCTAATTACGAGGCGAAGAAAAATGATCAAAAAGAAGACTTCTACGATATCGATCTCAACCGAGAAACTCTAGAAAGCCAGTCTATAAATCAATTATCAAAATTTCGGTTCGAAGGACCAAAAGAGATTTTGATCACACAGCAAGAATTATAGCCGACAGACTTACATGCGATTCTCAGATACAAAAAAATTTAAACAAAAAAAAAATTATTATAAAATACGGACCAACCACTCACCAGCTGAACCTTTTGATAATACTACTGTATATTATCCTTAGTAAATAATTTATCATTGACAATAGTCGACGCATTATGAACTGAGGTAGATACGATTGATCAAAGCCCTCGTAAAACGTAAATTAATCAATAAAGCTTTTTATAAATTTGACGAATATTTAAATGATCCTAATCCTTGGGATTGATTTGCTTCATTTCAAACAATTTGTATGACTCAATACTTGGCGAATAAAAAGAGTGGCGGAAAGTTTCTTGCCAGTTCTTCTTACCCGCTCTACGCCCTTGACTTGCGAAATGGTAGTAAATGTAAATTAACAATTAATTTAACTTCTTTTTTGACGTTCAAGTGTGCTTGTTTACCTATATGAATAAAGATATTTTGAGTTTGAGTTGAATACCTATCCCGTTATCGATATGCATCTCGATACAATTCTTACGCACATCACTACACCTCTCCATAAGACCTGTAAGTGCGAGCGAGACAGATAGATAAATATGATTTATGACCCGAAAAGCCTCAGTTCATAATGCGTCGACCCTGGGGGCCTCATAGCCTAGCGGTCTTATTAAGTGGCAGCTAGGTGAGGGGTACCGGGTTCGATTCCCGGTTCGAGGGCAAGTTTTAATTTAATTTAAATTTGTTCTTGGCCTTTGGGAGGGTTGTGCGGTACCGGGCTTAAACCGTACATGGAGGACAAGGTCGAATTTCTAAAAGACAAGCACGAATTATAAAAAGTCTAATGCACAAATCGTGCCAGAGCCATAAATAAAAAAAATAAAAAAATGCGTCGACTATAATGCTCTTACAACTTCTATCGCAATAATGCCACTCACCTTATGCAGTGTCAAATCCTTCTGCGCTGATGTCCTCAACTTCTCCATATCTCTTCGGAACTTCACCTCTTTGACGGGGAATCCACCGAGTTCAGATACCACGGATCCCGGTTCCAATCCCACATCTTCAGTGAACACACGTCCGAATAGGTCAAGCGACAGACGCCATCTGCCCAATAACAGGTCGTGCGATACTGACGCACCGAGGGATGGACACGCGCGCCTGAACATAAAAATGAAGATATTTTTATGAAATTGAGTAAATTGCTTTGCCTTTGGGAGCGTTTAAGTATAACGTAACGAATTGGGGGGTTCCTTTTTGTAAAACGTTACGATGCGGGGCGGGGATTGAATTACGCGTTATTGTTCAAGTATATTTTCGACTTTCCAGTACTTTACATCACATAATGGTAACTTTTAGATATATAAAGAGTCACTGGGTGGTCACAAAACGAGTACTATTGGGTACGGAAAAACGTTACGGCGCGTAACATGGGGGGGGCGTAACATTAATAATCTCCAAAAATTGCGTGACGTAATACTTGAACGCTCCCTTTTGTAATTCTTATTTATCTTATTTATTTATTTATTAATTCGTATTTCTTATTCTTCAGTATTGCATAGCAATTCATGAATCCGTGAGATTAGCTTTTTAGTTTTTTTATTAATATTTTTTTGTATTGTTGCATCCCTTATAATTTTATGTAGTATGTTATTTGTTATGTAAAAATATAACGAAGTGTGAAATAATTTAAAAAATAAATAAAATACTTTTACCATTATTATATAAAAAATAATATTATTATCATACTAATTATAAATAGACTTTAATTGTAAAAGTTATGTCTGCAATTTCATGAAAATTAAATAACTAAACAAGAGTATAACACTTCACAAACAATTTTAAATTTTAAGATAAAAAGCTTTTTTTCTCAGAAACCATTACCATTTGTAAAACATTTTCTATATCGCTTTATTAGATATAAAAATGTATCAAAAAAATTATACTAACGGCTGCGCTGGTGCATTGGGCTGCGGCAATGGCGGCGGAGGGGGCAAGCCAGTAGTTTCAACTGTCACGTGCGCAGAGATCTCTTGCGATTCCAGCGGGTCGGCCACACTCAACAATTCACCTTGACGTTCGCGGCTCTGTAATATATTGTACTCAAGTTACAGTACAACTACGTGTTAGGTCACTTTGGTCGGTTTATCACAATGTCATCTTTCCACATACAGTCAGTATATCATTTATACATCAGTCTCTTTTTGTCACAGGGTAAACACAATAATAAAGAAAGGGACGAAAGAGTTTTGGAAATTATGCCTATATATCTTTTAATTCTCTTTTTGGAGAGTTGTATTTTATTATGAAAACTTTAATTGAGACTCTCTTTTAATTAAATTTAAATCGGAAGTTCAGGCTTAGGCAAAATAAGAATATTAAAAAGTTAAAAAACTTGGAAAATAGATATTTCTATAAAAAATTCTGATCAAGTTCACGTAAACGTACGCGCTCGTTAACTTTGTACATATAATATACGGGGTACAAATAAAACTAGTTGGCACGTTGGTTTTTTGTTTATTTTTGGACACGTTTTAAATTGGAAATATTAAGCAAAAAATCTTTCACAATTAATAAAGGCCAGTAACGCATCCGTTTGATGGAGTAATAAAAAAAGCTAAAAAATATGATTAAGAATTTCTGTTATGTATCATCAATATACGTAAAAAATGGCGCTTAAACTCCTGGCTTTCTATAACTGTTTCTTAATAGACATGTCGGTGATCAGCCTTCCGTGTCCCACACACATTAATTTTTGGTTCAAAGATTTTCCTCACGATGTTTTCCTTCAGCATACGTCAAATGTTCGTTAGCGAGCACGAGATGTCAGGCTTAATTCTCGAGGGTATTGGTACCCAGAAACCCGAGTAAATCGTCAGTCGTAGAATAGTGACGGATCTGACAAATAAAAACTTTTTTTTAATGTAACCGTAATATTTAGTCAATGTAGTATCCAAATATGATGGATTTTTTTCAATACCGACATTGTTCTACGATCATGACGATTTATACCCTGATATCCGGGTCAACACAGGTATAGTAAAAAGCTAATGCCAATTGAAGAGGTTGGGAGTAATTTTGTTTAGAAAAAGTCCCCCAAATAAGTGGAGTGACTTACAGCACGTACAATAACGGATTTTCCGGGACTTCTTGATGAAGAGGCGCGCGGCTCTTGCGCTGTGTTGAGACCACTTGGACCTACAAATATTAAAGTCAAGTCAAATCATTTATTTCCAACTAAAATGGCACTTTTGAACGCCAAAAAAATATAAAGATGATTCTAGTTGCCCCTTCCAAAAGGTAGTTCCGCGTGGAGAAGAATAGGCAAGTAATTCCACACTTACTCTTTTAAAATAGGTTTACAATATTTTGTATACTTATTCAACTTTATGCCCGCCTTCCACTGCGAGCGGAACGGACCCATTACGGACTCTGCTATACTCGTAACATGATTTTCATAATCGTGCTTCCACCAAAGCAGAGAGAGCGCAGCGGAGAGACGAGTTGAAAGAGTCACACATAGTACAGTGACCAGTTTTAACGGAAATGAAACTGTATGAAAATCATCGTTACGAGTATAGCGGAGTCCGTAATGGGTCCGTTCCGCTCGCAGTGGAAGGCGGGTATTAGTGTACATACACATTTTCTGCAAGGAATATTTCTTCAAAACCGACTTCAAAAAAGGAGGTTATCAATTTGGTCTGAATGTGATTTGTTAAAATTGAATATGATTTGATCGATATCGATTTGTTTGTCCACAAATATCTCGAAAGCAATATTGAGATGATTATGATTTAAATCAGAATAGTTCCATATTAGGGAAACACCCATAGTATCCATAGTAGTTTTAGTTACACGAAAAAGATAATGTCTTTTTCAAAATTTCACAGTCTGTTTCGTTGATAATTTATATATTCTTGAGGCACTACTCTCCTCTATCTATCGACCGAATTACACTGAGATATCGGGAATCGAATCCTGGACCAGAAGTAACGTTATATGTAAAATCTTTATAACAAACTATGTATACCTGGAGATGGTGAAATGCTAAGCCCCTGCTGATGCGGTCCTTCCATGATGGAGCAAGCTGTATTCACTAGCGTATGGAACTCTGAGCTTGACGAGTTCGAGTCGTGCATTTGATTGCTACTGGACATGTGTGGGTGCCTGTATTTATTCAATTTTATTACACACACAAGCACAGTATAGTTATGAAAATGGAAGAGTCAGTTGATAGAGGTCACACACATTTGTAACTTTATTTAATTTTAAAAAGTTCAAAAATCTTCTTGTCTTTATTGCCGACCACTTGTTATTGTTTGGCCGAATAATTTTTATAGGAATTCACCAAACATTAATAAAAATTGCCAGAATTTACTTCACGTGTATTAATTTACACAATTATACAAAGTACGTCCGTCATACATATAATAAACTGTAATATACCTAAGAACGTAAATTTCCAAAGGTGTATCCGTTTTGTTGCAAAAGAGTTTATTTACCAACTATGTTAGAATATCATTTCTGATAGAAGAAGATTCCACTAAAATGCTGTGTACAGATATAATTGGAAATTCAGGTTTACAAATGTTGCTTAGTGTGTAATAACTATATGTATTTCACAATCTGTTTTTGTTCCTTAAATGTAAAAATAAAAATAAAATAAAATAGGATTTTTTCATTATTTCTTTCTTTTCTTTCATGCATTCCATACTTCCATCTTACATCATTATTAAAAAAACATTAATATTCTTTTTATAAGGTAAATGGACGAACTGAAGTCTCCAAGGACAGTCAAACTCAAAATAACTTCATTCATATAGGTAAACAAGTACACTTATGAACGTCAAAAAGAAGTTAAATTAATTGTAAATTTACATTTACTACCAGTTCGCAAGTCAAGGGCGTAGAGCGGGCAAGAAGAACTGGTAAGAAACTCTCCGCCACTCTTTTTAATCGTCAAGTATTGAGTCATACAAATTGTTTGAACTGGACCAAATCAATCCCATGGATTAGGATCATTTAAATAATCGTCACATTTTTTAAAAGCCTTATTAATTTACGTTTAACGAGGATTTTGAATTTATTCAGTGATAATTCTCTAATTTCGCTTGGGAGTTTGTTGTAAAAACGAATACAATTTCACTCAAAGTGCAACTTTTGAATAGGTAATAAAAATAAAGTGCGCCATTTTCTTTAAGTACTCGTAGAAATCGTCTAAAGATGGTTCGAGAGGTTGTGACAGGTAAAGCCAATCATGAGTGATCATAAATGTGTGTGATATTTTATTTTTTTCTAATAGGTAAATAGGTGATCAACAGTGACACATGTCGACTTTACGTGTTTAAGGCATGCCCGTTTTCACTATGTATTGCGTGAGCGAGTTAAATACGCACACGCACAAAACTGCTCTGTCTCTGCGCATATATATGTCGCAGATTCAACGCGATTAATAATTACAAAATTGATGTCACTACGGTCGTCCGAAATTATTACTTAATATTTAAACACAGTCAGTGCGCACGTCCGGCGCAGGCGCCGATCAGAGAGCAAGTACTAACGACCGATTCCACGACTGACAAATTGACTTTGACACATTGACATTTTACAACCCGTAAGATGTGTATTAAATTGCGTGGTGTTGCCATTCCAATAAAACAAATGACGTCGTGTTCTTTTATAACATAATCTCTGACATATATATATATTCAATATTTGAATATATATATTTATTGATATATATATTCGTAAAAATTAGTCGTAAAACGTTACAATAAAGAAATCAATATACATACCGATGATGTTTTTTCCTTGTAATTTGTCTAGCTTCATTGGAGTCAGAATCCGATATATATTCCCCGTCCGTATCCATATCCATTTTCGATGCTGTATCTTTGGCACACGATAGATCCTAAGACATTAAAAAATATATTTAAAAAAAAATTAACTGAATATAGGTCGGTTATCGAAAGCTGGCGCGTTCTCAGTACTCACACTAATGCAATTTCACATACAGGATGTTTAAAAATATGACTTTTTTGCCAAGCTATATATTTTAGTCTACTCTGGTTTTAGTAAGGTTAGTGGGTTTTGTGTTTTTTTCTGGATATGATATATTATACGATAATATAATATATTATATTACTTCACTAACAATTATTCTTTCATTAAACTGTTTTTATTATGATGTTTACAATAATTTAAAACATTGTACACTATTTCACGAGATTGTCCTGTTAATGTCCTGCCGGAACCAATTATTTCATAAGACATTTTTTTCAAAGTATTCTAACCTCCAACCAAATAAGTAAACAATCACAGACAAAATAATAATGAGAAAAAAGATCAACATAAACAGTAGCAAAAGCAAAACAATAACTGTCTCTTTTATACTCATAAGCTAGACCGAGCGCGAGAGAGACGGACAGTCTTTTCATGATACATATTCAGTGTGACATCACGCCTCGCGCTTATTCACAGACACTACACAAGCACAAAGTGTAAATGTGTTGAAGCCGCCAGCTTTAATAAACGGACCTATACTGCATCGCAACAAACCATTCCCATACAGTTTCACTATCGTATTGTTTTTCTAATCTACTCAGAAGCTGGTTGCTTTTACTTCAAATTACACAAGAAATGTTTTTCCTAAATATTTTAATTAATTTTTAGTTCTATAGAACAGGGAGCAAACAGGCAGGAGGCTCAACTGATGTTAAGTTGCCATTTTCCTTGTCAGAGGGCTCGCCAGTGCGTTACCGGCCTTTTAATAATTCGTACGTACGTTTCTTGAAGGACCCTAATTATAAAATAATAAATGTTTTTTCCTTCATAACTTCTTGTCTATGATAACAGATTCCATTTAGTGTAGCATGTTTATTATTGAAAAAAAAAACAGCGTAAAGTGGTATTAATTTAATTAAAAAATAAATTACTGGCGCCACAACCTCTGTAGGTCTGGGCCTCAGATTTCTGAATCTGTTTTATGATCATTTTTAAATCTAATAGGCAAATAGGTGATCAGCCTCCTGTGCCTGGTACACGTCATCGATTTTTTGGGTCTAGACATGTCGGTTTCATCACGATGATTTTCCTTCACCGTTCGAGCAAATGTTAAATGCGCACATAGAAAGAAAGTCCTGTTGGTGCACAGCCAAGGATCGAACCTACGACCTCAGGTATGAGAGTCGCACACTGAAACCACTAGGCCAACACTGCTCTATATTTATTATAATTTATTTAATTACAAAACGATTTTCATGTTATATAACCATCTTTGATTTTATTTAAAGTTTAAAACAAAATAATATTATGTACCTGTGGTTCGTCTCTGGATAGTATGTGCGTGTGCGTATGCGCAGGAGGGGCCGAAGCGGGGCGGGCTGGAGGCGAAGCTCCACGTTCCGGGCCACGGCTGGAGAGCCCTAGGCGACGAGGCACAACTGGAATAGATGTTTCGTCAATCATAACAACAAATAAATATAAAATATATTTTTACAGGATTTAAACGCGTTAATTTACTGCAATAAGGTATAAAACCCTCCCCTCTAGAATAAGCCGATTTTGATAATACTCATCCCTCAATTGAAGAATCATCTCGATATAACTTCTAGTGTAAATTATGGGCAAACATACAGTAAATAATTAACAAGGCTAAATCCATCATCATATATATATATCTTTATAGGTTACTATATGACCCGGCAAACGTCGTTTTGCCATGTATATTATTTCTAGGAAACATTTTTTAGTTCAATAAAATTAACTATCTACTATAATAACAAATAGGGGTTGATCGTAGAGGGGTGAAAATTAAGGGTTGTATGTATATCTGTATCATAAAAAATTAAAAACAATTTTTTTTTTTTAAAATTAAAAACAATTTTTTTGGTGTGGACACTAGTTATCAATTAAGGGTTTGAAAGATATCAGTAGCCGATACTCAGACTTACAGAATATGCAAACAAAATTTCATACGAATCTGTCGAGCCGTTTCGGAGGAGTATGGGAACGAACATTGTGACATGAGAATTTTATATGTATAGAGATAGAGAAGAGATATTAATAAACTCATTTTTGAAATCAATAATGATAGACTATGAATTATATGTTTTTAAAAAAGTGCCTTACCTTCAAGTGGGTTATTAGTCCCCGGTGGTCCATCACCAGAGGGCGGCACAGTGACGGGTTGTCGCGGCATTCCAAAGAGTTCTTCGCGCCTAGCGTTGGGTTGCAATAGTTGGGGCTGATCAGCCAATGGCAGGGCGTCTTGCATTGTCACTGAAAATACAATAACTGTGTAAGTCTTCTGAAACAGCATTCTCTCACTCACACATTTGTATTATGGGAATATACAACTTTGTACATTAATAATGGAAAACACACACACAAACAAAACGCACGCGCGCGAGGTGCCGTACGCATTACTGGGGCGCATTAAGGCGTCAAACAACGAATTAGAAGTGTGAAAGTAACGAAAAAAGCGTTTAATTGCGTTTTGTTGTACCAGCCTTTGGACAGGGCGCACTAGCTTTTGAGTTAAGCCATAACGTCACACTCCCTAAAACGTCGAAATTTCTCGACAATAAAAATAGAAAATGCAATTTTTTAAATAGATAATCCGGAATACGTTTAATGATAAAAAAATAAGTCTGTCGTTCAGTTACATTGTACGGGATATAGTGAAACTTCTGAAACTGAACTGTATTAGAAACTATTTCTGGAAAAACAAAGTTTATTTACTAGGTACACACCTACAGAATTAAAATTTATACAACTTTTGTTGCATATCGCAGAGCCATAATTGGTTTGTTTTAAGTTTAGAGGTCCGATAAACAAGTTTCTTCAAACACAGTAAATCCGTTGACAAACTGCAAAGCAACAATTTACAAATGTAATTTAATGCCGATAAGGAAATTTCAATTCGAAAATGTAATCCGTTGTCAAACTTCAAAGTCAAAAACATACTATATGTCATATTTTAACGCCGATAAAGAAGTTTGACTTCAAAAAGCAACATGGCGCGTAACGGAAAAATGTGACGCGTAACGCAAAAATGTTACACTAAATTTTTTTCCAACCCCGATAAAGAAGTTTCACTTCAAAATATATTAAATAAATAAATTTTTAAATTTTGAAAAAAAAAGAATACATTCTGACGGATCTGCATGTCTCAGCATATAAAAAATATTGACATTAAATAATAATATGTATTGTATCATCGTAAACGCTTCACCCAAATGATAAGTAAGAATCGTGTAATCTTTCTATTTATCGTACATATATTTAAATTTTTTTTAAAAAATTTATTAATTTTTTTTATATTTTTTTACCCATTTCTTTTAATAAATTTTTTGGTTGAATGAAACTTCTTTATGACTATGGGAGAAATTTTGTAGCAAATCTATTTTTCAATGATAGTAATATTTCTATTACAATTAATGAAATTCTATAATAATCTTCGTAGTAATAAGGTAAAATAAATATTTGTATTCATGTCTATGATAATAAAAGCCTTTTGTTAAACTTTATCCAATTTAACGAATTTCTTAAAGTTGCATAATATAGTAGATCATTTTTCGAAAAATAAGATCTTATTTCTTAGTTTCACTTCTTAGTGTGTACACCTATAAGATTTTTACTGGCCATCTTGACAGTTTCAAAGTTTGTCTACGATTGATAATAATACACGATAGGTGACGGTGGTGCGTTTAGTAACTGAGACCATAATTTCACTTTTTTGGCACACGTGTAATGCAATTAACAATAACAAAGGCGAGACGGCTGGTTCTGACCTCAGGTGTCTTTCTTAGAAATTTCGGCACCTCAAAAGGTTAGTTTTGTAAGCTGATTATAAAAACAATTACATTTAAGTATGTCGTTGATGTCTAAATATGAAAATATTTCTTCGTAATAGAGAATGGCTGTTGCGTTATAAAGAGTGAATGAATGTATGCGTTTTGTGTTAAACCAACCAAATGTAACTATTTTTACGTTATAGATAATTATAAAATACCAAAACAAAAGCATCAATTTTAAAACACATTGGCCCACGAAGAATATATAATTTGAATTAATATTTAAGCAAGAAAAAAAACTTACTATTAAATGGATCGGGTGGGGGACAGCCAAGGCATAGCGTAGAATCAGTTCTCTGGAAGAACGAGTGTTGCCTTCCTCGTCCATTCTCCCCCTCATTGTCAGATTCTGCCGCAGTGCTGCCACCTACTACCATTTCTTCTTCACCTTCCTCGTTTTCATTTTCATCCTGTCATTGAAAAAAAGGTCTCTGTTATCGATATCATACTTAGTCAAAAATAATGATTTAAATTTAAAAATAATATGTTGTATTTATAGGCGTCGCGTGCCCTTCTAACTGGGACCACCATAACCATATTTAACATATTGGACAAATCGATTAGGTGACCACTGAACTATAAATAATAGGGGAGATAGTGACGGAATTAGAACCCTTTCCTTGAATTGTGGCGGGCCCCCCCAAAAATACACCCCCCCCCCCCCCCCCCCCCCCACTCAAATATTCTTTTTTTTTTTTCTTTTTCTTTTCTCTTTTTCTTCTCCCTTTTTTTCTCTCAACCCACCCAACCAAAAAAGTTTGTGGGGGGGGTTTTAAAAACACCATAATTCTCTCCCTTCCTCCCCTCTCACACCCCCCCCCCCCCCCCCCCCCCCCCCCCCCCCCCCCCCTTTTTTTTTTTTTTTTTTTCCTCTCTTTTGGGGGTTGGTTTTCTCCCCCAAATTGGGGGTGGGGTTTTTTTTTTCCCCCCTTTCTTCCCCTTCTTTTCCCTTTTTTCTTTTTTTTTTTTTTTTTTTTTTTTTTTTTGGGGGGGGGGGGGGGGTGGGGGGGGGGGTTGTTTTTTTCCCCCTTCTTCCCTTTCTTTTTTTTTTTTTTTTTTTTTTTTTTTTTTTTTTTTTTTTTTTTTTTTTTTTTTTTTTTTTTTTTTTGTTTTGGGGGGGGCCCTTTTTTTTTTTTTTGGTTTTTTTTTTTTTCTTTTTTTTTTTTTTTTTTTGTTTTTTTTTTTTTCCCCCCCCGGTTTTTGGCGGGCGGGGCCCCCCCCCGTTTTGTGGGCCCCCCCCCCCCCGGGGGCCCTTTTTGGTTTTTGTTTTTTGGGGGGGCTTGTTTGGGGGGGGGTTTTTTTTTTTTTTTTTTTTTGGGGTTTTTTTTGGGTTTTTTTTTTTTTTTTTATTAAAAAAAAGTCGCTGAAGTCATTTGTACCTGTATTTCTCTACGCGGTTCTTTATCAGTGGTCTTTTTGAACGAAAATGTCAAAGAGAAATAAATAATTTGAATGATGGTCATAGCGCTGGTACCGGCGGCCTACGCGCGTGGGCGTTAGTCGAACTCGTCGAATTAATTACGACTTTCAAACGATTTGTTCCAGAAAAATTCTAGTATTTTCCGATAGTCCATAAAAAATAAGAGGCGGTAGTGTCATGCCGGTGTGACTTACAGCCCGCCATACCGACGCCTTTTTCATATTCGTAATAAGACCCCTGAAGAACCGCCAAACTGGTACAAATGACCCACTATTTTCTGTCACTATCTCCCGGCCTATAAATTCAGTTGTCATATAGTTTTGCCGGCACGCTGTGAGTGAGGGTGAAGGGCGGGCGCACGCGACGTCACTACTCGCAGTTCACTCGCAAAAAAATAGAACACGCTTCTAATCACTTTACTACGCAGCCAACTTTCTCCTAATCACTAATCACTTGCACTCGCACTAATCAAAGTGAATACAGGCCTTTAGTATTGGTATGTCCTTATTAATGAGTATTGTAATGAACCGAGGCTCTTCAGGACACGCTTATTTATATTAGTCATGCAGGCACAAATCATCAATAAAATTAATGTAGAAAACCCATGAAACAGAGTCAGTGCCACATCGTTGATCCATCTTTGGTGATTAGGCTTACATTTAATTAATCTTAAGCTACACCACAATATTCATTTCGGCCATTTTCAAAACTGTTAACATTTTTTTAATATACACAACATACCGGTGTCCACAAATGGTGATGATGATGCGGCTGCGGCTGAGCAGCTCTCATGTAATAGACGAGTGCGTCGAGTACGTACGCGACGTGCTTGAGTGCGGCCACATCCAGTACGGGCAGTTGTTCCGCGTGCTCAGCGCTATGTGCACGTAGGAGGGACAAACAGTATGCGAGGAACTCGCGTCTTGCGCTACCGGCTTCCACGCCTGTAATATATATAATGACACAACCCGTATACATGGTGGCATATGCTTCTTAATATCCCCCCCAAGGAAATTTGAATTTCCGTGTTTGATTAAGATTGCAGCAAAATATTTGTCGGCGCCAGGAAGTAGTGTTTATTCACAGCGCGTTTTCTCTGAAGCCGGCGTGGTATAATTTTTCATTTTACCAATTATTTCTCTATGACAAAATATATTATTTAAGTATTCGGTATTCGGCCGAATATAATAAAAGCAGCCGAATAGGCCGAATACCGAATAGTAACCGAATATTCGTTGCAAGTCTAATTAAAAGCCTACCTTGATCACGATCCCTAACCCGAGGCGCTTCAGAAAATCCTATAATTCTTGAAGCGGGTGTGGTAAAAGAAGTCGCTCTGCGAGTGGTCGGAGCGGCCGCTCTACTTGGCTCCGCTGTGGATGTACTCGCATTGTTGGAGGTTAATGATGCTCCAAATCTAAAACAAATATATTTAACCAAATTAATTGAGTAACAGAGTTATTAGTTATTGGAAACTTAACCATTATATTTAGGAAACAAGACTTCGAGTAAATTTTTTTTAATCAACATTGTATTGTCTTTTATTGACATAACCTTTACACATTATTGAAAAAACTTTTTAACCGGATTAAAGTTATGTATTATTATAAATTTATTATTATTTAACATAAATTTAAATTTAACCGACGTTTCGCGTGCTTAACAGCGTGCGTGGTCACGGTGATTGAAGACAAAAGGTGTTGAATGTCAAAAAGTATCACAGCTGTAGAAAAAGTTGGGTTATCTGTATTTATTTCCCCGGAGTTGGTATCGACTAAAAGATGGAGGGTTTTGGCAAAAATGGCTCACGGTGTCCTCTATTTTCTCGGATTGTTTATCTTGAGATTTTAATTTGGATATTATTGCATCCCAGGTGATTGACAATTTTAGGCAGTCTTCTCTGTTGAAATTGGGGTGTTTTTTGATTTCAATGTAAATTTATAATAATACATAGCTTTAATCCGGTTAAAAAGTTTTTTCTTTAATTAACATTGTCATCGTTAAATTGTTATAAGCAATTAGACTACGCTGTGAAAATAAAATTATATATAAACCTGTTAAAATAGGAGGAAATAAAATTTTGACTTTATATTATTTATTTAATAAATTTTTGTGAATTTTATAAAGTTATATACAGGGTGGCCAAAAAGTCGTGGATCAAACGCAAAAAGGGGATAGATGAGGTCATCAGCGGCAAAAAATTGTTCTACGGGAGGTCTCTAAGGTCAACCCCTGCAGAGTTATGATTTATTTTGGTTTTATATGAAAATTGACTTTTTTACTAATTCTTCTTAAAATTCGATAATATCTACATCCTGTATCTTTCTCATAATATCCACTAGATTGGTACTGATGAGTTCTCACTTTTTATTGTTTTTGATTATTCAAGATAATTTAATATACATTTTTTTTAATCATATTTTTTTTTTGACCCCACTTAAAAAATCCAAAAACCTAGTTTGGCATTTAATAGATTAAAAGTTACACTGCCATGAGTCCTCTAATATCTTTCTAGAAGAATTACAAACAAAGATTGTGAAATAATAATTGTATTAAAACAATTATTTCACAATGGTGTTTTTAAACAATTTTTACATAAATTGCTCAAAATTCTATCTACCAATACTAATCTAGTCTATCAAATTCCTACGTAACCCTCCAGCCATCTGTCTAATTTTTTGAATCTAGTCCGATTCACACAGTACTGGTCCCATGTAGGTAAATAATAATCTATCATAAGTCCGAATCGTTGTTGTTTTTTCGTCCTAGAAAGATATTAGAGCGACTCATGGCCATGTGTAATACCTTTTCAGAATCCCTATGAAATGCGCCAAAACTTGTAATACAGGGTCACTTTTCGGTAGAGTAATTTTTTTTCACAGTGGGGTCCAAAGTAAAGAAAAATTTATGATTTGAAAAAATTTTATATCGTATCACTTAATATTATCTTCAATACACTCAATAAACAACTATAAATAGTATGTGTTAAGCAAGAACTCATCAGCACCAATCTAGTGGATATTATGAAAAATATACAGGATGTAGATTTTATCGAATTTTAATAAGAATTAGTAAAAAAAAGTCAATTTTCTTATAAAACGCAAAATTAATCATAATTCTGCAGGGGTTGACCTTAGAGACCTCCCGTAGAACAATTTTTTGCCGCTGATGACCTCATCTATCCCCTATTTGCGTTTGATCCACGACTTTTTGGCCACCCTGTATAATATAGTAAGCGTAAGTAATAAATATATATATAAATTATTTGCTGTTCGTTCGTCTCGCTCAAACTGGAGAATGGCTGGACCGATTTGGCTCATTATGATTTTGAAATATTAGTGGAAGTTCAAGGAAGATTCAAAAAGTAGAAAACATTAATAATAAGTAAAGAAAAAATACTAAAAACGACGGAAGTCTTGTCTTTTGAGAAATAAAAAAATGTTACTTGGTTATAATATCAGCCTTCAGAAATTTGTGTGGCTATAGTTTGAGGTCCAATATTATTGATGTGTTTTAAAATTTTTGACACAAATAAGTAGGTAATATCATCATCGGGCCATCTAATATACAAATCGTCATAGTCGTAGAATAGTGACGGATCTGACAAATAGTAAACTTTACATGGCAGCCATTTCAAAATAATATAATCATGTTAGTTTTTTTCATAACTATTTTAATTCATATTCTGTTATTATGAAAATTGGCATACAAGCAAACAAAATTTGTTTTCTAGAAAAATCACATGCTTCTATCAAATCCGTCAATTTACCAACTGATTAATTTAAAATTTAAAACACATGTCAATGTAGTATCCAAATATGATAAAAAGTGGATTTTGGACTTTGTTCAAATCCGACATTGTTCTATGATCAGGACGAAATATATTCTTACCTAAGTTGAGCCTCAGTGGCGTCCATAACGGTGACAAGCCAATCCCAGGTGGGCTTCAGTTGTCTCTCCAAGTAACACTGAAGACGCAATGCATCAGTATAGGCGAATGGTAGCATACGCGTCAGGGGCAATGGAGCGCGCTCGTATTCCCATAGAAGATCCGCAATTTGTCGAATTACGATACCTGAGGGTGAAATTATATTTATTTTTATTCATGTTAAAATGAGGACAATTAGATACTCATAAAAAGGATATACACTAGAGAGGGTAAAAAAAAACGTGTGTGACTTGGGGACTGCTACGGTGAAGCTATTGCATAATTTTTTTTATATAATCTCATTCGGTAATATTCCAATTATGAAATGAAATACCGACTTTTATTGGCATATTTTATTTTTATACTTCTTTAAGAAAATTAAAAATTAAATTAAAGAATTATTCTCCTAACAAAACAATGCTTTAAAATATTTTTTTAATTATTTAAGTACAATGTGTCCCGACCAAGGAGGTTTCAATTCAATTTAAGTACACATAATCTGTGGTGAGCGCTGGTTCCGAGCCAATAGACCAATAACAGACTTTTTCCATTTTGGCGCTATTTCGTACATATGAATTTGAGTAATATTTTGTTGGTTACAACTTTAGTAGCAAAAATGTCAAGCAACCCCGAAACACGCAACACAAAAATTAAAAAAACTCGTGCAATCTTATTTTGACTGCACTTATGTTTAAATACCCTCTATTATATGACAGTTGCATAAACTACTATTATCAACTTATGCAATTTTATTTATTTTTTATTTATGCAGTTTTTTTTTCTTAGATATTAATTCAAGTTTTTACTTTGATATTAATTCAATCTACCGCTCTACCAGACTCAGACTAACACGCCGATTTAGTCGTAGATAATTGATACATTATATTAAATTTTACTGCCACCAAAACAAAAACAAAAATGTGAGCCGTCACGGGACGCCTGGCAGAAACATCGACATTATTTTGTAAAAGTAATATACAGAAAAGAACAGATTGTGGTAGGAAATAAATATGTCATAATGATAAAATATAATATTACGATTTTTTTCCAATAAGATGACTATTTATTGAATAAACATTTATTGCCACTAAATACAAAAAAGATTTATTTCAAATCGTGACTACTTAATTCGTTTAATTAGGTCTTCGAAATACACACACCGTACACCCCCTTTTATATATACCATAAGATAGCGTGGCGTCGCCACGGCATGCGCTCGCCACGCCAGAAATCGGTTTTACGACGGCTATAGATGTTTCACATCAAAAGATTCTAATGATTTTCGGTATTTTTCTTAAAACAAAAGTGACCTCAGAGGCAGAAGATTAAATCCAAAAGCTAGCAAACTCTATACTCTATTTAGAGTCACCATTTAGCCACTGTGTTCTATAAAAACCAAATATTTTTTTTTCAGACATATATGACCCACCCCATCCCCAAAAATTGCGTAACGTAATACTTGAACGCTCCCTAACGAGAGCGTTGTGGTGAAAATCCTTACCAAAAGCCCTCGCAAGAAAAGCGGCCGTGGTAGAAGTAGAATGGGGGTCGTGAGCTCCGGCAGCTGCCACTCCGGCCGAACGGCGCAAAGACGCCGGGTCTATGAAGACCAAAGAAGATGCACCCGTCAGTCTTACCCCACTCGTTCCACTACTTCCGCCGCGCAGGGCTTCGCGAGACCTGTAAAATTAAGATATATAATTAGTGAAATTATCATACAACTGTAATTAACTTTTACTAAGATTATATGTATCAGATACGAAAACACCCACAACTCAAAAACAACTAAACCAATTTTGATGAAACTGTTTTCAGGTGTTCAAATCAAATGTTTTTCCTAAACAGTTCCAGATTGATTTTTGGCACAGCCAATTTCTCCTGATGTCTATCTATCTGTCTTCCTTCGACTTCTACATGCGACTATTATATTTTAAAATTTCTGTTATTGATCAAATATCATGCATGCCCATGAAAGAGAAGCCATCAAAATCATATTCAAACAATAGCTATAGCAAAAGCTGGTTTCGTTCATGAATCGGTAATATCCGAAATCGGTAATACAAAGAAGAGACACACATATATTTATTTATTACGACAAACTCAAACTCAAAATATCTTTATTCGTGTAGGTAAACAAGTACACTTACGAATTGTCAAGTTAAATTAATTGTCAATTTACATTTACTACCAGTTCGCAAGTCAAGGGCGTAGAGCGGGCAAGGAGAACTGGCAAGAAACTCTCTTTTTAATCGCCAAGTATTGTCATACAAATTGTTTGAACTGGAGCAAATCAATCCCAAGGATTAGGATCATTTAAGTAGTCCTCAAATTTATAAAAAGCTTTGTTGATTAATTTCCGTTTAACGAGGGCTTTGAATTTATTTAGTGACAATTCTCTAATTCCGCTTGGGAGTTTGTTGTAAAAACGAATACAATTTCCATATAAGGAGTGGTTTATCTTTTGGAGCCAGGTTGGTCGTACACTCAAATTAGTTCTATTTCGCGTATTATTCTGGTGAAAGTCACCATTTGTTTTAAAATCGTTTATATTTAAAAAAAGAAAAACATAAATAAATTTACAAAAGAAAAACATTACCGTATGGCCCACTGCATAGAGTGCGGCGCTAGATTAGTCCTAGTCGGCGGTGCCGCCCTTCTCTCCAGGGTCTCTCCATCGTGGAGCTGAGGTTCCGACTCTCCCTCCTGCTCGTCAGTTTCCCCAGCCTCCGAGTCCTCGTCTTCTGGCTGAGTGGAATCCCCACTTTCTTCCTCTGGGTACAATAACAGCGACGCTATTCCTGTGTCGTATAACGCTATATTTCAATTAAAACTAATCATGCATTTCGCACGATAATGCTGTTTACGGACATTCGAATAGTTAACGTAATCGAATAGTAAGCGGCACTTCGGATGTATTTGGAATCGGAAGTAAAAATACAAGTTGGTTGACTTTTTATTCGTACCATTTTAACTACTTGGAATGTAACTCTATGATTTGGGCCCCATAAGAAAAAAATATTCTCTAATGGTGGAGCGTATTCAAAATAAAATAAATTGTGCGTGTACTAGGTGTACACACGTAAGAAGTGAAACTTCTTTATGATCTTATTTTTCGAAAAATGATCTACTATATGCAACTTTACAGAAATTCGTTAAATTAGATAAAGTTTAACAAAAGGCTTTTATTATCATAGACATGAATACAAATATTTCATTTTACCTTATTACTACGAAGATTATTATAGAATTTCATTAATTGTAATAGAATTATTACTATCATTGAAAAACGTGACGATTTGCTACAAAATTTCTCCCATACGTCGAAGAAGTTTCATTCCAACGCCGATAAAGAAGTTTGACTTCAAAAAGCAACATGGCGCGTAACCGAAAAATGTGACGCGTAACGAAAAAATGTTACACTAAATTTTTTTCCAACCTCGATAAAGAAGTTTCACTTCAATAAATTTATGAGATACATTAACATGAGGTTGTATGGAGTGTACCCATTTTACCCAATTATGTATCCAACTTTGTTTGTCTTGAGCATGGTAGGATTCAAAAATCATTTAATCATATGGGTAACACATTGTACACTTATGACTTGTAAAGAAATACATATTAATGCTTCTAATTTTACATTTAGGGCTCAAATCAAGGGCGTAGAACGGAAGAGAAGAACTGGCAATAAACTCTCCGCCACTCTTTTTAATCGCCATGTTTTTTTTTTACACAACGTTTGTAAGGAGCTGCAACCATTAAACTATGTTCCATAACATCTTAAGTAATTAATAATAATAACATAAATTAAAAACAAAGAGTTGTCCTCTATCGCGCTATGCGCTAACTTATAAAGCTACTTGCCAAACTGGAGTAATACATTTTTTTTTCAGGACGATCAGTTGAAGTAGTGCGAAAATTAATTTTGAAAACTTGGTACGGTATAAAATGAAATTTTCCTAAAAGTTGGAGTGATCAGCACAGAGTTTAGGATCATAGGTTACATAAAACACTATTCGGGATGACGTAAGAGAAAAAAAATTGGCAAAAAGTAAATATTTGTAACAACAGGAATGAAAAAACTGTCACATGGTGTGCATTTTCTGGAATAACAAAAAAATATCCATAACTTCAAAAATACATGACTTATTTTTTTTTTTTAATTTTATATATATATATATAGATTTTCTGCCCACCACGTGGAACATAAATACCAATGACAATATGTTGTGTTCATACAATACAACATTAAAATTGTAGTCACTACGAATGTACATACCAGCGTATTGAAAAACCAATAGAAAACTTTAGTTACGTCATAAAGTCTTTTCAAACGATGTGTGTATAAGCTTCCGTTTAGTTCCAAATACACGCGATAGTCACTTTTCTATTACATTAACTATTCGATTTTACGTATTCACGCGTGCCACCCAGTATTTTTTTTAAATACATTTTCTAGGTTTTCAATAGCAAGTAGCGTTACGTAACATATTTTGGGAAGGGGTCCTTTTGTAAAACGTTACGATGCGGGCGGGGATTAAATTACGCGATCGTTAATATTTTTCCGACTTCCCCCCCTTATTTATTTTAAAATTTTTCCCCCTGCGTTTCTATACCTGGGGGTACTGTATAGCTTACGGCGAGTTACATGGGGGAAAAAAATCTACAAAATGTGTTTTTTACCCCTCCCCCAACGCTCCATTATAGTGTTTGATTTTGAAATTAAAAAAGAATTTGTTTCTGTTCTACTGACGTTTAATTTCATCTTTCAAACCATTTTCTGTATGAATTTTGACATATTTGACAGCGCTCAAGACGAGATTGCGACGTGACGAATTAAAATGGACCTTAGATTTTCAAATATCTTATCAAAAAATATATTAAAGACGTATATGTATATAATACAAGTATTCCCTCCTATAACACGGTAGATTGGTTCCACGTTATAGAAAACGCGTTATGTACAAATTATTCACGTTAAGGGAAGTTTAATTAAATATTACGAAAAATTTTATGAACGAAATAAGTGCGTACACATCCTTATAATTGTCACAGTACAGAAATATAACCCGCGTTATATCGTAACACATCATACGACTGACTGAATCGCGTAATATGAAAATGCGTTAAAAGAGTACCGTGTTATAAGAGGGTTTACTGTATACACATACCGGCATCCGAACCTTGCGTGGCGCCAGTCTGTACGCTGCGTTGGGCCGATTCTGCATTATCTTGATCATCTGAATCACTCTCAGTCTCCACCTCAGCGAGCATATCCAGTTCACTCTCACTCTCCCCGCCCTCAGCTCTTTCTGTTCCATTTTCGACCACCACGTGATCAGCTCCCCTGAAAAAACAATGTTTCGTTAGATCTACCAAAAAGTCTTTACTCAGCAGAGGAAGAGTAATAAAGATTCATAATGACATCTAAGCGAAGTCTGTTGTTCGGACTTCTTCTTCCTAGCGTACTAACGAAAGAACCACTGGTACTAATAGATAAACTATTTTTGAATTCAAGCTATGATCAAATTAACATAATGTACCTTTATATTATACTCTGATTTTTCATTCCGTAGAATTCTGACATTTCATAAGTGTTGCTATTAATAAAGTTCTCCATCGAAAAAGGGACAAATTTGGAGGACATTAAAGAAAATGCTATGTATTTTTTAGGTTTCACCTACAAAAAGGTAAATCTTAATATTTACTTACTCAAGTGACCTAATACAAAAATAACAAATATTTCAATATCACGAACAATATATCGAATTGACTTTAATTACTTTTTTTATTCTTTAGCTGGCATCACTGCCTACTAGTTTCAGATTTAATAAACCTTTTTAAAAAAATAAAATGTTATCTTTACTTGTGCGTTTTTTACTGTTTGTGATGAAAAGGGACGTAATAAAAAATTCAATTTATAATTTGTATTAATTCTCGACACTTTTAATATTTTAATGACAATTAAATTCATTAAATTCCTAACATATCTTCCTTTTTCCCTGCCTCTAAGTCTCTATCTAAAGTTTTGTATAAATATGAAAAAGACTTAAAAATTAGTTTGCCAAAGAAGTTTCACTACTGACATGTGTATGTAGTGGTGTAATTATTGTTTGTATAGAAATTTCGCAATTGTATTTGTAATATTGTCTACGCATCATTATTTCGTAATTCCACTTGCACTGGCAATCAGTCGCCCTATACCGCCTGTAAGTCAGAGGACAATAAAGCTAGTAATTCTATTACGGTTTTCATTTGTTACCTCAACACTAAACTACCCGACGGTTCGCGGCGGCCCGACACCAAAGGAGGGAAAATAAAAATAGGGCGGGGTACTCACAAAAGTGTACAACTCGCCACCCTCGCGCCCGGCGCCATCTCGATGAAAGGGACCAGTCCTCATGACTCTGGCAGCCATCAACGTGTCCTCCAAGTGCCGGAGTTCTGGGTGGAGTGCCGAGGCTGTGGTTTGTACAGTTCGAGGCCGTCATGGCGCCTCAGAAGCAGGGTACGAGGCAAAGTTCAATTTGGTCATATCCAAACTAGGGCGGGATTCCATACAGCAGGTTACACCTTGTACCTCCCCCACCAGATATAACATCTTGAAAGAGAGGCTGTCAAGTGTATGAAGAAAGCCTCAACGGCAGTTCAAAGCTGGTCTCAGAACTGAGCTGGGATCGCAAACCGACTCACTGCTGCACGGATGAGATCTGGGCCAAACCCGCAGGTATCCATCAGTGCTCAATTTGTGGTTGTCTAAATGCCATCAGGGTCAGGGCAGTCAACCGTGTCCAACCAGCTGACAATTTACCCTGCCGACAGAAGAAGCAGGACCGGCGGTCCACCTTATGGCTCATCCCACCCAGTGCCTGTTGTAGCAGACACATTCACGGGCTCGTCACAATTGACAAGCTCACCTGGAAGTGCGCACTCCCAGCGAGTACAAGATCGAGGACGTCCCAGGGTCGCAGCCACCAAGGCTACAGAAGCAGGTCCGCGTCGCGTAAAATAAGGACTCAGGGATCCAGGTGGCTCTGCAGGTTCCACTATCGCTGGAGGAAGAACGCGAGGAGGTGCAAAACCTTGTGCCTGGCTAAAGACGCGAAACTAAACCAGTATATCCGCAGGCGGTGGACGGATGTACTCAGGGACAGGTATCTAGTAATCACCGTTTGTTAGTTAGGGATAGTTTATCTAAGTTTACTTTCCTGATAGACACAGGAGCTATATTTCTGTAATCCCGAAATGGTGTGTTAAACACCCCTAATTCTTGATTTTAAATTATACGCGGCTAATGCGTAAAAAATACGGCATATGTTATTTAACATACTTTTGGCCTTAGAGAGATTTAAAATGGCCGTTCATAGTGTGCGATGTTAACAACCAATAATTGGGGCAGATTTTTTAAGAAATTTTAGATTGTCAGTAGATTTATATAATAATAGATTAGTTGACCTAGTTACTAATTTGTACGTTTGGGGAACAAAGAGTGTAAACTCGATAGGAGCGGTGAAGTCTATTAGTAGTAGCCAGCCGTACGCGGAATTACTTGAGCAATTCAAGAAATCACGCGCCCACCTATTTTTAAGGAAGTCCAGAGCATTCTGTCTATCACCATATTGAGACAACAGGCCCGCCAGTGTTACGCGTGCAAGGAAGCTCCACCTACAGGTATGATTTAGTTAAAAAGAATTCCACTTGCAGGAGTTAGGGTTGCAGACCATCGAGTAGTTCGTGGGCCAGCCCACTACATGTAGTGCCTAAAAGAACGGTGAAATTCGACCTTGCGGGGACTATAGATGCTTTGCGATTACAAAACCGGACCGTTATCCGATACCTAGAGTTCAGGACTTTACTTATGGTTTACATAACAAAAAGTTTTTTCAAAAATTGATATTTGTCGAGCGTATCATGTTATAAAAATTAGGCCGGAGATATTGAAAAGACAGCGATTATTACCCCATTCGGACTTTTTGAGTTCCCAAGGATGACGTTTGGACTGCTAACGCGGCACAAACATTCCAAAGGTTTATAAATAGTACGTTTGCAGGCATAGAACATTTGAATAGTTTAGATGATAAGAATATAACAGGGAATCATATGTTTCGGGTACCTTGATGACGTCATCATTGATCGATAACGAGCTAATACACCAAAACTTTGCGACTGTTGTTCGAGCGTTTCAGTAAATATAGTTGTCAATTAACTTAGGAAAATGTGTTTTTGGTCAAGCAAAAATAGTTTTTAGGATACGAGGTCTCAGAAAAGTAGTCCGTACAAGTTCAGGCTATCGAAATGTACCCGAACCAGAACTATTGTTGACCTTCGCAGGTTTCTCGGCATGTTAAACTTCTATAAAATCACATACCAAACGCCGCGAAAGTACGGGACGTAGATAGGTATTTACACGGAGCAAAAAGAACGATAAGCGTAAGATACAGTGGACAGATGAGGCTAGTAGGGCATTTGATTTGTGTAAGGAGAAATTTAAAGAACGCCGCCACTCTATCGCATCCGATTGCAAACGCAGAATTAGCTTTAATGACCGACGCATCCGATTTCAGTATCGGCTCGGTGTTACAACAACTTTGTACGCACGCACTTTTTTTAAATAACTGATTCAATAAGTTTACCTGTCGCCCATAGGATCGTCATGCTGTACATCCTGCTGCTGAGTTGGTGCCGTTGGTTCATCAGTTTCCGAAGCATCATCATCTCCCCCTAACGCTTCACCTGCCACATCATCCGCGTATTCCGTCGCTACGGGCGTAGACGAGCGCACGAGGGTCGAACTGCCGATCGACGTACCGCCTGTTGCTGTTGCACGATTGCTGTTGGTTGCTGATTCTCTGTAATCAAATATAATAGCAATCGGTTAAATGAAAAAGAGGTCAAAATTGCACCGTTAGAAGAAAGTCTCTTTTCATCAAAAAAACTTAGGGGTGGGACCACCCTTAACATTTAGTGGGATGAAAAATAGATGTTTTCCGATTCTCAGACTTACTGAATATGCATAAAAAATTTCATAAGAATCGGTCGAGCCGTTTCGGAGGAGTATAGGAACGAACATTGTGACACCAGATTAGATTATATGTCAAAACTATATCTAAATAACTTATAGCATGAACTATACTAAGGACTAATCGCACACATGGAGAAAACTAGTTTTTTATAAAATAAACGGGCAGGATGCTCACTTAGTGATACCGCCGCCCATGGACACTCAATGCCAGAGGGCTCGCGAGTGCGTTGCCGGCCTTTTAAGAATTGGTACGCTCTTTTCTTGAAGGACCCTAAGTCGAATTGGTTCGGAAATACTTCAGTGGGCAGCTGGTTCCACATAATGGTGGTGCGCGGCAAAAAGCGGTGGTGTATACAGTATTGTGAGTTATAAGAGAAATGTTGGCTTGAGTGCGCCGTTAGACCCTGTACACAGCTGTACCAATGGATTTTTCAATCTACGAGCGCAATTAACTCTCGCACTTATGAAAGGCAAGACCTAGATATTTCAGCGCCACTCTTTTTGTTAAATAAATATAAATTATTTAATTATTATCTTTATATATATAATTTTTCTGTGAGTGTATATATATCGTATGTCACTGAACTTCTCTCAAACGACTGGACCTATTTTGATGAAATTTTTTGTGTGTGTTCAAGGGGATCTGGGAATGGTTTAGATTCACAAATCAGCGCGGCAGATGGCACTGCAGTCGGTACTTTCATACTTTGCTTAATATCCTAATCGCTTTAAATATCATGCAGGACAACGTCTGTGGGGTCCACTAGTATTAATATAAATTATTAATTACCTTCGCGACGACCGCGGATGTCCAGTCGACAGTGGCTCCACACCAAACAGATCTTCGCTTCCGTTGACCAAATCCACATACGTAGTGGCCAATGGGAACGGGGCGGTGGGACGGACGACCCCAAGTCGCACTGGAGCCAATAGAGCGTCGGCCGCTTCAACGAGCTCCTCGACGGCTAACGCTACTAGAGCGGCGAAAACGCGCCGGCAACGCACCAGAGACGAGGTTATTGAAACTGGCCTGAAATATTTATAAAACAATTAATTCATTTATTTAATACTAGGTTAAATAAGCAAAGGTTGAATTTTTCATAATATAACAATTACACTTATTTCTTATTCAATGAAAATGTGATTTTAAATGACTATAGATATCTATATAATCAGTGGCGCTGCAACCGCTTTAGGTCTAGGCCTCAGATTTCTGAATCTCTTTCACGATCATTTTTAAATCTAATAGGCAAGTAGGTGATCAGCCTCCAGTGCCTGACACACGCCGTCGACTTTTGGGTCTAAGACATGTCGGTTTCCTTCACCAGATAGTCCATTGGTGCACAGCCGGGGATCGAACCTACGACCTCAGGTATGAGAGTCGCACTCTGAAGCCACTAGGCCAACACTGATCTATCTTAAAGGGGCCAAATAAATATATATATTTTTTAACATACCCCTTTTTCTTCGAAGCTCCTGGAGCCATTTCCACGCTGAATATGACAAATATCCTCGCGACCGAACGCACGAACCGTCGCGTCACTTCACGAGCGCGTTCCGCACGTCCCGGTATCGTGTCATTCTTCTGTTCTCTTATCAATGTGTGTAGGAGCGTATCCAACATCTGTAAAAAATATTTATATTCTAATTAAAAAGAATTTAAACTTCCTTTAGATTTTAACAAAATAATTGTTTAAAAATAAGACGACAACAGCCGTGGACTTTTTACATATAATTGACGATTTAATTTTATTTAAGAAAACATTTTTACGGGCTTAAAACCTAGCCATTAAGGGGCTTATAGTAAATAACTTAAAACTTGCATAGTACATTAAGTTCGGTGGCGATTGTTGTATGTTCAAATATATGTTAAATGAAACACTTTGTTTGAATTGTTTAAAATATGAGATTATATAGGTATGTTAACTAAAGCTGGCGGCTTCAACACATTTACACTTTGTGCTTATGTAGTGTCTGTGAATAAGCGCGAGACGTAATGTCAAACTGAAATACAATCATAAATACATCATGAATAGACTGTCCGTCGTGTATGAGTGGACTAAAATGTATAGCATGGCAAAAAAATCATATTTTGAAACATACTGTATGTGAAATTGCATTAGTGTGAGTACTGTGAACCCGCCAGCTTTCGATAACCGACCTATAACTAAGATAACATTTTGTAGGGTTGCGACGCTGAATTAGCAAAAAACTAACTTGAATTATTGAAGAGTTCGTAAATCAAAGTGACACTGTTATTATGTTATTGGACATTAAAAAGGCTTACTATAAAGTCAACGATTATCTAGTTGATAAAAAGGCCTGGGACTAGTGCTAGACAGGCTACTTCTAATTAATTTGCGATATTTGTTTTAAAATAAGTGTTGTTTGATGATTTGCTATTTTAAAAGAGTACCGAGAGTTTTTTACGCCGACTTTTTCTCTCGGCCTACACCCTCTGTCTTCTTTGCCGATGGATGATGTCTACCTATTCAAATTTAATGACGTGGAATAAGCGATACATGTATCTTATGTTCCATAATAAACATATTTTATTTTATTTTTATTTATTTCATTATCGGAAACAAGAATGATTACAATTTATGAGTGTGGGAAATACTAAACGACTCATTCTAACTTCAAGTGTGCGATATTGTCTACGCTTTTAATTATTAACTAAAATATATATATTTTTTTACGCAGGCCCGCATCAAGGATGTCGAGCTTGACGCGGGGACTGTGGGGCTGGGTCTACACTCAAATCCCTCTGCTATTCAGAGGTGTAGCGAGACCCCACCCACTAAAACACCTCAGCCCTTTACACGCCCTTAATATGGGCCCTCGGGGTTCGCTAGGCATTCTACCCAAGAAAAAGAGATGTTACTAGATTGTTAAAAGAGACTGACCACTGTAATTACCATCCTCGGCTTAGAACGTATTGCTACGTCCTAAACCTTCACAGTCTCCTTTCTTCGGTAGCATCAGCACTTAATAAGATCACTAGGCTATGAGGCCCTTAAAATATCTATATATATAAAAGAAAAATGGTCTTCGTTTGAGGCTCCTTCACGCCTAAACCACTGATCGTATCGACATGAAACTACCTCCTTAGATGGTTTATGGCTATTTATTTATTTATCCATACGGACTTCCTTCATTTTAACATTCTGGGAGGCTTCCTATGAACCTCTATCCGTCACGGACATCCGCTAAAACTCGATTTTCGAAATATTTCAATTTTCTTAGCGGGAAGTTAAAAAGAAGAATAATAAAAATATGAAAAAAAATAAAATAATGAAACATAAAATTTATTTTAATTCGTCCAGCAAAGCGGGCGCGAAACGGCTAGTATATATATATATATATAACTTAACTAATGTTAGTTTAGGTTAAGTTACATAACTCACCGCCTTACATTTTAAGAATTTTAGAATCCCCTGATTCAGTTAATTGTAATTAATATAACAATGTTAAGCAATGAAAGTAATATTATTTAAAATGTAATACCTCATTTGTGCACTTGACTATAAGCGCATGGGTGAACTTGTCCAATAGCGTAGTACCAGACTGCTGGTGAGAAGCCGAAGCTTCTTCGTTTGTGCTCGAGCCGCACATCACGGCCGCTTCTACCGCAGCCCAATCGCCTTAAAATAATATATTGTTAGCGGACTGACGTCATCTTGGAGCAGAAACTTATGTAAGGTGAAGCAAAACCGGCGTTGATTGACTTTTATTTCGAGACTTCGTGCGGAACGGACGTGTTACTACCCTCAGTATATTTTAAAAGTGTAAAGTACCTACACGTTCTAATCTTTTGATTGTTGTTTTTTTTTATTCAATTTCAGATGTATTCTTTTGTTTTTAAATTAAATCCGCTTCTGTTAACTAATAATATTTTTATTAATTATTTATTTGCCTATTAGAAAAGCAAATGATCACGAAACAGGATCAGCCATTGCTTTTTCTCTATACATGTATTAGAAACCTATTAATAATAAAAAGAATTAATTGTTCATTGTCTGCATTGGAATTGTTATAATTTTGCACCATGCTTATATATTTAAGCACACAATCTTAAACGGCTGGACCGATTTGAATGAATTTTTTTGTATGCGTTTGGGTGGCGCCCTGGATGGTTTAGATTCACAAGCCCGGCAGATGACTCTGCAGTCGGTATCTAGGTTATTTAACTATACAGCAAATAAACAGCTGGTATATGTATGAAACTTCTGTGCATGTGTTCCTTATTAAACTCCTAAACGGCTGGACAGATTTTGATGATCTTTTTTGCGTGTTTAAGTGGAGTCTAGACGGATTTACATTATTAGATGTTTTATTTTTGTAAGACATGAGTACAGGATGTCGTATCATACACTAGTATATTATAAAATATAATGATCATGGCAAGTACAAATAATCGTAGCAATTCCAATCTCTCTGCAAAAAAATTTGTACAAACATATTTAAAAAAAAAAATACACAGCACTCACCCAACAAATGTACCAGCGCCCTTCTAGCGAATCTCGGTGGCTCCAAGTCGTGGTCCGGCACATCCAGCTCAGCATCAGAGCCCGGCTGTTTCCGTGGCGCACGGGCACGACCACTTCCAGCACGGAACTGACGCTGTTCCACGGCTTGACGACCCACCGTTTGTACCAGGAACAGAAGGATCGATTCACCTCTAAACAATAAATAGACACATATTACACCCTGAACGTACGTTATTTGTTATTTCAAAAATTCCATTTCACTTGAAGTACATAATCTATTACGCCATTTTGGACAAAAAAATTAATCAATATGCAAGCGACGCAAGCGATTGAGTCAAGTTCCAGCATATATTTAAAATTTTATTTTATTTATATTGTTAAATTAATTTAAAAAAAAATTAAGTCTAAGGGTCTGTTTCACAATGTATAGTTAAAGTATCAAATAGTTATGCAACACATAAATTATTTGGAAGATAAATTGTGCTATTTGACACTTCATCGGACTCATAGCTTATGATGGACTTTATGAGACGAATAGCGCTATCTGACAGTCGTGAAACGCAACAATTGTGTTTATCCTACCAATAAGTAATAAATAGCTAATTTGGAACTTATGTAGAACTTATCTGTACATTGTGAAACAGACCCTAAGTCTATTGTATTAGGTTCTTAACAACGTCATCGGTTGTTACGACCAAATATGAGTGGTCCCTTCGACGTCGGTATATAAAATTTTGACTGTATTTTTTTGTATTATTTTAGATGTTAAGGTTCTATAATTTTTATATGATTTGGTTATGCACTTCTTGTACTTTACCCATCTATTATTTTTTAGTTTTTTCCCTTTCTGGGGTTGCCTGGTTGAGATCGATTGTTAGCGATAAGGCTGCCCATTGCATCCCATATAATTTTCATGTATTATGTTATTTGTTTAATAAATAAATAACATAATAATAATAATTTTTACCTTACATCAAAAACTAAGAAGTTCTTATCAATTCGACATATATAATATATATTTCTTCTAAGTATGTATTAAGAAAAGTTCCACCATCCGTAAATATATAAATTGAGATAAACCGGTTTTGAAATTCTTAAAATTATCAAAATAGTGACAACAAATATAAAGTAAAGTCAAAATTAAATTACAAATTATTTAATTACATAGAAATATATTTTTTTTACCTAGAATTGAAGTGTGTAGCCAATTGTGTCTCCCTAGCGAGCCTGGCCAGGAGATCGCAACGCGCGGTCCAACTCCCGCCCACCAACGCCTTGCAGCGGCACTTCTCCCAACAATCGCAGTACGCAGTCGGAGACGTTCGCTTCAGTTTACAATCATGTCCCTTGTGGCACACCTAAAAAAATAGTTATATATTGTTAAAAGTAAGTTCTCTCCACACTAGTCTAAAGGTTTGTGGCGTGGAGCGTTGATGTACCATACAATTCTCAAAGCCTTCGAAACCTTGGGGGAGAACATGGCTCGCTACGCGGTGTGTTACATGGTAGTAGTAAAACAAAAGCGGGAAACAACGGCTGTATCATTTTGAAGAGATTGAAATACTAGACAAAGCTGTTACCTTGGGCCATTCCAACAAAAGTACGAGCAACACAGTGACCGGTAAGAGACCAAAGGTGTTTCATTCGAAAATCACGTCGAGTGCGGCGGGTCGGCTGACGCGACGCCCGCAGGAACCCCATCCTGAAAAATTATTATTACAATGTGAAAAATATAATTCTTTTAAAACGTAGAAACTACGGCAAAAAACGGTTTACCTACTAAAGCTTTGGTGATCGGGCTCAATATTAGAGCCAGTGGCTTAGACAAAATTACGACGTTGAATTCTTTTTATTAATTTATTATTTTTTAATATTAGAACTACAATGTTATAGTTTTAAATATTTTAACATGTAAGCATATAAAGTTGGAAAGTATATATTAAAAGTGGTCCTTGGAATCACAATTATTTTTTACAGTATTTGTTTAGCCTGGTGTGGGGGTGTCTTCTAAGGCACAAAAGCCTGTTCTGGTTTAAACCCAGGGCCCAGAGTCTTGACAACTTTTAATTTTTTTCTAATCATTCTGGAAAATGGGGGGTTCAATAAGTACTTTGATTTAAAATTCTTATTTTATAGTTACAATTCTCGACTGAGAAGGGGGGACATTGTTTATAAGTACATACTTCACATTCAGTCAGACACAGTGAGAGACCAATTTTCCTACAGTCTGAAAATTTTAATACGTTTGTGTAGGCCTAATTATTTTGAAAGATCTTTGTGGGGTGGACGGGGCAATAGGGGGGGCCGGGGGCCTTCTTTACTGATTTTCTGATGGGGGATATTAAAAATATAGTTAAAAAAACATCGGGATTCTTTAAGAACGGGTAACCAACCTTCATTTCCCTTTCCAATATCAATAAACCGAGTCATCAGAACTATAGAATGACAAATAATTGCCCAAAAACGTTGTACATGACTGGACCATTCCAACACAAACAACTTTGGGGTACATAAAAGGATAAGTAGGTAAAAAATTGTGATTTGTATTGTATAAATCATTCCAGTTTCGAGATTATTCCTGGAAATATAATAAAATTCCGTAAAATACCTGATTAATGTGATCCTGTCCGGTCCACGTGAAGCTGCATGTATCATTGCAGCAGAGTACCAACAACGGCGAATGATCTGGATGGGCGTTGGGTGGGAAAATGGCCGCCGACCGTTGAGTTTCGTCCGCGTCACACGTACGTATTGCGTCCAATATGGCTAAGGCCGCCCGATACGCTCGTTCGGCTACGGCAGCCATTAGAGGTGTTTGACCCATGCCATCCCTGTTTTATTGAGTGATACATTTAGTAATAAATATTAGTTATTCATTGTAAAGTATTAAAATATGACCTAAATTATATACAGTGTGAACTCTTTATAACGACAATCCATCTATAACATAAAAATGTGTTAAATTTATTTGGTTTTACATTAATATACTCTTTTTAATTCCACTTTTTTTTGTTTTTTACCCAAACTCAAACATATCTTAATTCACTCTAGTTATAAAGCAAACTTTTGAATTCAGGTAGTTAAATTAATTGTTAATCTGATTACTCCAGTTCGCAAAACAATTACATAGACCTTTTATGTTGTTGATTCTAAATTGTTTGAACTGAGTTTTAAAATATTTCTTCGTTATAGAGTAATGGACTTTTACGTTATAAACAGTATTAATTTGGAGAGGGCTTTGCGTTCAAAGAGAAAGACTTAATGAATGGGTTTTGTGTTGAACCAACCAAATGTGACTATATCTTTCTGGGGGCTTCCGTTATATTACGAATGACGAAAATTTCAATTAGTTAAAAGAAAGTAACACCCTATATACTCACTTGGCAGTTAGAAGTTGCAACAGATATGGTTGCAAGGCAGTACTCTCGCAAAGGGCCCTCAAGGCGGAGAGCGCATTGCCACGCCTCTCAACTGGATCCGCGCTCACAGCCCCGTTACCGCTGTTCGACATTTTGCTACAAATCATTATTCACATTAATGTGAAATTAATCTTTAACAATTATCTAAACCCCGTATTCTAGAACGTGCATCAAACTTAAATTTATTTCTGTCAAAACATTTTTGACGTGACAACGTCTTAATTCGATGGAGCCGGCTGCACGCACGAAAAAACATGCCGCATGTGGCGTTACCTCGCTCAGAGGCGTTCCATTTAAGGCTTCAAGAGCAAGCGAGAGCGCGGAACGAGCGACAAAGAAGCACAATCGGCCTCCGCGTTCGGCAGCGTTCGTTCGTTAAAAATTGACATAATTGTATTTATGCGTACAAATAAATGTAACTTGATCAATTCAATTGTGATTTTCATTGAGCTCCTTCTCTATATCCATACAAAATATCTATCAAACAAATAAAAATAAAATTTTCTTTTGAAAAATGCAACCATTCCATCAGTATTTTCTTATGACGTTGTCACGTTCAACTATCGTCAGTTAACCGACTTTACAGACAACCGATTTTTTTGTATGAAGTTTGACACATTTGACAGCGCTCAAGACGAGACTGTGACTTTAGATACATAATACATATAGAATGCATCTAGGTGTTTATTGGATTATCTTCATCTTGGATCTTAATAAACTCAAACTCAAAATAAAGTTATCCATATAGGTAAGCAAGTACACTTATGAACGTCAAAAAGAAGTTAAATAAATTGTAAATTTACATTTACTACCGGTTCGTAGAGCGGGCAAGAAGAACTGGCAAGAAACTCTCCGCCACTCTTTTTTATCGTCAAGTATTGAGTCATACAAATTGTCTGAACTGGAGCAAAACAATCCCAAGGATTAGGATCATTTAAATATTCGACAAATTTATAAAAAGCTTTAATGATTAATTTTCAGAGCTGCAGAAACGTCTCGAAGGATTAATTATGTGTATGGCGGCGGAGTTGCAAAAGAACAGTGCGTTTTGGCCAACGTTTTCGTACTGGAAATTTCGACCTATTGTTGGCACGTCATCTTGTCTATAGAAGCCATTTGGCGAGTTTTAGAAATAAAAAATTGATTTTTACTAAGCCAAATAGAACAGAATTAAATACCAATTTTTAAATCTTGTCAAATAGCCTATGTAAAATCTCATATAAATTACACACTAAAAGTGAAACTAAAAATAAGATCTTATTTTTCGAAAAATATCTTCTATATCAACTTTACAGAAATTCGTTAATTAGATAAAGTTTAACAAAAGCTTTTATTATCATAGAATAATACAAATATTTCATTTTACCTTAACAAGATTATTTATTTATTTTTAATAATTATACTACATTGAAAAACAATTTGTAAAATGTCTCCCATACGTCGATAAAAAGTTTCATTCCAACCCATAAAAAGTTTGACTTCAAAAAGCAACATGGCCTAACCGAAAAATGTGACGCGTAACGACAAAATGTTACACTAAATTTTTTTCCAACCTCGATAAAGAAGTTTCACTTCAAAAAATATTAATATACTAACCTAACCTAACCAAACAATAATAATTATACATTTTTGGACAATTCCGGTTTATTCTATAACTTTAAATTTAAAAATTGAGGAAATAATCGATAAACAAAAAAAAACGATTATTAACAATCGATAAATTAAAAACACGATTTTTTAAAGTGAACGTCACATCTCTTATAACCAATAGAAAAGTAGAAAATGGCGGATTGTTTACAAATTTCAATACATTACACAAAACTTTATTTTTTTTTTTAAATACTTAAGACGCGTTTCCGGCAGCAAAAATTACTTGGAGGTGTTCCAATGAAGGTCCCCCGAGACTCCTAAATAGTTAGTATCATCAAAAAAGTGCGACGACATTTAAAACTGTTACCCGTACCAATATTTATTTAGTTTTAATATTTGAAAACGTTTATTAAATTCTGGAAAGTTTTGCTTACTTATTGGAGATTCCCATCAAGCTATCTTCATCCCCCGAAGCTTCAAAGGTCTCCGGAGGCCAGGACAAAGCTGGTACAGCTTCTTCATTGTTGGTGGCGCTTGAGGGGTTCGGAACTGTAGGCGCTGATGGATTATCTACTGTAAACATCATTTAATTATTTTCTGATAAATAAATGTTATATATATATATATATATATTAAATATTTATACTAGTAGACTCGGCCAAGCGTTGCTGTGGCTAAGGTTTTTGTTATATTACATAGTAGTAAACTATCCAAGGGAAACAGTAAGAGTCATGGGGACCACCATGCGTTTTTGGTGATTATGCCATTAATTTATGTTATGGAATAAATTAAGGTGTAAGCTATCCTATCTTTTAAGTTAGATCAAACTGCACACCGTGTGGAAATTAGATTGAAATCGGTTAAGTAGTTAAGAAGTCCATAGCGGACAAACAACGTGATGCGTAATTTATATATATTAAGATTTAAAAGCAAGTAGATGTTCATCAATGATTATTTAATGCACGGGTAAGAGGCGGCATTATAACTATGAAAAACATTTACAAGAGACACTAAAAATAGAATATAAAAAACATATACTTGTGAATGCACAAAAAGTAACTTTTTTTTTATTTATCTAACAGGGCAAACGGGCTCACTTAAGTGAGTTTATACCGCCGCCCATGGACACTATGTTAGAGGACTTGCGAGTGCGTTGCCGGCCTTTTAAGAATTGGTACGCTCTTTTCTTAACGGACTCTAAGTCGAATTGGTTTGGTAATACTTCAGTGGGCAGCTGCTACCACATAGTGGCGGCAGAAACTGCCTTAAAAAACGCTCAGTTGTGGAACGATGGACATCGATGTGATACGGGTAGTAATTGCCCTCAAAAGTAATCAATCTATACTAATATTATAAAGAAGACAAATTAGTTTGTTTGAATGTTTGTAACGAATACATTTAAAAAACTATTCCGATTTTTAAAATATATTCCACATTATAAGCTACAATATCCAACATAGGCTCTTTATTTCCAAAATATATTAAAAAAAACACCCGAACAGACCGGGCATTAGATAAGTACATGGTGCATATATACTATATGTAAAATTTAATAAAAATATATTAATCCAAAGAAAATAATGACATACCGATATCAGGCTCCTTGTTCGACGTTGGCGAACACATATGTACGCACACGTGTAAAATATTTCTATTGCCATCACAACGCTCTTGAAGAATTGATATTATTTGTTGCTCTGAAATAACACAACAAAATTAAAATCAGTATTTGGACAGTAGTCGTAAAGGCATGTATTGTATCTCAGTTAGCGCACGCGTATACGTACACGTACGTCTACGTTCAACCTTATTCCAGGTTTGTGAGACAAATATTGTAAGTATATTGTTTTTTATAACACTACCCCGGTTTTTGATATTATATCCCTTGACATAGCGAGAATCAAAGACACAGAAATTAATGTATATATGTATAAATAACTAGGAAAATATAAGAAGTCCAAAAGGATATTTGACTTTTTTAATACATTTGGGCATCCCCTGCGATCAAAAGTTGCAGGGGTATATGGGACTCGACCCACGCCAAAATCTCTGCTATTCAGAGACTGGGTGAGCAATACCCACTAAAACCACCTCGAGTAGTTCCTACAAAGCCGCATTACAGAGGGTACACACAAAAACCTCCGGTGTAGTATACACTACCTAGGAGGTAGGAGTTGGGCATATCTTCTCCTATTTACTCCCCAACTTCTACCCTCTTCTACCTTCTAAAGCGCTCCCTCTCTCGAAGGATATTTGACCTATATAATTTTATAACTTACTGTTATTATCAGTTTCGAGTTGATGCAACAACTGCCGAAGTCCATCAAGATCACAACGCAGCACTCGCGGCATCATCAGTTGAGGCTCGGGGACTATTATTATTAGTGCAACCTTTGAAAAAAAAAACACCATAAAAATATGTAAATATAGATTTAATTTAAATATCTATAAATTAATTAAAATTTTATGTCACGATTCACTTTTGTGATCTGTTTTACAAGGATTAAATAGAAATAGGCAAGGTTGTTTTATAAAAATTAATAAATTTGTCAATTCTCCATTTGAATATGCTGGAGTAGTTATTTCATAATATGTATGGTGCAATTATATATTTACATTAAAACAGTACTAAATTGTAGAAAAAACTTACAAATTTATATCTTTTCCTAATTGAATAACGGCGATTGTTTCAATGTGAAAAATATTTATAAACATCCAAACCCTAAATAGTAAATTATTTAGATTTGAAGCAAAGAACAATTTAAAATACCTGGGACTTAAGCGGCGCATGAGAGGAATGAGCTGCGCCGTGTGGGTGCAGAGGCAACGCGTGCGCAGTGATCGCTCGAGCGGGCGCGAGGTTCAATGGCGGCGGTTCGCGAACCATTCCCACACAGTCACGTGCTATGGGGTAAAGGGCGTTGTTGCCATCTAGCATCATTACTACTGGTTCGCTGCCCTGAAAGAGAAATCTAGTGAGTCACGGTCGCTTAGGATGGTTCTGATACATTTGTGAATCTCGCTTTGAGCGCTTTCAAAAATACCAATTTCATTAACTTCGACATTCGCATAACAATATGTTTGTTTTAGAATTATTTATGACTTAATCTAATATATAAAATTTTCGTGTCACAATGTTCGTTCCCATACTCCTCCGAAACGACTCGACCGATTCTTATGAAATTTTTAATGCATATTCAGTAAGTCTGAGAATCGGCTACTATCTATCTTTCAAACCCCCTAACTGATAAGGGGTGACCACCCCAAAAAATACTTTTTATATTTTTTTGAACAAATTTTTTTGTTTTTATATTTTTATGATACAGCATACAAAAATATATACAACCCTTAATTGTCACCCCTCTACGATCCCTATTTTTTATTATATTAGATAGTTTTTTAATTGAACTAAAAAAATGTATTTAACTAAAAATGCATTAAAAAAACAAGTAATGATGTAAATTCAACTGAAAATTGAAATCAGTTTCACTAAAAACCACAAATATTAAAGCCTTACTTCCGCAGCGGTCGTGAGTTGTATAGAATGTCCATTTGAGTGTCCCAATAGAGCTGTGTGGTCCGTCGGGAATACGCTGTCCGTGAGGGCTCGCGTTGTTCCCACAGCGTACACCGCGTACGCTAACGCACCGCCCGGTCTACGTACAACGGCGTGTACGCCACGATTGTCCACCTGTTTCAAATACAATATTTAGTAGTCATTCCAAATTTAAAAGTACACAGATTTTTTATAAAAAAAGCTTTTTCTATTCTTTTCGAAAACTGGTTTATTTGAAATATAAGAAAATTCTTAAAAGACAAAGCAAATTATTAGACATTAATTTGACGTAATTAAAAAAAATATTAATAAAAGAATTTAAGTATAAAAATCTCAGGTAATCATTTAGAACCGAATCCGCCAAGAGTTTAGTAAAGAAACTATTCCATTTAGAATTAAATATATAAACCCAATATTATGTTAAATAACTATAGTCGACGCATTAAACTGAAGCTTTGGGTCATAAATCATATTTATCTGTCTGTCTCGCTCGCACTTACAGGACTTATGGAGAAGTGTAGTGATGTGCGTAAGAATTGTAGAGGTGCATATCGATAACGGGATAGTTACGATCGATATGCTAAATTATGTTAAGTATTAATAGGAATATTTTTTTTTTTTTCAAAACCACGTAAGGAAATAAATTCTCCATTGTGCGTATTGCGTAACGAAGCGTAAGTAATGTAGTGTCATAACAAAAAATCTTATATTTATAGAAAAACAACAATCCTTACTCGTAACGACCAATCAGGAGTCAGAGCGCGTGCGCAGGTAACGGGTTGCATTGCGTGCACATTCCTACTATCAGTGACATTCATTGCCCGACGACTGTTTAAAATTCGTCGACTATAGTTTATATTTGACTGCGAAGATACATTTACGAGAAATTTTGAAAATATATATTTCGCCTATTTTTACACGCTTTATATTAGCTTCACCTGTATGTATGTATGTATGTAACCGACTCATTCGGACTCGATTTTGACCCACTTTAAACGGACAGATTTAATTCAAACTTTGTACACTTATAAAGAATCAGCGACAATATAATAATTTCATAGGTTTATCTCGAAAAAACAATGAAATTTTTTTTAAGTCCACAAAGCAATACGATTAAATTGAGACAACACGTATTGCTGCTAGGACTAAAAAGTGGAAAATAAATATAGTTTAAAAAACTAAAAAACACGCTTTTAAAGCACATCAAACTAAAAAGTGTTTTTTAGTTTTTTAAACTATATTTATTAAAGTAAAGGACAAAAGGGCATTTAGTTTAGATCAAATTCTTAAAATAAATTATCAATAATAACTCACCGCAATAGTAATAACTTGCAATTCGGGAGGTAACGAGATCTTTCTCGGCATACGCTGAAGACAATCCGGGCCACGTGGACCGGCAGCTCCTCCAGTTCCCCACTTCACAGCAACCAAGTCATCTTTCCTCACTAAACGACAGTCCTGCAGCAGCGTCGTCCAATCATCGGGCGTTGGAACAATTTCCTTTCCATCTTTGCCAACGGATGGGAATCTGACAGCCGCGTATGCGCCGTCGACTTTTAAAACCCGTCCGAGTGGAACGCTTTTCACATCTTCAAGGAACACCACTTCTTTGAGGGGCCATTCCTCTTCGTCGCGTTTCGTTCCATCGTTGGACGAACCTTCCTCGCCGCGGACCGTCACGCGCTTTGCACGCTCTGAATTTTTACAAACGTTTACATAATTTGTCAAATATCTTATAAATATGAGGAAAACGTAACGTATCGTTACGTCGTATTGAAATTAAGATTTTTGTGTTTTAAGCTATTGCATAGATTTTATCGCGGGCTTTGAGCGCAGCGACCGAATCAAGAAATTCCGTAACGAAAAAAACCTAACACACGATGACGTAATATAGGTGCGGCAAATACGCGTTAGAGTGGGACGTAGTGTGAGCGCGGCCGGTGCAGCCGGTACGCGTTAGAGTGAGACAGACTATATAGGCGTTTTAGTCTGAATCTGGTAGAGTGGTAGATTGAAATAATATCAAGAAAAACAAATACTGCATAAATAAAAAATAAATAAATAATTATAACTGCATAAATTGATAAAAAATGCTATGCAATAGCTTTACCGCGGCAGTCCCCGAGTGCCACACGTTTTTGGTTTTTTTTTTGTCGATTAACACAGTCAATGTACAATGCAACAATGGGAATGCTGTACCAAAAATTGTTTTTATAAATTTACACATTAGTGTGTAGAATACACAATTAGTTGAGTTATACAGTGACCTGCTTACTGATTTATGTATTTTTGAAGTTATACTTCTTAGCGTTCTTCGCGCGTTAGGGAAAAATGATGAGAGTAAATTTTTACGATGCGCGCGCACATCGTCACAAAAAACCGACACCCTCAAGTTAGCATTATGTAGAAATAATTTTTTAGTGATATTTAAATAAACTTTATTTAACTAGATTTAAATAATTAAATACCTTTTTTCTATTGTTAGTGTCGTTTTTTCTACAAACGTAGAATAACATTTTTGTAAAGATTTTTATCTTGTTACGCCTAAGAAGAAGAAGGGCGTGTACATAAGTACACACACATGTTTTTTCAAATGCAAGATAAAGGATGCATCCGTTTATAATTAATAAATAACTTCTATCATTAGCAATGTGTTGTAAACTCAGACAACTTTCAGAGATAAGAATTGGGAATTTGTGGTTTACTGAAGCCAGAAAAATTGATTATAAGAAATCCTGAAAAATAATAAATTTCAAATAAAATAAACTCACTGTGGGATGTACTAGTATCACTGCAGGTCGATGAAGCAGGACTTGGCGGTGGAGGCATGTCCAAGCGATCTGCCATGTCTTTGTTGCTGTCCTTCGCTGGGTCTTTGTTTGAGCTGCTCGACGACGACGCCTTCACAGACGATACCGTTAATGGAGACTGATTCTGAAATGAGAAATTTGTATTTTTTTTTATTTTTTTTTTTTTTTTTACTCCGGCCATTTTTTTTTTATTTACTAAATAAAATAACTTCGTATTTAATATTATTGTGTCAAACGTTACAATATTTTAAAACAACTTAAACTAAGATAACATACATTCTGAAGGCAAGGGTTTTTTTCCAAAAAGAAATAGGCAACTAAACAAATTTTTTTTGAAAATTTTTTTTTTTTTTATTATTTTTCTTTAATTATTATTTGTTTCCACTTTTAAATATTCCACAAATAATTGAAGACCAAAATTGCAAAGTCGGTCCAGCCGTTTTCGAGTTTTAGCGAGATAAGAAACAATTCATTTTTATATACTTAATTTTATATACTTATATAATTCTTTTAAAAAAATTTCTATAAAATAGTTAAAATTGTTTGGTTTAAAAAAACATAATTAATTCTTTCTATCTATAACGATTAACAAATGCTCTGTCCTTGAAATTATTGTATTAAATCATTAAACATTGTCTCGAGCTTTTGATTTGTTTGAATATATCCCAAAAGTTAATTCATATCTTCCAGTATGTGTATTTTTATTTAATTTAATTATTTGTATGTTTGTTGTTTCAACATTATCGTATTGGGTTAGTACTGTAAGGATAATGTATGTATTATTGTAAATAAAATAAAGATTTTAGATATATTGTGTTTCCTAACGTTTCTAGGGATGCGTTTTATTGGTACAAGTTGAATGGTTTCTTTCACAACTGTACCAAGTTTAACTAAAGACTACAATAATTTATCAGTTGTGAGATTATTGACCAGCTTTACAGGTACCGATTTCAAAAACCAAAACTTTTCTTCCAAAAGAAATATCATCTACTTATAATCTATTACTGTTTAATCTATATATATTATATAAAATTCTTGTGTCACAATACTCGTTCCCATACTCCTCCGAAACGGCTCGACAGATTCTTATGAAATTTTTTATGCATATTCAGTAAGTCTGAGAATAAGCTACTATCTATCTTTCAAACCCCTAAGTGATAAGGGGTGTCCAATTTTTTTATGATACAGCACACAAAAATACATACAACCCTTACGATCAACCCCTATTTTTTATTATAGTAGATAGTTATTTTTATACAACTAAAAAATGTTTCCTAGAAATAATATACATGGCAGAACGACGTATGCCGGGTCAGCTAGTAGTCGTACATAATAAAAAATATTATAAAAAAGTTTAAACTAATTAACAATCATTAACCTGCATATCCCTCTTATCCTTTTCAGAAATGGATCGATCTGGTTGAGGCGCCGGCAGAAGTTTGAACCGACACGTATCAGACAAATTCCAGGCCGCATTTTGGAGAATACCAACTTTTGGAACTCCGGTTGACATGTTGAATCCTAGAATTCATACACACATTATTATCATAAACGCTCAAACAAATATAAGAGGATAAATAACTCTATTGAATACGATAGAGTAACCAAAAGTGGAATGTTTATAATTTTTTGTATGGGCTCTTTGGGGCTGTCTAGAATCTGTTATAACGACATCGAAGGGACCACTCATATTTGGTCGTAAAAACCAATAGTCGTAACAGCCGATGATGTTGTTAAGAACCTAATACAATAGAATTCAGCCGGGACCTTTGGTTTTGGTCAATATAACCGGTATGTTGTTCTAAACGATGTCGTAAACGGTTTTTATTGTAAAATAAAAAGCCCCGCCATATTGCAGGAATTTATTTTTTCAATTGGCAACAAATTTAAGATGTCATTCACAGGAATTATTTTTCACTTTTTAGTTTGATGTGCTTTAAAAGCGTGTTTTTTAGTTTTTTAAACTATATTTATTTTCCACTTTTTAGTCCTAGCAGCAATACGTGTTGTCTCAATTTAACCGTATTGCTTTGTGGACTTTAAAAAATTCAAAGGTTTTTCGAGATAAACCTATGAAATTATTATATTGTCGCTGATTCTTTATAAGTGTACAAAGTTTGAATTAAATCTGTCCGTTTAATGTGGGTCAAAATCGAGTCCGAAGGAGTCGGTTACATACATACATACATACAGGTGAAGCTAATATAAAGCGTGTAAAAATGAATTGTTTACTTCAGAAATTTAAATAATACTTATTGACCCCCTGAGGGGCATGGGTCCCACGTTGGGAAACACTTTCTATACTTAGATAATTTAGCGTAAAAATTCGAGGATTTTTATATTTTATTGGCCGGGCTGAATAATATTGTTGATTTACAAATACAAGCTTTTAAAATTTTGTGTTATTTTAATTTTATTAACGCAATACATATATTGCTAATTAAGTGTATATTAAAATACTCACCAATAGCCCCCGGTTGATACATGGGAGCATTCTTCATAGTAACACTTTGGCCGGCCTGCAAGTCCTGCGGCGCTGATGAGGAATGTCCTCGCTGCTGTTTACGGGAACGTGCGCGGTGCTTCTCCCATAGGCGAGCCCGTTGACCCAAAGGTAACACGCCCCTAAAATATCAAATCATTACGATAATTTTTTACTGGAAATTTTGGGTCAGTAATAACAAAAGTTAAATCTCATCTTTTTTTTTTTAAAGCAAAAAGAAAGAAAAATTATGTACACTAAAGTTCAGCTGCCCTTGGAAAAGCAGATGCGCTCAGCTATTGTTCCATCGAGCTAAGGGAGCGTTCAAGTATTACGTAACGAATTTGGGGGGGGGTCCTTTTGTAAAACGTTACGATGCGGGGCGGGGATTAAATTACGCGTTATTGTTAATATTTTTTTCGACTTACACCACATAATAGTAACTAAAGAGTTACTAGGTGGTCACTAAATGTTTTACTATACTTGGGTACAGTACTGTACTGGGGTACTGAAAAACATTTAGGGGGGGTAAAAGGGGGGGGGTCAATAATCTCCAAAAATTGCGTTACGTAATACTTGAACTCTCCCTAAGTGACAAACGAAGAAGATATCCGCGGAAAAGGAGAAACAATTGACGCTGAGAAACATCTAATATAACTCAAATGGAGATGAACGTAGCCTGTTTAACAGACGGAAAATGTTTTTTTTTTATACAGTACAGGGGGCAAACGGGCAGGCTCACCTGATGTTAAGTGATACACCGATGTACACTCTCAATATCAGAGGGTTCGCAAGTGCGTTGCTGGCCTTTTAACAATTGATACGCTCTTTTCTTGACCCTGAGTCGAATTGTGGACAGCTGGTTCCACAGTGGTGGTGGTGCGGGGCAAAAACTGCCTTAAAAAACGCTCAGTTGTGAAACGACGGACGTCGAGGTGATACGGGTAGTATTTCGTATTCTGCCTCGACGTCCGATGATGAAGGTATTAATCCGAACAACTTTGGTCAATAAGGGTAACTGAATGAACTGGCCTAAAAGCACAGAGAAACAGCTAAGAGAGCAATGGGCCGACGTGATCAAAGGGTGGCTGGCAAAATTTGAATGCTGATAGGAATCGATAAAATTGTATGGAATAAGTTGGAGGAGGCCTTTGTCCGAATGATTAACAGAATTCATATTATATGTAAACTAAATGTAGATAAATAAAGATTTATTAATATTATTGTTCGGCGTGGCGATTTAAAACCTAGGCAGAGAATCAAGTACAATGAAAATAACTTAAATATGTATTGGCGCTTACAAAAACAGTTCTTAATATTGTCTTTTATTGACATAACTTTTAGACATAGAAAAACACTTTTTTAACGGATTTGAAGTTATGTTTTATTATAAATTTACAATTATTTAACAGCGTGCGTGGTCACGGTAAAGCACGCGAAACGTCGGTTAAATTTAAAATAATTGTAAATTTATAATAAAACATAACTTCAAATCCGTTAAAAAAGTGTTTTACTAACAGTTCTTAAATTATGGGACGATCAATAATAGATAAGTTGATGTCACTGATTTGCACTTTCAAATGAAGGCTTAGGGAAAGTATGTTATTTAAAATATACAATGTTGATGGGTAAAATTGTGTAAATTTGTTACAAAAACAAAGAATTTATAAGTATCTTCCGCATTTTGATGCGTTTTAAAACCGTTTAAGATTCATAATGATAATATTTTTTTGAAATCGAGTTCATAGGAAAACTTTTTCATATATGTTCTTCCATAATTAATTTAATTTATATGTAATATTTAAAATTTTCATTATAATTAACATACCACCAATAGAGGGCTCCTGAATCCAGTTTCGCCACTGTATATAAGGAGCATACGTGAAGCGAAATCGGCTTGTCTGAGCCAAACTCGGTGAACGCTTGTAGTGGATGTTCTAAGCGTGTAGCGCCGGGTGCGTGAGCTAAAAAGGAATTTTAATTATAATTATATAGTCCAATCGTGCATGGCATATAACTCATGTTTCTAGGTTCGATTCTTAACGAAAAATTCTAGCTAAAAGTCTTAGAGTTACTAAACTTGATACAAGATACATACAAGTACACAGCTGGGACAAATACTCCCACGAGAATGTAAGTGCGTGCTCCTATTTCACCATGCCTTCTGCTGATAGAGGACAAATCTTTGTTTTTAATTTATTTTATTATTATTTATTACGTAAGATGTCATGTGGAACATGGTGTAATGGTAGCAGCTCCTTACAAACATTTTGTAAAACAAAAAACTTGGCGATTAAAAAGAGTGGCGGAGAGTTTATTGCCAGTTCTTCTCTTCCGTCCTACGCCCTCGATTTGAGAACTGGCAGTAAATGTAAAATTAGTAGCATTTAATGTATATTACTTTTTTGACGTTCATAAGTGTACCTACCTATATGAATAAATGATTTTTGACTTTTGAATATATTTTAGTATTAATTCGTATCTCAAAAAGACCACAAAGAGCATTATCAAGAACATTCTTGGAACATAAAACCGTCTAAGGCTATGTTCACATGTAACGCGCGTTAACGCGCGTTAACGCGCGATCAAATTTGAAGAGCGTTCAGATGATGAGCGCTAACGCGCGTTGCGAGAGTACTCGTCAGTCTAGTTCGGTAGAACGTAGAAAATGGACGTGGAAGAGGCTATTATTTTGTGGTTATATTATAAAGAAAAATATAGAAAAAGAAAACGTACACATTGGGTTCATCCAATTTTGAAAAAAAAATACAAATTATATTATATTTTTTATACAAATTTGCTATATTCCAACTTGCTGGCCTTTTTTCTACTTCATCGATTAGTAAGTCGATGTCAATATCTTCAGTTTCACTCATTTAAATGCGAGAACAAAATATAATTACGAAAATTAACAAAATTAACACCAGACCGCCTCATTGAACAGCAAACGGACATTACATCAAAGCGCCGTCAACGCGCGATCACCTGCGTCTAGAGACTTTTTCTCTGAGCGCCGCGTTGACGCGCGTTAACGCGCGTTGACGCGCGCTCATGTGAACAGTTGTATGAAAATACCACAATGTCTAGTCGCGCGATTTGAAAACGCGCGTCAAGTTTTTGCCATCTGAACATAGCCTTAAAATATAAGAGCTAAATTTGTCCCTTGGTGACTTTGAAGATTCCACTTTTGATATAAAGCATTTCGTTCAGAGGTAAAAATTATGAGAAAACTATGTCAGAGAACAATAATTGTCTATCATATCAATTGGCTGATCACCTACTTGTTTACAATTAATAAAATATATGCAATTTAGTTGGTATGAGTCTTGTTTATATATTTATTAAAGCACACATATCAATCAATTGTTTTTTTCTAATTTGAAATTCACATAATGTTGTTATTTTTATATTTTTGAAGTTATAATTCTTTAGGCGCGTTATGAAAAATTGATGAGAGTGAAATTTTACGATGCGCGCGCACCGTTACACAAAATTAACAGAATGAAGTTGCCCACGAAAGACGCTACGGCATTGGACATAATTGTTTTTAACATTCGAATAATAATAGAATTTATGTTACACTTAATGTAAGAGAAATATAATAAATATTTATTTATTTATGATATAAACGAGACCATGGACACCCATGCATTGCCGGCGAAGAGAAGGAGTATACTCTTTCTTTAAAGAACTGGAGGTCTTATCTCCCTAGGAAGATGGGGACCGGGAGTCGATTCCACAGTTCTCAAAAGAAAATGTTTAGTGAAGTGAACTGTGGAAGACTTCCAGCCATCATCCATATCAAGGTGATACGGATGAAATTTTGTATTAATTTAATTCATACATACCAATAGACTCGTCCAAAAACGTAGCAATACGTGCAGCGTCTGTCAAAATCGAGATCCTAATGCCGGCCGCATTAATGTTGATGACTCTTTCGCCTGGAGCTAAACCAAGCCAGTTGCTGCGAGGGTGGTACGACCCATTGCCCAGTGCCTGCAAACAAATTTTTATATAATTTTGACATATTTGACAAACAACTTAACCATTTTCTTATGGCGCGTCTAAACGGGCCATGTTTTGCTGCAATTGATGGCTGCAACACTGTGGCCGGCAACATTGCAAACAATAGCAGCCACACTATTGCAGTAATGTCCCGGCCATATAGCCAAACATGTTTTGTATAGCCACATATGGCCGATGTTGCCCCGATGGGTGGCCGGACGATCGCTAGGCTATCGAATTCAACTGCAATATTGCACAGCCAGTTCTCTTGTTGTTTCAGTCATTCTCTTTGTTATGGCATAGTGTATCCTTTTCTACGCGACATGACGTTTGCTTTGAGTGAAGTGTGCCTGTTGCTTTATTCTGTGTTTTGCGATCAGCTGTATTTGACGTTAGATTACTACGTAAAAATGACTACTTTTGTCATTCTAGTTCTTGAATAATTTATTATCAAGACTTATTTCTAGACTCAAATTGTCTACAGTTTCACGCCTATTTAAGGTCGAATCCACAATCTCTTCTTTTTCTGTTTCTTTTTTAAAACAATATAAGCGTAAGTTATTAATTATTCTTTTACTTTTGTATTTAAACCTTATTTAAGAGATTTCCCAATCCATTTATATAGAACTATAATTCCTAACAGGAAGTACTGAAATTCATATTTGTGTATTTTTAAATACTAGAAAACAACTATATTTTTTTTTAAATAAGTAACAGGGGACAAACGACGGGCTCTCTTGATCTTAAGTGATGCCGCCACCGATATACTAAATGGTAGAGAGCTCGCGAGTGCGTTGCCGGCCTTTTAAGAATTGGTTTGGAAATACTTTAGTGCAGCTGGTTCCACATGGTGGTGCGCGACAAAACAGCCTTAAGAACCGCTCAGTTGTTTGATGATGAAACTTATATATGACAAAGGTTTGGTGGTAATACAGTACTTTTACAACGCGTTTTCATATTACGCGATATCAGTCCCTCGTATAACACGGGTATTACCCCATATAATTTTGTACTATGACATTTATAATGATTTGTACGCACATATTTCGTTCATAAATAGTTTTCCTAACAACGAAAAAAATTAAACGTGAATAATTTGTACATAACGCGTAATATGGGGGGTATACACGCACGTTATGCGAGAATACTCCTACAATGCATTTCTATAACGCGGAACCAATCTACCGTGTTAAGCGTTCAAGTATTATGGCACGCAATTTTTGGAGATTATTGATCCCCCCCCCATGTAACGCGCCGTTACGTTATTCTGTACCCAATAGTAAACTATTTAACGTGTCGTGACCACCTAGGGACTCTTCATACCTAAAAGTTACCATTATGTGGTGCAAAGTCGAAAATAATTAACAATAACGCGTAATTAAATCCCTGCCCCGCATTGTAACGTTTTACAAATAGACCCCTCCCCCCAAATTTGTTACGTAATACTTGAACGCTCCCTTATACGATGGACAGTACCTATATTGCAGCTATGTATATTTGTAACTCACATCAGTCCTCTGGTATGGATGTGGATCCGCCCAGCGCCATTGGTGTATCTGTCCATATGTAGAGACAGCAATCAATTCACTATAGGTGGCCGCAATATGGGTGAAACGAATGTTAGTGTCCCAGTACTCCAAATCTTCGGATACCCAAAGAGGAGACGCTGCCATTGCTGAATCTTTCTTCTTACTTTCAACTGTAACATTACAACATTTTTTAATTAATATTTAATTCATTTTTTTGGAATTGGTATTTGAGATTTAGAAATCTCTCTAATTCACGCTGGAAATAAACGCGCGTGATACCGATGGGTTCAGATTCTATCATTTAGTAGTACTACACATGGCGGACCCATACGACTTATCACCACATAGTATAAAACAAAGTCGCTTTCTCTGTCCCTATATCTCTATGTAAACTTAAAACTACGCAACGGATTTTGATGCGGTTGAGTGATTAAAGAGGAAGGTTTATATGTATAGTAACATCCATTAAATAGTAGATTAATACTGTTAATTTTGAGGTTTCCAATGTGATGTCGTAAATAATAACATTTTTTCCGCTTACATTGCGAACGCAGGCTGAACCCTACGAGATTTATCAAAATAATGTACTAAGTAATGTACACATTGAAAAGGTCTAAAGAAAACTCCGCGATGGTATATATCTATCTCTTATGGATATTAAAAATACTATTAATTTCTATTAGCAATGAAATATAGGAAAAACGCGTTAAGCTAAAACAAAAAATTCAATAACTTATAAACATACCTCCTTCCTTATCCCAGGAATTATCCCGTAACGCGGTCTCAAGCCAACGCCGAGGTCCAAAGTACTGCCTCTCCCTCCAGCGGCTGAACTCCGAGGTTCTATCCTGGGCAGAACTTCCTTCCCGGGAAGCTCCAGCCCTTCCAGCGCTGCCGCCCCCACTGCGGCTGTTAATATAACTATTTAGTATTTATTAGGCCGCTCAAAATACCATGCCATTGCATCACAAATACCATGCTAAGTGTTAAAAAAAACAGCAAATATCTATACCAATGCGATAATATTACGTGGGTAACACTGAAAACCAGTTAGAAACATTGCTAATGAAAACTTTTTTTGAATTTCAATTTTAGAACTCTTTGGTAACCTAATGTAGTATATTGCATTCATTTGTCATTTGTTTTTGTGAATTGGCGGCAAATCTAAAACTCTTACACGTTAAAATGAACCTATTCATTTTCTAAACATTTTCAGTGTTACCTAGGTACTAGGTAACTGGTTAAAATAATATCATGCAAAATTAAATATGAAATTTTAAGTTACTCTAGTTCACGCGAGTTAAACTTCTTTAATTCGAAATTTTCGGAGCTTTTCAGCAATTATACTTTTGAATCACGTAATATCGAGTAACGTAAAAAAATAAATTCGCGTACTTAGTCGTAATATTCATTTTACAGAATAATTTAATCTAATTCATGATATGTTTCAATTGAAAACCAAATAAATAAAGCAAAGTTTTATACACATTAGTTTCAATAACATTTCATTTTTCATACTGTCAATTAACATTAGGTACAATACAATTAAACAAATCATTGTTTTCATCACTTAAAGCCCTTGAGATCACCGATTTAACATTTAATAAGGGGCTGTCTATTAATCACGTGATGTTTTTTAATCCCTCCCTCCCCATGGTGATACGTGGTGAGGTTTGAGACTACCCCTCCCCCACCAAAAATCACGTGTATTTTTTTGTACCTACAAAGAATCTTAAATTTTTTATATAATTTTTAAGTACTGGTATAAAGTATAATCTAATCCTATTCTAGAAAATTAAGGACCACGATAAAAATGTCTAGAGAGATAGGTTCCAGGTTGTTTTTGACTGGCATAAAAATAATAATAAAGGAATGGTGTAATCATGCGAAGAACATATATTGTACATGAACATATTTAATATACGTTGCCACGGATTAACAAGACTTTCTTCAATATTAACAACTGGATAAGCATCTTGCAAGTCAGTTGTTGGCACTGCACTTTGTCAAAGATCAACGTCGGTTTCATCAAGCCACTCGGCGTCATCACGAGCATCATAGAATCTCTCTCGATATACTGATCGATCGATTTTCTTAGCCGCTTTTCGGCTTTAGGTTTAGAAATCACGTGTTTGACGAAAAAATAAGTACACGTGATATCTTACTATATCCCCCCCCCCCCGAACCTCACGTGATTAATGGACAGCCCCTAATCAACATTTCTTTGAATAATATATTTATATATGTACAAAGGTGAACTTATTTGTTGCAAAATAAAAAAATCTAACGCAGCTATACAAATTTGGGAAATATATATGTACATTATACATATGTAAGGGTAAGATTAAGATCCCCATCAAAATTCCAAACCTTTTTGGCATATGGGAGAAATACTTAGTTCTCCTAAATTTTATTATGTACGGATAACAAATCTTGGACTCATAGTATCTTTAATATGTGGGAAATAGTCTCGATTCAGAGCATCATACTTTTGTAAAAAAATCATCAAAAAAGTCTAGCAAATTAATAACTATCATCCGAAGCGGCAGATGATGGTTTTCTCAATTAAAATCAATAGTATTAGCTATGGTAAATCTTAGTGAAAACTATATTATAAAAATAAATTATAACAAAACGGCATTCAAATTATAAATAGTAACTGGTGTAAAGGGTTTTTAAGGTAAAAAAAAATTGTGCATACATGCCATTTGTATATATTGTGACAACAAGACGACATAAACAAACTACTATTACTTGACTAAAACGCATATATTGCCCACTGTGTTAATATATGTTAAGAAAGAAATATAATAACTTTTATGTAACGCCAAGTTTTTGTGTATATAAAGGACAAATCTTTGTTTTTAATTTATTTTATTATTATTAATTACTTAAGATGTCAAGTGGAACATGGTGTAATGGTTGCATCTCCTTACAAACGTTGCGTAAAACGAAAAAACTTGGCTACTAAAAAGAGTGGCGGAGAGTTTATTGCCGGTTCTTCTCTTACGTTCTACGCTCTTGATTTGAGATCTGGCAGTAAATGTAAAATTATCATAAGTGTACATTGTGTTACCTATATGAATAAATGATTTTTGACGGTAACCACGGCAACCAATTCGTTAAAAAATTCAATATGTTCGACGACCTGGTGGACGGAAAAACTGTGTCCAGTTTGTGTTTCCACCACGCCAACTTCTTTCTATTTAGGATCTTGTATAGAATAAATAAAAATAAAAAAAAACTATAATTTAAACGCTCTGTCACAAATGGTATCAATATGCGCTTTAACCATTACTTCTCTATGCGTAAGCCCGTGCTATCATGGACAGGAGTGGCCGAGGAGCATAGCCTAAATACCTTCTGATAGCCGCGTACCCGAAGATGTCCTCAGAGAACATCGCATCAGCATCGATGATCACCGACTGGTCCTGCTGACTGGCGTGGAACCCTCCATCGAGGAGGGAGATCAGGTCCTCGGGCACGTAGCCATCGCCGCCCTCACCGTTCTCCGGCTCTTCACCTTCTTCGTCGTCACGGGAGAGCAGGTTGTTCACTGCCAGATTCACGTCCAGATTTGTTCTCTACAAAATGTTGAAAGACGTTTTTAACACCAATACGAAATTCTAAAGTTATTTGGAAACGTTAGGATAACTCGAACGGTGAAGGGAAACATCGTGAGGAATCCGGCTTGCCTTATACCCTAAAAGTCACCGGCGTGTATTAAATTAACAAATGATCAGATACAGAAATCTGAAGCCCAGACCTAAAAAGATTGTATCGCCACTAATAATTTTTTAAAATGTTAGAATATTTTAAAAAATTAGGAGAGTTTATTGCCAGTTCTTCTCTTCCGTTTGGCTATTGGTCGTAAATAAATAAATAGAAAATAAAAAAAAACAAAATCTCCAAAAATTGCGTGACCTAATACTTGAAACGCTCCCTAATAGGGTTGCCTGTATGAGATGGCTTATTAGCGATAAGGCCGCCCGTTGCATACTTCATTATATTTTCTTGTTTTTTATTGTATCATTAAATAAATACCACTTTAACGGATATAAACGGGAATTTAATCAATTGTTTACATAACACCAGGTTTCGAGTAATAAGTTATGAAAATTATGTAATAAGTTGGTAGTACGCCGTATTTACATCAGAACTTTTGTTTATTCTAAATTTACCTGTAATTCACGAATTATGAGGCTTCTACTCTTTCCTTGAAGCACCACTTGAGCTTGTGTTACAAGGTCTTCGGGAACAAAGGGGGCAGGCACTGCTGACACAACACGGCTAGATCCCGATGCGCCTATAATAACCCCGGTTGCACGACTTGTAGACCCTGTAATGAATACATAACAATTATACAACCCTAAAGGTGGGTTCGCCTAGTGGTTTCAGCGGTGCGGCTATCTCTTCATTCCTGAGAGATCGTAAGTTCGAACCCCGGCTGTGCACCAAAGGACTTTCTTTATATATGCGCATTTAACATTCGCTCGAATGGAAAACATCGTGATTAAATCGACATGTCTTAGACCCAAAAAGTCGACGGCGTGTGTCAGGCACTGGAGGCTGAATACCTACTTTCTTTTTGTGACCATTTAACAGGCTAAAGGAAAACGTCGTAACTGTGAAGTAAAAGGCAAATCACCTACTTACCTTGACAGACAAAGAAAAAATATCAATGAAACACGCGGAAATGAGACAGTCCCATCCCAGGGGAGATATACACAATCATAAGCTTCCGCTATCTACTACAATCATAAGGTGATCAAAAACAAAAACCAAGTTCTAGAACATTCATATTCTATATAATAAATATGAAAGACATATCTTAATATATATAAATCTCGTGTCACAATGTTTGTCCTCAATGGACTCCTAAACTACCGAACCGATATCAATCAAATTTGCACACCATGTCCAGTTCGATCCAACTTGAGAGATAGGATAGTTTAAATCTCAAATTATAGTCGCAATTTTAATTTATTGCAAAATATTTGTTTATTATTTGATACAATTCTAACAGATGGCGCTGTGTTAAAATTATCAACGTTTCACATAAGCTGTCATCTACCTTTCACATAAGTTCTCCTACCGTTTCCCTTGAATAGTTTACTACTATGTAATATAACAAAAATCTTAGCCAGAGCAACGCTTGGCCGAGTCTACTAGTTTATTTATATTTATCTTCAGAATTGTACTATAAACTACAGTTTTATTCCCTAAGAGCTTTTTCAGACACAAAAAAAACTTTAAACAGTTTTAAGATTTACTAGGATATTGAGTTTAATCGTAATCTTATATATAAAATTCTCGTGTCACAATGTTAGTTACCGTACTCCTCCGAAACGGCTTGGCCGATTTTTATCAAATTTTATATGCATATTCAGTAGGTCTGAGAATCGGCTACTATCTATTTTTCAGACCCCTTAGTGATGAGGGATGTCAACCCCTAACATTTTATTTTTTGGACGAGTTTTTTTCTTTTAATGATAGGTACTTCAAACAAAAATACATACAACCCTTAATTTTCACCCGTCTACGATCAACCCCTATTTTTTATTATTGATAGTCTATATTTTTATTGAACTCAAAAAATGTTTCCTAGAAATAATATACATGGCAAAACGATGTTTGCCGGGTCAGCTAGTTCTATATAATTTTAAGAAAGTAAAAATATATAGAACTTTAATATATATATTTAACTTCAATTTTGTTCCCTTTGGAGTAGAGACTCTTGGGCCGTGGGGTTCAAGTGCACAGGCGCTTATTAAAGATTTAAGTTGGCGCCTGGTAGATAGTACCGGTGACCACAGAGTTGGCACTTTCCTGGCTCAAAGAATAAATCTCGCAATACAGCGAGGAAATGCTGCCAGCGTTAAAGGTACACTGCCACAGGGACCAAACTTTTTAAATTTGTTTTGATTTTCTTCTTTCTTCTTTAATTATTTTTATTATTACTTTATAGGTTAAGAAAATTGTAAATACTGTATTTATTTTAGAATATTAAATATAACATCCTTTTCGAAATGAGATTTAAGAAAGTGGGTTAGAGAAAATTTTTCACCCTGTTTTGAACATTCTTAACTATATTTTTATAATTAGTAGAAACTTACATTTAATAAAAAAATCAGTAGCTCTACAAAGCCTCAGATTTCTGTATCTGTGTCATGATCATCATTTATCAACTTTAATAGGCAAGTAGGTGATCAACCTTCTATAAGGCAACCCGGTTTCTTCACGATGTTTTCCTTCACCGTTCGAGCGAATGTTAAATGCGCACTTAGACAGAAAGTCCATTGGTGCACAGCCGGGGATCGAACCTACGACCTCAGGGATGAGAGTCAGAAACTTTAATTTACGACCTTTACCGCAGCGATAAGAAACAACTACTTCAGAATTTTTAAATAAGGGAAAATATAATATAAAGGGAAATTTCCACAAAACACTCGAAAGATAAGGAAAATATCTTCTAAAGAAATACATAGAATATGTTTACGAGACTATACTGTTAGGAAGTCACTACATGCATTTTTGGTGCGAAATTTTCGCATATATAGAATATATAGAATCGTTTTATACAATTACTATTAAACTCAATATACTATGTAACCTGTATACTGTAATAACGTTCAAACCCTTACACACACATCTACATAATAAAATTAACGGTGTGTGCTTAGGTGTGTAAATATATAAATTTATTTAGAGCAATTTACAAATAAATTACCTTGAGAGCTTGGTGCAGCTCTAATAGAGTTCCTCATAATTCTTGCTCTAGTGCGAGGTTGTTGTCTGGAACCACAGCTACTGCTGCTTCCGCCCTGTTTCCCTCCACTATTCCCACCTCCACCACTTCCACCACCACCATTTCCATTATTTTTGCTTGCGTCTGCTTTACTCAAATCCAATCTGTCAGGTATGATTGAAAATGCAGCTCTGCATATTGTCCCATCTTCAAGAAGACAGGCAATATGAGCTGGTCCAGCAGCAACGGAGCGCACTCCTCTTAAGGAACTAAGTGCGGGTGATCCGCCCCTAGTACCAAATCTATTCCATCTCTCAGTAACTTCTCGCAAACTGTAAGAATTATTATTTATGATTAATTTATTTGTGTCATGTATGTTGTTAATATAAATACAATTACAGAATGAGTAAAAATCTAAACATATATAAATTTCTGTCTAATATATTATATTCCCGGTTGGGAACAAAGCAGACATACTCCATTTTATACTAGAAGGTGAACGGAATAAAGCAGGAACATTTATTGTTTTGGCAGTCATAGCAAATCTAGCATGTCCTGTGGGCACAAGTACATATAAACAAGCCATGGAGGTAATATGTGTACAAAACCAACAATATTTATATATATAATATAATACTTATATAATAATATCTTTTACGGGATTCAACTATGGGGTTCGGCGTGTGACTCTAACATAAGTATCATACAGAGGGTTCAAAACTACATCTTGAAACACATATCCAACTGTCCGTGGTTTATAAAAATATCGGAGATTCATGAGCACCTCAAAATCAGGACTGTCAAAGAGGAGATCAAGACCTGGAGTATGAAATACAAAAAAAGGCTAGAAATGCATCCTAATAAGCTTGCCACGCAACTAACCATACCGGACCTAATAAATAGGCTTAAAAGGCGACAAATCCTAAGTCTTGATAGACACGGTTGAAAGAGAGGAGCAGTCTCGGTGGAGATTTTGCTCTGAACGTCTAACAGCTCTCAACACATCTGCTCATAGTCTAGCTGACTGATTGCAAGATAAAGACTTATATAAAAAAAATAAAATATAATAATATTCCAATTTTTTAATAATAACACAATGTATGAAGTTGTAAAAACTTACAAATCACTAACAAAAAAATTAAACGTAAAGCATGGTACAAAAGCTAAAAAGATTATCAAACTCATTTATATATACTATGTTACGTATGCTTAAAAATAATTTACATTCAAAATTACTATTCAAACTTTTATTTAAATTGTGGTATTTTTATATATACATATCGTCGCTTAGCTAACAATACCGCACAAGTCATATTTTAGCCAAATGACGTTTTTTACACCATTCGATAGATTACTTTCCCGCGCGTCTAATGAGCTCTCGCTAGAGGTAATATCGTCCAATAAGAGCGCGTTATTCAAAAACTAGTAACACAACACAACTCATTGGCTGCGCTAACACCGCGCAAGTCATCATAACGCCATAGTAATTTGGCCGTGCCACGTCGCACCTTATAAGATCGTTTGTCGTTTTTAAAAAAGCGGATTTTTTGTAACGGACTGGCTCCACTGATGTAGTTTAAAGGTAAGGTAACTTAAATAAAACATAGTATTCATATTTTATCTATTAAAAATACTTCATACGATTGCTTTTAAAAACATGAATACTTAAGCGGTGTTGGAATGAACAGTTTCGTTGAGTTAGGCGGTTTTCTCTTTACTTGGTTTCGATGTCTGAATGACTTACAATGTACTTCTGTGTTGAGTTTCTGACTGCTGCGGTATTCATCGATATAATTAGCGATTTTTACGCAGTTTTTTTAATGATTACTATATCGTAATTATATTATATTTTACTTCAGAACACGAAAATGGACAAAATGGTCGATAATGATACCACGCCTGATGACTTTTCAAGAGTTGACGCTCAATGTAAAGTTATTACTTTACGTGACTTACAAAAGAGACATAGAGAAAAAATGTTATTAAATACATTGGGTATTAAAGAATGGTTTGTCCGATACTGGTTGATAACGACAGATTGTGCTATGCCACCGCCTTCTGAGATTTCTCGGAATGTAGATTGCTCCAAAAAGAACTCTGATGGTCACGAGCGTCTACAGCAATTTTTAGATAGCCTGCCGAAGATGCCATCGTCTACTGTCGAGCAAACTCATCCAGACGATACCTAGAACCAGTATTTCATACCATGGCACAATTAAACAAAGAATACGTCAGTAAATGCGAATTAGATTCCTTAAAATGTCTTAGTCGTAGGGTTTTTGACAATGTATTCTTAAAACAGAATCTTAGTCTGTTTCATCCCAAAAAAGATCAATGCGATGTATGCTGTGGTCATAAAGTTGGAAATATAAACGATACTGAAATTGCAATACATCGCGATAGGAAAGACAAAGCTAGAAAAGAAAAAGACACTGACAAAAAATTGGCAATAGAAGGAAAAACGTGTCATGTATTTACGCAAGATGTTCAATCAGTAAAATTTGCTCCCTACCTTCAGGCTAGTGCCATATACTACAAGACATTTTATCTGTTCACAATTTTACCATGTACAATTTGTCAACACATGAAGCTTGCTGCTACTGGTTCGATGAATCAAATGGCTCCCTTGAAGCTTCTGTTTTCGCATCGTGCATTGTGGATCAACTACAGATAATTTTAAATAGAAAATTACTACCGGTAATATTGTATTCTGATGGCTGCTGTGCACAAAATCGAAATTCCATCTTAAGCAATGCTCTTCTGCGTTTATCCATCGATAAAAAAGTTAAAATAACTCAAAACATCTTAGAAAAAGGTCACACGCAGATGGAATGCGACTCTGTGCACAGTGCCATCGAATGTAGATTAAAGGGAAAAGAAATTTACCTTCCTTCCCAGTATGCGAATATAACAAAGACAGCTAGAGATAACCCAATGCCATATGAGTCTCGATTATTAGAATTCTCTTTTTTTACCAATTTCAGTAAGGATTTAATTTACAAAACCATTCGTCCGGGCAGAAAATTCGGAGATCCCACTATTACCGATTTAAGGGTATTAAAATATAAACCAGATGGAACTATTTGGTATAACTTTGACGAACCTTTGCAGCCGTTGCCTCAGCGTCCAATGAAAATTACCAATGTAAAACCTTTAGAAGAGCTGCCGAAATTATTATCTGAAAGACTGCCAATTTCCCAAAGAAAATATAAGGATCTCCAAGATTTAAAGGCAGTGATACCTTCGAACTGCCACGCATATTATCATGAGTTACCTTATAAAAATTAAATATTTTTCATCCATAAACATTTTGTATTATTTTTAGAAGTAGGTTAAGTATTCGAAGTGTTCTTATTGTCTTATATTGTTTGTGTTAAATGTACCATTTTATTAAAGTTTTTGAGAGTTTAGAATTATTAGAAGTTATGGAAAAAATTACCTAAATTACAAAGCAACCACCTCTGGTTTCCATTGTAACTTAGATAATTTTATTGATCTCAGTAGGTAAGTAGTTGATCTCGTCAAACAGTACAGTCGTAAAAGTCAGTGAGTTCCTATAATATATTATAATATTAGCGAACCCGGCAAGGGTTGTCCTGTTGGAATAAGAAAATAAAACGGCAAAGAAATGTGTTTTTTTTTTGATAAAAAGCTAATTTAGCAATCTTTTTTTATTTTATTGAAGTTAATAATTAGTTTTATAAAACTGTTTTTGAAAAATGTTTTTATTTCGATAGTTTTTCATAGAAAATTTTCTATGAAAGACTTATAGAGCTTAAATATAAAAGGTAAAAAACACCGCGTAAGTCTTTATTTTGTTAGAGTAAAACTGCTCAAGTCTTGAAAATGACCTAATAAGACGATATTTCTTTTTATTTGTTTTTATAGTTATCATGCTTAACTAAATACAATATATTAAAATTTTTATCATGCATGTATTGTACAAAATGTTAAAGTAATACAGTTTTTTGTCTCTCCTGAAAACTAAGCAAATCTGACTTATGCGGTATTGTTAGCTAAGCGACGATATATAGGTTATGTAATAAAATAATATGTTTGTTTGTGGTCTATTATCTGTAAGTAATGTGTAATTTGGATGAACTCTTAAACACAAATAATTGGTTTTTTAATATTCATTGAATAGATTATGTTGGAATTTACTTAATATAAAATACTATGATCATATTTATTTCAGAGTATGAAGCATTTTACCCATGTAAAATATTTCTTCTAGAAATAAAAAGAAAATGTTGCTCATTTGTAAAATGAATAAAACACAAATACGAAATTTAGTTTCAATGTTTAGTTTATTGACTTTGATTTACACACACATTAAAAACTTTTTCAAAATAAATGAAAATTTATTACACATTTCAAAAACCTTAAATTTCAAGTCTGCTTTTCAGCAATTTAAGGTTCGGTGGTAAATAGGTTTTTGTGGTAAGAATAATTTCTACCTATTTTACATAATACTGAAATTATATATCATGTTAAAGCTAGGCCAATAAAATTTAATTAGATTTTATGAACTATTTATTTTAAAAATGCTTCATAAAGACTTATTTTTTATATTTACTCCTGACCTGAAATTCATACTTGAGTTTACAAGATAGGCAATACACTGAACTCTACTAGTTATAAGTTACAGTGTCAACTATTTCTCATCACTACATAGTATAAAACAAAGTCGCTTTCTCTGTCCCTATATCCTTATGTATGCTTAAATCTTTAAAACTATGCAACGGATTTTGATGCGTTTTTTTTTAATAGATAGAGTGATTGAAGAGGAAGGTTTATATGTATAATAACAATCCATTAAATAGTGAAGAAATACTGTTATTTTTGAGGTTTCTAATGTGATGTCGTTAATAATTACATTTTTTCCGTTTACATTGCAAACGCAGGCTGAACCCTGCGAGATTTATCAAAATAATGTACTAAGTATTGTAAACATTGAAAAGTTCTATTTAGTATCAGCATTTCACCCGCGCAGCCGAGTCGGGTAGCTAGTCTATCCTAATCCACAGATTATGCACACATGCATATTGTGACACAAAGTGATTTAAAGTTGAAAAAGATTATCTTAAGTTAATGCATGTCTGTTTTAATTTACAAAAGATCTACCTTTAACTAAAATTCTTTTGAGTTCAGGGCTAATATAATGTGAATTTATTATTTTTTAAGAATTAACAGTAAAATAATTTAAGACTATTTTTAATGTGTTCATCATAGATACAAAAAGAGGCTGCAAGAGATCTCATACTGTGAGATCAATGTATGTCAAAAACCCCTTTTTTTTAGCATACGGGGATCATACTCGGCACTAAAACTTGATTCAAAATCTTAGCTTCCAGCACTTATATTTTGCCCAATGCTTTATATAAGCTTGTTATGACTAACGGGCATAAATTAGCAGTGAACACTATTTGATAGGTATACTATCATTAGAAAATAGTTATAGCATGATTAAATAGTTAGCACCGAAAGCTTAAAAGAATGTGTGTAGTATATCTGAATTTGAAATTTAGGATATTTAAATAAAATATGTCTTGCTTAACTAGTCAGCATGCATTAATATAACTAGCATTTGATTTTTAATCTTATGATGTAAAAAAAAATTTTATAAGGAGCAAAAAATTCATAGCAAGGTTGTTGGTTTTAAAGTAGGTAAACAAAAGATATCTGATAATTAACTTTTACTTTGATGACAATCAAACTTTTTCTCAAGGAAATATAAACATAGAATTATAAAATTCTTTATCAAACTTAGTGGGGTTCGCAAAATTGATCAGCGACACCAGATCGTGACGATCGTGAATTTCGACATCCATTTTAATATCATCCTATTTTTGAACAATACAATTCTGTTCCAGATGTTTCTAGAGTTACAACAATCGGAAAAAAATGATGCTAGCACCAGCTGAGTGAGTTAGCAGGTCTTTCATAATAGTATTGTACAAGGATTAAGCCTAGAAAATGTACGAAATAAACGTGTTCATTGTTAGGACTACTAATTACTAGACGACTTTCGTGAGATAACCATTATGGAGTCAAATAGGAAGTTGAGTAATAGAGGCTTACCGATCTATTAGTTGATCCTCTGTCCCAGGTAAGGGATGAACAACGAAATGCATTGAAGACATTTTCGCAAAGCTTTATCCTGAGCTAGCACCACATTGATATTTATATTTTAGTCCAACAATATTGCAAATCAAAAATACACTGATAGTTAAAATTCTTCTCTATCCACCATATTTCTCGTGATTCCTTTCAACACCGTTTTTCGTTCTCAAATACATGTGAGTCGGTACAAGACGAAAAAAGAAAGAAAATATCAACATGGCCTCTTTAACTAAAATGTTGGTACAACTGGTTTCATGGGTGCGTTCAACAACTTTTCTTTAGGCTAAGCCTCGCAATAATGCCATTGTACAGTACAAACAAAATGAAGTAAAGGCATTGTTAACAGACTATAATGCGATGCTTTGCATATAGGGTCAAATGTACAGATGTATAATATTCTAGTGATACTATAATTCGAAAGAGGATTAATATAGCTCTAAAATAGCAAATATAGGAATAATATTTATAAAATATTATGTTGGTCCTTTATTTTACAAGTATTCTAATGTGCAAAAATGAGATAAAATAATGTTTGCCTAGTTTTATTTACCGTAAGTAGGCAATAGATTTAACCGGGCACAATCGATGAAAATATCTGATATTTTGACTTCATAAATAAATAATGAGTTTTTGCTTTCGACAGTCTTTGTAGTCTAGTCCAGTAGCTTTTTCATTTTATTGTAATGAACCAAAAATATTATAAGGGTCAGGTAAGTATATAATATATTATATTTCACAAAAAAAATGTATTAATAATTTTTCATCTGATTTACTTAAAGTAATAAGTATTATATAATTTTGAATAATTAGAGCTAGGTTTGATATTAATTTAAATATACTACAAACTAAACTGTCAATTGTAATTGACATATACTAAACTTGTCTGACTTCAAAAATCAAAAGAGGCCGAATTTTTGAAAAAAGAAAACAAAGTCGAAAATGGCCGCCAAGTCAAAGAAGCGGTTGTCTAGAAATGAAAATAAACTAAACAATTTAGAGAAATTGGAAATTAAGGATGTGATTTGTTCGATTTGCCAATCAATTTTAATAGAACCAGTAACATTACCGTGTTATCATGACTTTTGTGAAAATTGTTTTAACGGTAGTATAGAAAATAATGCTTTGTGTTGTCCGTTGTGTCGACTACGAATTGGTTCCTGGGTTAGAAAAGCTACAAAACAAAAAAGCTTGGTGAACATTCAATTGTGGAATTTTATACAAAACAAATTCTCTCAAGAAGTCCACAAGAAATTGAACGGAGAAGACATACCACTGTCACCAGGTATACCTCTTATAATTTATTTACCTTGTTTTGAATAATAAACCTTTCGAAATAGATTTTAAAAACACTATATAGCTTGTAATTTTTCATTACTTGCTACTGTATAACTACTATTATATTTTTATAACTAAAGACATGTTTTGATGCATGATGCAAATTTGCATTCACTGCGATTAATATATAATAAGTGAGCAGCCCAATTACAAATTTTCAAGTCTATTATAAAATTATTGTTAATGATTTCAGAACAAATATTGCCTCGATTAAGCAAACCAGGTGAAATTAGATCGGAATATGAAGCAGAACTAGAAAGATTAAGAGCTGAGAGGTTGAAACTTGAGCAGGACCATTTTCAAGAGACTGTGGTTCTAATAAAGTAAGTTAACTTCTAAACCATCTATGGTATTTTTCTAAAATTCATCTTGCAAATAATAGAAACATTATTATATATCATAACTTTTCAATCATAAGATTGGTAATTTAATTTTTGATATTATTTTAGGAAATTAAAAGAAGAAGAGGAACAAACACATAAAAAATATATTGAAAGCTTAAAAACGGATGAAATGTTGGCCAAAAAATTACAACAGGACCATACTGAACATAATAATATGAAAAATGTTCAACCAAGTAAAATTACTAAGAAGGAGAAAGGTTCAAAGAAAGCTAGACTCAAAGCCGCAACTATTGACTGTTATTTATCTAAGCTTAAACCTCATGAAAACTCGTAAGTACTTTTTTAAATTTATATTAAATACCCTGATGTCTCTCTAAGACACTGTCCAGTTCCTAAGACACAATTGCTGAAAAACTCTGAAAACATGGACCTAAGTAATAAAATTATTTTTAATTTAAAAAAAATTTTCATCAAATGTATTCATTATAAATTATGTTTTCAGCTCAACATTGGATGATACAAGCGCTGATAATACTATTTCTAAAAGAGCATCAATAAAGTCAACTAATAAGGGACAATGTAAGGAAGCAAATAAAACATGTGAAAATTTAAATATTGGTCTAGAAAATCAAACCAAACAGGAATCAATTAAAGAAAACGGAAAAGAAGTTAAGGTAGCTAAGGTAGGTTTCATATTCTACCTTTTCATTCATTTCAATTTATGAAAAATCGTTACTACGCCATGTTTATTCACTAAATAAACAAAAATTAATTAATATTTTAGAATTAAGTATTAAACAAAAATTATTTTTGGATGACTAAAATATAGTTAATTTTTTTCTACCTTTTACAACTACCTAATGAAAACTTTCACACTTAAAAAAAAATTTAAGTTACATTAAATTGATTTTAGGGAAAAAGTTAATAAGGATCTATTGTTTCTCCTACAAATATTTTGGATCTCCTTAGAATCGGTAATAAACTATAGTCTCTGACTAAATTATTCCGTCACAGATTAGTAGAATAAATAAAAAACATAGTAATATTTTAATTTACATTTGTAGAATCCTACCATTGCTGACATTGAAACAAACAACAAAATTATTACTAAGCCAAGAAATAACATGCAGTCATTGTTGGTCTCCTTACCGTTGCCATCAGCAGGAATACTTCAGCACAAAAATAATACTATAGATAATAGAAACATTGAAACAGGCAGTGTCGACTCAATGCAACAAGAATTATGTTATTTTAAACCCATTGAAGCAACAAGTTCAACCAGGTATGTATATATGAAATGTGATTTTTTAGGTAAAATTAAAATAATGCTCCCTCAAGCATCACATAATTATTTATTTTTTGCTGACTTTTTCTGGTAGAGGTGGTGGTTGTATACAAATATTTTTGTTAAAAGCCAAAGGCTATAGAAATTGTGTTATACAAATATTTGAGCATAAGCAAAGTTTTAATAATATTTTGTGTTATATAAAGTTGTTTAAGCCTGAAAATCAAATGCGAAATTTGATTAATAAACTATTAAGAAGAAGCAGTTAAAGTTTTTTTGGAAATATAATTGGAGCACAGAGTTGCTATTCAATAATTTTAACTTAGGGAGCGTTCAAGTTACGTCAATTACGTTACGCAATTTTTGGAGATTATTGTAATATAGCCTTTTCTTTCTATGCGCGCAATTAAACGTTCGCGTACTGAAACATTATGAGTAAACCGGCATGTCTTAGAACGAAAAATCTACGGTGGACGAAAGCTCACTATTGAGAAAATTATAATCACGAAACTGTTACATATATCTGATTTTTTTTGCGTATACGTCTTTCAATTTGCTACCATACAATTCAAAAACTTAACGATAACAAAACCGGGCGATACAGTGACGTTTTAGTTTGGAATCTATCCCAAATTTAATACACACACACAGTACACATCGCTGTCGTCAAAATCTATCGATAACATTACATAATCGTGTTTACGTAGAATACACGTGTCCACAGTCACACCCCATTGTTTTAATTCCGTCCGTAATTAAGCCGTCATGGCAGAATCAGTCTGAAGAATCTTCTTTAATTTTTTATATAATCTCATTCGGTGATATTCTAATTATGAAAAGAAATACAGACTTGGCATATTTTATTTACATACTTCTTTAAGAAAATTAAAAAATTAAATTAAAGAATTATTCTTCTAACAAAACAATGTTTTAATATTTTTTTTAATTATTAAAGTACAATGTGTTCCAACCAAGGAGGTTTCAATTCAATTTAAGTACACATAATCTGTGGTGAGCGGGCTGGTTCCGAGCCAATAGACCAATAACAGACTTTTTCCATTTTGGCGCTATTTCGTACATACGAATTTGAGTAATATTTTGTTAGATAAAACTTTAGTAGCAAAAATGTCAAGCAACACCGACGATAACGATGAAAATTTAACTCCACCTGACATTCTAGAAACTGACGAATAGTCTTTTGCCAGATAAATCAAGAAAAGCGTACGACAAATGTTACCAAGACTTTATGACTTGGAAACCTATAATGCCATGAGATTAAATAAAGTAGTGTATGCAACTGCATATAATCAGGTATTATACGACAGTTGCATAAACAACTATTAAGTAACAACCTTTCATTTGTTTATTTTTTCAGTGTCAAGTCTAATCGAGGTCTACCCTTACGCGTACCTGGAGTACGTGTGAACAAGGACTCGAATGTAACATTAAATGGTCCACCATCTCGAGCGGAATATATTGAAAGACTTTGCCAGCTCCGACAAACATCATTGGCTAAGAAGTTGCCATCTGCTTTTGTAATAGCACTGAGCTTACTAAAAATGAAAAAGGTTTGTATTACAATTGAACTTCTTCTTTTGGTGCCTCTCCAATACTGGAGGCTGTCTTGTTAAGATGCAGCAACTCTTCGCAGTCGCAATACCTGTCCACTACCTAACGTTCCGAAGCTATGTTTTTTTCCTTCTACCAACACCAACACTACTGATTTTGAATTGTGCGAAAATGTAAGAGAATATCTAATATATAAAATTCTCGTGTCGCGGTGTTTGTAGTTAAACTCCTCCGAAACGGCTTGACCGAATCTCATGAAATTTTGTGTGCTTATTGGGTATGTCTGAGGAATTGACATCTTTTCATCCCCCTAATGTTAAGGGTAGTCCACCCTTAAATTTTTTTATTTTTTTTAATGATACAGATTAAAAATACTAAACCTAATTTTCACCCTTTACGATTAACCCCTATTTTTAATTATAAATGATATTCATGGCAAAACGACGTTTGCCAGGTCAGCTAGTAAATTATATGATTTTTTTATGGAACACTTTGCTTTGTGGGAGTATTTCTTGTGGGGAAGTTCATCGCTAAAATGGGTAAAAAATACCAGAAACCGTGTGTTCGAACTGCCAAAACTGTACTTTTTTAAACGTATTATCTACTCGATGAAAATATCGTATAGATCCTGTTAGGGCTTTATATGCTAAAATGATAACCGCCCATAAACAATACGTTGTTATCAAAATGTTCTAATAGTGTTTTCTTGAATCTCTTTATTTGAACTAAATTAAAAGAAAATGTAAATAATATAAAAACCTTAACTTTTGAAATTAAGTTTGTGTTTTTAATATTATTTCAAAATTTAAAACTTAGTCGAAAATTGGGCCATAAAGAAACAAGTTTGACAAAAACCCAAGCGTCGATTTTATTTTACAGAAAACAACTTTTCTTCATCCATTAATTATTGTGTATTGTCAATTAAATTAGCTATTACAATACAGTAATTTATCCTACCCTACGAAAAGGTCTGTAGTATTGAGAAGCTAAATGAGCCTTCGTCTTTGTTGGTATATATTATTATACAGTCAAACCTGATAGTGAAACTATAAGTGAAAAACTCTTAAGTGAAAGTAAGCCGGGTCCCGTCATTTTAAGCTCCCAAAACTTCTATTAGCGAGAAACAGAAACCTCTGTAGGAGAGAGTCGTTTTTCCCTCATGGACCTCCGTAAGTTAGACTGCTACTTATCTATACCTCTATAAGCGACAGGCGAGCTTGATCAAGCAATATTCGACAAAATTGACAGTAAGAGAAACACATTCAAAATACAAATACAGAAAAACCCAAACGAAATTGACGGATTTTTAAAAGTGTAAATAAGTTCTAAAAAATAAAATATATAGTACAAATTGTTGTGCACATTATACACATGATTTTCATATTACATATTTATTACATTCGTACTTGCTGTGACTGTGCTGCGTTCCCCCTCTAAGAGAGAAACCCTACCCATGTACCTGCATTAGCGAAAAACCCAGGTTAGTGAGAAACCTCTAAAGCAACAATGAGATTGTGCTCCCTAAATGAACTCTCGTCTTTGTTGGTATAAAATATAAATATTTTTTAAAAATCTATTCTATTTTTTTTGTTTACAGGATTCACCAGAAAAGAATTCAACCAGTTTAAGATCAAAAAGAAAAAATGTACCTACAAGTCCCGTACCAATGAAAAAGGACAAAAACGTTACCAGAAACAAACAACCGAATGACGCAGACATAAAATTACCAGAAGACTCTGAAACATTCCTTCGACGCACCAGGTCTATGGGCAGCATTTCCAAAGACAATGAAACGACACCGAAGAAAAGAGTGACCGAACGGAAATCAGAGTCTGAAAAGAAACCACGTCTCAGGAGCGACACCAAAAAGTATTCCAAAAAAGATACTTGTTTAACAACTGAAACTAAGGTCAGTGCTGTAAAGAATTTATCCAATCCTCTAGAAGATTGTGGGGTTAAGCATATATTACAAGAGCAGCTCCGTATTGAGAAACTCATCCAGCAAGAGAAATGTGACTATGAGTTGGCGTGCAAGATGGACGCCGAGTGGAATGGGAGGAGACAGCCGCGACGTGCAGCCACTAAACGACAAGTATCTTTAAATTACGCCCTACGCCCTGCCAAAAAGCTTAAAGTGTAAAACATTCCATCGGTCAAAATATCTCACTTTCCGATAGCACAAATAGATGTTCAAATTCTCTTCACATCACACACACAAGTGCACATTCAATGATGTGCTAGTGTGAGTGTGGAATTGAATTTAATGTGTCAAATATTTGACTTTTGTAAATTGATCAAAGTTGTACATATCTGATATCAGTACCAGTGAAGGCTTATATTTTCTGTTGTATTATATAAAGGTATCTAAAAGCCCAAACAGTGGAACCTTTACTAAATGTTAAACAACAATAATTATTCCTATGAAAATAAATTGGTTAGGCAGCCTTCAAGTGTTACGTCAATGGGTGTCTTTTTAACGTTACGATGCGGGGCGGGGATTGAATTACGCGTTATTGTTAATATTATTTTCGACTTTCCAGGTCTTTACACCACATAATGGTAACTTTTAGGTATAACGAGTCACTAGGTGTTCACGAAACGTTTTACTAGGCTTGGGTACAGAAAAACGTTACGGCGCATTACATGGGGGGGGTCAATAATCGCCAAACATTGCGTGACGTAATACTTGAACGCTCCCTTATCTACTGAATTGAATGTAAAAAAAATTTCAAAGCTACATATGCATATTTAAATGCAGAGAAAAGCCTATTTATCTTAAATTAATTTGAATGTTTGATTGGTGCTAATGGAAAGTTGATAACTATTATTGTGTAAATTCTTTGTCTCTATATCAACACCAATGTTGATATTTTGTATAGTAGAGTGCCATGTATAACTGATTTTATTGCATTATAATTCTTGTATAACAGGATGAATATGACAAATCTAAGTTAACATTGAATCAAACATAACTTTTCAAAGTTCCTTAAAGGTCAGTACTCACATACGGTATTACTCGATCGAGCTTAACTGTCGAGTAAAACCCATGGCATGGGCTTTCGTCCACACATTGAGCATTCATCTATCGAGTGAGGCTCGCCGTTCAGTATTCACCGAACGGTTCGAGCCAAAGGATGTCTGTGCAACAAAGGAGATGGTGGCTGTATTTAGTAAGTCTTACAGTGCTTTATAAGAAAATCAAAGAAAATGAAAAGAAAAAACGTTAAGCACAGCTTGTAATTTATCATAACATTCATTTCTTTTATTTCTGTGGGAGTAATCTTTGGACTTGACATTCCATAAACACTCACACTGTCTATATGTGTTAATAAAGTCTTCTATAGCGCTTTTGCAATAAACTCGCAAATCCATTTCTCTTAAAAACACGTGTTTCTATCACGAAAAACAATACCAGACTGACGCTCGCCTCGCGCCACTCGCAGTCATGTACACACGTTCGAGTCAAGATTGACGGCTCGCTTCGAGTAGGTTCGAAGGAAATTACTTTCATTTAATACCATCGAGCCGGCTCGGTGCGAGCCTTTGAGCTGTGAGTTTTGCGGTCCACACGTTGATTTTTACTCGACTTCGAGTAATACCGTATGTGAGTACTGACCTTAACACTATTCTACCAGTTTCAATCTTAAATCTGTATTGGATGATATTCAAATTAAGAACATATTTGACTGTGCTCAGTTAAGATCTTGATAGGACTTGGGGCTAAATAAGTTTACCGTAGATCCAATGAGACCTTGAAAGGTATACTTTCTTATGATTCCTAAATTAGTTTTTAACTTATTGGGCATTAAACTTTCTAGCTGAGTTAACCATATCTTTAACTAAAAAAATTATATCATAAATGATCATTATACTTGTCTGTAATTGTACATTTGTATCTAAGATATATTTTTTTTTTTCTCAAAATTGCTTAAATAATAATTGTTTATAATAATCTAAGTGCAACTTTTACTAGGATTGGAACTTTACTGAAGATAACAGTTACCTTTGACTCCGTGTTAATTTGGCTACAAGTACTTGCTACCTTGCTTCCACCGATTTTATTTTCAAAATAGTGTATTTGATAATAATTTATAATAGGTAGGTTCCTATTATGCAATAAGTTGAAATTCTCACCGATTAAACTGTAAGATATTAGTAATACAGTAATATTATATAAGATTTTAAATAATGTATAAATTGAATGTATATTTAACAACATTAATGTTTGTCTAAATTTACTCTGATCAAATGTTAAATCTGAACAGAGCCTATAGTTGTTTTATTACTTAGAATTCTATTCATTGTATTAATATGTGTTTTACAATGCATCGCAAACTTGCTTTAACAGTTATGCAGTCACTGTTTATATTTTATTAGACAATCATTAGTTTTCCGCTTACTAATGGAAACTTTGATTTCAAATCAAAACACTGGTGTGATTCTGAACTAATAGAATTAATTATTCCATTGATCCCATACATTGTACCCTCAGGTGTTTTGAAATACAGTGTAAAGCCCATGTAACATCCCTCGATTTAACGACGCACTCCCTAAAGCGTGGAATTAAATTGGCTTGGTTTCTTCCATACAATGATACACTCTACATAGCATGACACCCACTCTTAATAACGAAAAAAAAAGGGTGCGTGTATTTATGTACGCGCGTAAGATGTACTTCTTTGGCTTTCTTTATTTTTTTAAAATATTAAATAATTAATAACAAATATTTAACGTTAATAATTTAATAATATTTAGTATATTATTAATAATATTTATTATATTATTATATTATTCAATTTAATAACTACGTATGTTTCATAACCTTTTAATTAAGTAACAATAGGTCTTTGTGAAAAAGCATTGCTAAATTTCTTTGAAAAAATAATTAAAACTCCGTTATTTGTTTAAAACGTAAATGTCATTATGGTCATTCAAAATTCTTGGCATAGCTGCTAACTTCACGCATATTCTATTTCTTTTTACTTGTACATTGTCTTATTCCCATCTCGCTCGCGCGCGCACACTGACAACTTTGTGTCCCAGGTGCGCGCGCATCGTAAAATTTCACTCTCATCAATTTTTCATAACGCGCCTAAAGAAGTATAACTTCAAATTTTTTTTAGTAATAAGTACTTTTTAAGTTTCTAGTATTAGTAAAAACTGTGTTGTTCTTTTGTCCCGCAATAAACTCGACTGTCGGCATCATGCATACGAACTTTCTAAGAAATTCGTTCTTTTGTTTACAAATCGGGATTGCTTGCACGTTGGGACTGTTGTTGACCATGACTAAAGTAGTCATGGATTATCCTTTTTTCTTGTCTTCATTTAACGCCATAAAATGCACGGTCCCTTCAGTGTCGTTATATAGTTTACACTGTATTTCAAATCACCATCATTTTAACAAATTGTTTTTATAGTGTAGAAAATATTGTTTAGACATTAAATATGCTACCTATAGAATTAAGGGTGTACATATTTTGGCAGAGCTAATGCCTGGTAAAGGGTATGTCTTAGGTTTAAATATAATGCCTACTATACAATCACATCATAATATTATTTGATGCTGATAACCTCATGAATAATATGATCTCCAATTAAAAATCTGGTCAATTATCTTTTGTATGTTCTGAACATTAAAAACTTTTAGTATGTATGTAATGAATAAAGTACTTCTAAATGTATTGAGTGAATGCAATGCATGAGTTTAATTGAAATATTTTTGTAAAGGCTTGCTGTGATATACCACAAGTGGTGATAAATTAGTCCCTATGTAATTGTTAGTCAACATTTGTTTTAGAATTTCATTTTTTTGGGCGAATTTAATTTGTTTTAGCTGTAAAATACATGAATATGTAAATAAAAAAGATTTAATAGAAAAATAGTTTTATTATTAAAAAAATTATTATGTAAATGATGTCATCTCCCCGTCATCCTAGTCCATTCCCTGTAACAAAAACATTGTATGTATAATTAAAATAACAATATATTACAACTTACCTATTTTTCTTGTAAAATTTCACCAGATTTATTGAGATTCTTCGGCGAAAGGACTGTTCAGTTCAACCTGAAAATAAAAATGGCATCAGATTTCTTCAAAGAACCTCTCATGATTTTAAACTGATTATTTTTGTTTGTTCTGGTTTCATTAAGCAACAGATTACTTGATTGCTATTCAAATCTCAATACTTTGTAAAAGCTTATCATGATAGTTATGATGACATGTTGTGTGTGATGTGATCATGGTAGTTATGATGACAGAATATAGTGTCTAAGGGAGCGTTCAAGTATTACGTAACGCAATTTTTGAAAATTATTGACCTCACTCCCCATGTAACTCGCCGTAACGTTTTTCAGTACCCAAGAATAGTACTGTTCCCAAGTCTAGTAAAACGTTTTGTGACCACCTAGTGACTCTAGTTACTATTATGTGGTGTAAATAGAAAATAATATTAACAATAACGCGTAATTCAATCCCCGCCCCGCATCGTAACGTTTTACAAAAGGACCCCCCCCTCCCAAAATTCGTTACGTAATACTTGAACGCTCCCTAATGGTAAAAAAATGCCCTTAATTATTAACAAAACATACCTACCTTTAAACCACACAAGACATCCTTCAGGGTCACTGATAAGTTAAATCCTTAGTTAAGAGCTCCAATATGTCTGAAATATATTGTTGTTCATTTGAGAAAATATTTTCTACCAATATCACATTTCAAATCTCTCTCAATACAAAATTCCACCTGTACATAGAAGATTTTCAATCTGGTCTGGTTATATTATGAATAAAAAACACAAATGGATTTACACTTCATGGGTTTGTCAATCTACTTGATTTTCAAACATACATATGCTACAGACAGCTAACAATTAGATTACAAATCAAATTACACACTGTAATTAACCATATCATACCCAAAATACACACTCACCACTGAGAATAGGCAGCTTTAATTATTTCTATCTTCAGGAGACTCCACATCACACATTCAGACACCAAGGCATCTTCTTCATGTTATATTACCTTTCCTCGCTACACACATACTTAATAATTAATCAGCTCGTAACAAAGTATTGAAACGAATAGTCAATAAAGAATCAAACATACTTCTCAGCATAATATTAACAATCTCATAATTAAAACATCCATCGCTAATTACACATACTTTATTTCTCGCACCACACCACTGCATAATAAACACACTCTTAGATCAAACTTACAACTACTACAAGTTATTATGGGGTAATCTTAAACAGTGCTATAGAGAAAAGTATAAAATTATATCATTGTACCTAGACACATGTTCTTTCTTCACATTTTTGGCCATGATATTTGGTGCCTCACCTTATGTTTGAGGTTTGTTGTTCCATCCACTATTAGAGCCTGCTGGCCCAGAGCCACCGTTACCACCCCAACCTTGCCCATTTGACCAATTGCCTTGGTTCCAATTGCCATTTTTATTACCATTCCAATTAGGGTTGCCTTGATTCCATGATGGTGGTGGTCCATTTTGGTTCCAATTAGGATTATTATTCCAGTTTTTACCTGAATTGCTGTTCTGGGGCGGACCATTTTGGCCCCAATTATTTGGCCCAGAATTGTTAGGACCCAGAAACCCACTCCAACCGGCCTGATTTAAGGCAGCAGCTACAAGGCTTATTGGTAAATTAAAATTGGGTGGGGGTCCACCTCCGTTGGGATTTATACCCAAGTTTTGCATGTTTAAAGAATCAATGTTACTGCTTCCTCCATTGTTGGTTGAGCCACCAGAGGGGCCTGAATGATTTCCATCCCAACTATTGGATCCATATTGTTCCTCTTTCCATGTTGGATTGTTTTTGTTTTTAATTTTTGGTGCTGCACTAGAAACTGACACAGAAGCTCCTTTAATTACATGATCCTCCCCACAAAGACTCTGCGCTACTTCTGGATCTAAGAAAGTTACAAATCCAAAAGCTCTAAAAGGTCTTGGAACAAAAACATCTGTGACCTCTCCGAATTTGGAAAAATATTCTCTGAGATCATCTGCTGTCATGTCTTCAGTGCACCTGCCTACAAATACTTTACAGGGCATTTGTGGCACAACGCCTTCTTTAGAATTAGGAATACGCACATCTACCCATCGACCATCAATATTATGTCTTTGAGCTAGTGCTCTCATTTGAGATGCATAAGTAGCAAAACGAATAAAACCAAAGCCTTTAAATGATCCATTCTTATCTTTTTTTAATTGCACCATTACAACTTCACCAAATTGCTCAAAGTATTGCTTTATAGACTCTTCAGTAGACTTCCAAGGCAATCCCAAACATATTAAGTCAGAACATATGAGTTTTTTTTCTAGTCGCTTAGTCTTAGCCGCAGAATTTTCTGGAGACACATCTTCCATTTTCCGTTTATTTTCTTTAGGAAAAACACAGGTATAAAGGTGCTTACCCCATCCAGCTTCTGTGGGAGGGTGCAGCTTGCCATCGCTGAGCCGTAAACCTCGAACACATTTGTTTTCAGGATTCCGAAATTTAAGTCCACACGCCCCAGGAAACTGTGCAACTAATGTTGATAGTAAAAGTGTTCCATTTAATTCACAAGGAATTTCCACTGCATTAGATTCATCTTCGTCCTCACTTACTTTTATGTATTGAAATAAATCATCATTATAGCTCTCCTTGTTATTCATATTTGTGGTAAAAATGGGTTCTTCTGTCTGTATTTTAATTTACATAAACGTTACTTCCATAACACTTAATAAAAAAATTTCAACAGTCGACACAAAATGGTTTTCACTACTATAAAGTTATTATTTTAATAATATCAATTATCAATAATCAGTATTTCTTTCAATTCAAAATGGCGATTGGTGATAGACAGACGAGTTCGGACGCCGAATTTTGGATTGTCAACTGTACTTGTCAATGACTAAAACTGAAACAATATTTGTTTTTTTCCAGTTTCATAAGATTAAGTTATTTAATGACTACGCAGAATTAACTAAGGATTTTATTATTTACTAATCTGTGAATTTTGTGGCGCCATGTTCAAATTTTAAATATTTTGTAATTTTAAATATTCATATTCAATGCACATTTCAAAATATAGTATTATTATTCTAAATTCTTATGTATTCGAAGAGCTATAGAAGTTATATATTAAGCTGCACGGAAATAAAATAAATGGCCAATTGTCGACGGTTGAGTTGACGGTTGACTCATGTGCCTACGCACTGGCGACCATAGACGCGGCCAGGCGCCGCGGCCATGGTCGCCGGTGCTAGCAACGCGACATGTGGACGGCCGAAAAATTGCAGTCGACTTCCAAGGATTGCAAGTGGACGTCAGATCACGCTAACTGTGCTTGTGTATTTACTACGAAAACGAAAACGGAAGATTTACGTAAAAGACAGTTTGGGTCATCCATTACTTTGGAGAGAAAGACTAAAATTTTTATACTTATTTTTGGATTTAAAAATGTATGAGAAGAGATTCTTTAATTACATGAGAATGTCAACGAATACTTTTAACCTGTACTATACAATAAAACCAAAAATTACTGGAACTGGTAACAACTATCGAAATGCATTCCAGCAGAAGAAATAGTAATAACAATAAGTAACTTTTTCTTTTTTAAATACAGAATGTTTAAAAAATACGTGATATATTTTAAAGGATGTTTCGGAATGGAGTATTGTGTACAGGAAAAATAAAAATAATGTTAGGGCCTTTTTTTACTTAAACTGCTAAACGGATTTTTTGTAAATTTGAATTATACAAACTTGATTCTGAATCACCCTAAACCACCACTGTTGCGTTTTTACAACCTGTATAATTCATTGACCAAGGTTTTGCCACTTTAAAAAATTTATGAACTATTGTTCAGTAGTATTCTACTTTACGACTTTGAAAAGGAGAGGAAAAGGGCTTGCTTATAACATGTTTTTAAATATTAAAAAACTGAATAGATAATCAAATTATTTGTATTTTCATAACTTAAAAATGGCTTGTGAACAATTAATCATTCAAATTGGGAAATAGGTCTATCATTTCTGAATTTGAGAAATATCAGATAATGGTATGAGACGCTGTAATTTGAATCATCTGATATCCTGTTGGTGTAGAATAACCTGAATAACTCGGTCGATTTGTAGGTGTACAGTTCGGTTGGTATTTTTCTATAATTTCCATGATTTCCATTTTCGCTTTGGTCTTCATTGCAGCAGGGATTGTTTGAAATCTTTCGAGGAGGGATAAAAAAACAGTCTGTCACATTTGATCATTCTTGTGTCCTATGGTCTTATGCAGAACTGAAATTAGAGGGTCTGTACGGATTCTTCGTTTGGTATTTTTTTCTTCCTTTTTGTTCTAAGCGACTTTGATGAGACTTTGAGTCTCAAATCAGAAGATCTTGCACTTTCATTTTCTTGACTTGCCTCTTCGAGACTATTTTCTGTTGCGTTTGTGTCCAGCACTATTTCAAAAACAGTAATTGGTTGAAATAGGTGTATTGTGATTTACGTTTTGCAGCAGAACCACTTTGAATCTTTAAGACGGCGCAGCTCTCTTGTGAAACATCTCAAGGTTTTTCCATCTTTTTTGGAGAGTAATGCCTGTAAATCAATAAATAAATTAGTACATATTACAAAACTAATATTATGTTTATTAATGTGAATTTTATTTTCAGGTATTTGGCTACTGGGTGTTCTTTTCTCATATAAGTCATGAATACCGTATAGGGCTTCCTACAGTATCGGAAATAGTATTTGTGTTTGTGAAGCAATATGGGAGATATTAAAACCAATTGTGATGCCACAATTGACCAGAATAAGTGGATTCAAACGGCTGAAGGTTTTCAAAAATACGCCCAATTTCCAATTATCGGAGCATCACGGCAAGCCATTGAGTTATCAAACCACAACATCGGGATCTCTATTACAATTACAAAATTATTTTTCAATCGTGTTACTTGCAATATGTGATGTAAATTATAAATTTCTTTACTTAGATATTGGAGCATACGGCAAATCAGTGATTCGTCAATTTACAAAGACTCTGTATTTTATCATAGGCTTTTAAATAATGATCTCGATATTCCGAGCAATAACCCCATCAAAGAAAATGGCCAACAATGCCGTTCGTTTTAGTGGGTGATGAGGCGTTTTCACTATCGGAACATATGATGCGACCGTATGCTGGGAGAAACTTGAATAATGTAAAGACTAATTTTAATTATCGACTATCCCTGCCCGCCGCTATATTGAATGTACATTTGGAATATTAGCCAATATGCAGATTCTTCACCGACCCTAAACGTCAAGAAAGAATTTGCAGTTGTGATTATAAAAGCTCTATGTGTGCTTCATAATTTTGTGCGAGAAAGAGACGGATATGATTTCAAGGACACGTTAACTGTACAGAGGCTTTATTAGAAATACCTGCATGTTTACCTAATAGAGCAATAGAAATCAACCAAATCGGATATATTCGCAAACTACTTCAGTACCGATGGTCGCTTGCCCTGGCACAATTTGTAAATATATGGGTGCTCCCGCGACGCCATGCGCGCCGTAAACAAAATGGCGTCGAACGCACATGCGGTATGAGTAATCTTTTAAAAAGTTATTCCAATCATTACGAAAACCTGGGAAATTTTAGCAAATAATTGTCAAAACTCATGTGCAAAGCGAAAAATAGTAGAAATAAAATAGTTATACTTTTGACAATTACCTATTTGCTAAAATTTCTTAGATTTTGAATGAAGGAACAACTTTAAAAAAATCACTCATGTCACATATACGTGTCGAATGCTACTACAGCACCTGCTGCGTTTATTGTAGTTCATCGCATTTTAATTTACTTAGGCATAATAAAATAAAATACTAACCAAGTTCTGCCTTTTCTTTATCTTCCATGGATTCACCGCCAAATATATCGACCACTTCAAGCCACAACTGCCGCTTAAATCTTTATTGAGTAATCATTTGATGCTAAATCCATAAACCTCTTCTATTTTCAACTTCAATTATGAACCTTTCCGTGTCGAAATTGGCCATTGTAAAATAATCACTCTGTGCTAGCTAACGTCTGGTCGCCGCGGCCGATGCGGTAGCACTGATGAATTTTAATACAGAAGTGATGTTCTCGACGGCCACATTGGTCGCTGGTCGCGTGGCATCAAATTGGACGCCGCGGCCAACGGTGGCCGCTGGTCGCTGGCCGCTAAGTGCGTAGGGGCTATAGCGATTGCCATATAAAGTCCAGAATTCACTGGCCGCCGCGGCTAGGTCGCGGCGACCATGGTCGCCAGTGCGTAGGAGGCCATATCTTGTGGGAGGTTCTGCGCGACCGAAATCAACAAGTTTCGAGACTTCAGAGAGAATGAGTTAATACTTATTACAATATTATGTTTTATTAAAATATGGAACTATTTGTCGCTATAACAAAACCAAATCTGGATGATTCTGGAATTTATACGTAATCGAGTAGTTAATACAAATCTCTTGTCATTTGCTGATGTGGAGTCACGTTAAATTGAAAAGCGGTGTCAGGTAAATGCAGTATATTTTGATTTTCGCGAAGCGTTTGATCGAATAGATAATAACATTATTCTCCAAAAGTTGGCCACAATTGGACGTGACTGACTGCATTAGTGTTGTTACCTATCGAATCGTAACCAATATATTCAATGATGACAATATATCTCGCAGCCATATTAAACGAGTTCTGGTATTACCCAGGGTTCACATCTAGGATCGTTGTTATTGATTATTTGATTATGATAAACTACCGGAAAACGTTAATAAATCTTTCATAGTCCTATTATTTACCGACGATGTTTTGTCATGTATGCACATAGCATCGTCTGCAAATATTGTAGGATTTGGACGAACTGCTTGATGAGACTGAATACAATAAACTCCACTTTAACTATGACAAATGCGAAGTGATTAGTTTTAGAGCCTTTCCGAATAAAATACTCTAGGTGTTGCGACTACAGGTTAGCATCTCAAGTTTTATACGTAAAGTCCGCGACCTGTATTATTTGTTCGGGATCTCTTGGATTGTTTTTATATTTGAACTATTACAGATGCTGCAATTAGGAGGTAAGGGTTTCTCTTGTAAAATGCAGTTTCTCTCGGACACTGCCATTAGGGTACTTACTCTATTCCTCATTCATAAGATTAAAATTAAAATAGCTGCGTGATATGGTTTCTTCATGAAAAATACTATAGGGTAATGTTCGAAAAAGTAATAGAACTAGAAACTACTACCTACTAGAACTTTGTGGGGATTTAGGTAAAATCAAATTTATTATGAAGTTAATGAGTAACTAGACAGAGAGCGCATACTTGCTAGGAGATATTATGAGATTGTACGTTCCGCACAACTATCACCGCTGCCAGAAACGTACTTTGTATTCTACTAGTAAAATCAAATATTTATTCAATTTAATCTTCTTAACATCTTATAATGTCACAGTTTACAAAATTCACGAAAAGCAAGACTACCATCCGTTCCAAAACTACCAGGAGCCTTGTTCTGAGAAGCGGCAAAAACTCACAAGTTTGCCCTCCCTTTACTTACAATTATTCAAAGGAAAATGTCATAAACCACAACGTCATTAAAATTACATAAGTAAAAAAAAATAAAAAATCTGTTCTGTGATTTACCACATTCACCATTACAC